TCAGTGGCCTTCTCGCACGACTCGGCCCAGCTGGCGTCGGCATCGGGCGACTGGACCGTCAAGATCTGGGATGCGAGCGGCGGCGCGTGCCTGCAGACGCTCGAGGGCCATAGCAGCATCGTCAGGTCAGTGGCCTTCTCGCACGACTCGGCCCAGCTGGCGTCGGCGTCGGGCGACTGCACCGTCAAGATCTGGGATGCGAGCAGCGGCGCGTGTTTGCAGACTCTCAACACCGAGCAGGCTCTTTCCACATTATCTTTTGACTCTACTGGCTCTTGTCTCTATACTAATATAGGTACTATCGTTATCCAGAGCTCAGAACTCTCCAGTACAAGAGATATGGCAGAACCTGAGCGCCCCCTGTATCCTGGCAGAAACCTCAGCTCAGACTACACATGGATTCAGCATGCTGGCAACAACATGCTGTGGGTCCCATCAGAGTATCGACCGTTTTGCTTGTCTGTGTGCGGGACTAGAGTAGGTATAGGTGTTGGGTCTGGAAGAGTATGGACTTGCAGTATTGACCTTTAACATGTCTGTAAGTGTTTGTAGCATAATAAGCAATTATTCATTCTCTTTTTCTATACCTTATCTCTTTATTATCTCTATTTCATAGAGGGGGACGGGGATGCGCACAAATATATAGGCTATGTATTGCGACATCGAAGCTTCGAGAATCGCTGAGAAAGTGACTGTCGCCACGTTATGCTAGGTTACTAAGTAGATCCTAAGAATTAGGTTCTCGCTGATTGTAGGTTTTTCTCTAGCACGCAAGGGCGCCTGTAAGGGGGGTAGGGGGAGGTACGGTGGGGCAGATCGAGCATATGATCGTAGATGCTCCCAGAATGTCGCTAGCATGCGCCACAGCTATTCTTAGTTGCTCACCTGCTGTACCTCCTAGGCATAGCTTCGATTTGTTAGAGTACAATACACAGACATCTGAGCACGCTACTGCAGGCTAACTGAATGCTATCCCCGCTGGAACGCTTTTGGCGATTTTCTGTTTTAACCGGCGAAACTCCCGGACTACATCCTTCTTAGCTCAAAGTAGCCTTAAGCGCTCAGGGACAGGGTGTCATTTGACGAAGGGTCGATTGACGGCGTTGACGAAACGATCGACAGCGTGACTGACGTTGCGGCAACCCTCGTCGGAGGCTAGTGCTTTTGGGCAGAAAAGGCTGCAGAACATTAATACAGCGTATGGATGCGTCCGGTGAATTAGCGCGGAAATCAATCCACAGATGGGATAGGTGGGATTAGAACGGAGGAAGCCCTTTTCTGGACTAATTCTTACCAAGGCTGAGATTGATCCGCTAAAAGCACGGTACCGCAAGGCGTTACTTTCATGATTATCCCGCTTTTGCGGCTGACTTTTGTGGCTTGATACCTTTGTATCCGCGCTAGTTCACCGGACGTATCCATACGCTATACGTCAATTATAGGTCTATAACCCTGCGAATTAGAGATAGCGAAGGTCCAAAGTGCAAACCCGTCCCGTTACGCTGTGCGTCCCGGCACGCTTGGACAGACGTTAGCAATTTATTGGTAATATAGGAATCTCAATCCTATTGTCCTCCATCAGATTTCTTTGAGGGTGAGAACATACAAAGGGATAAGAACAATAGCATTGCCGGGGTGCGGTTCCTCGACGTCTCTTCACCATCAGTTTGTTCCTCGTACTGGAAGTTTCGCTGTCGTGATGGCGTATACGCACAGCCCCCTTTCATGTTGGCATCTAACTGTCGACTCTTGAGGCTTCTGACAAACTGCTCAGCTAGAAACGTCTTTCGAGAATATTGGATGCTCGCAATGCTGTTTGGTGAGTCTCGAGGGGCCCGGCTGTGCTGCGGAAATGGTGATGGCCGTCGCTGCCTCTTCGAATCGCTCACCAGCTATAGAAGGGGCGGTCCTCTGTAGCTGCTGGCCGATTAAGGAACAAAGGAATTCGATGCAGACGCGTTCCTGGGTGAACGTATCTCGATGATGATGCGGTGCCTGGGCTCAACGCTCGCCTGAAGCCAGATTTCCGGGAAGCGGGTCAACCGTCAAAGCTCCCTCGTCACAAAGTTTCTCGAAACAGCCAAACACCACCCCTCCAACCCCCATCACGACAACAACATCGCGTGGATTGCCTCCTCCGAATCCTCGCACCCTCTCATACAGGGTCTCCCCATCCTCCTCTTCCATCGTGCTTGCTCTTCGGGCATCCGGCGGTGACAGACGTGCCTCAACACCATGATCAACCACACCCTCATATCGAGGCTTGACGGTCAGTACCCTCGCATCCTCGACCACGGAGCTTCTTGGTAGGCTGACACCGCGATAGGCTTGATCCTCGCAGCCTCAGTAGACGAAGATGAGGTACGATGTCCCCTTCTCCCTGCCTCGCAGCCGCTCAGAGACACTCACACCCCCGAAGACAGACGCCGAGTTCCGTGAGGTCAAAGGCAAGGTGAAGCTTGTCTTGCGCCGTCTGGACCGTAACTCTGCACCGCAAGCAAGCATAGAGAGCGGACGATACGTGTACCAGTGAGTAGATCTCCTCCTCACCTCCTGTCGAGGTCGGTCTGGCCGCTGGCTGCGGAGGAGCCCCACCAACGACACCGCTGACTGGCGAACTCTTTCCCTACAGCTACCTCCTCCAGGACTCATTAGTCTTCCTTTGTATTTGCGACAGGTCGTATCCGCGAAAGCTCGCCTTCACGTATCTCGCCGACCTCCAATCCGAGTTCACCACCCTCTACCCCGCCGCCGAGTACCTGTCGGCGTCATGCCGCCCATACGCCTTCGTAAAGTTTGATACCTTCATCCAGCGTACCAAGAAGACATACCAGGATAGCCGCGCAACCCAGAACCTGGACAAGCTCAACGACGAACTCAAGGACGTGACCAAGGTTATGACGAAGAATATCGAAGACCTTCTCTACCGAGGCGATAGCTTGAACCGCATGGGCGAACAGAGCGCAAGATTGAAGGAGGATAGCAGGAAATACAAGCGGGCGGCCGTAAGGATCAATTGGGAGCTGTTGCTGAAGCAGGTAAGCGGAGATAACCTGACTCCAGAATGGCCGGGATTCTCGGGGGACATGGCCATGATTTAATCATGGGATGGCGGCTAACATTCTGATAGTACGGACCAGTCGGCGCTCTTATTTTCATCATCTTCGTCTTCATCTGGTGGCGCTTCTTCTGAACCAGACCCGTCTCTTTCCTTCTCTTCCGTTGGTAAGTATTCGTGTCCGAGTACTAGTGCTGCATGGGTCGGAGCTCAGGATCTCTTCTTTTCTTTGGAGTCTACTCTTTGGAGTCTACGGGCCATTTTGGAAATAGTGCCCTTTACTTTCAGCCTCTTTTTCCTTTCTCAGCAGATAAGGCGAGGCAATGTAGCATATTCCCCGGGTCACATGACCCCTTGATACGAGGACTTCTTAAGAAAACTGTTTATACTTTCTTGCTGACTCTTAGACGTACGTTGACTACGGGGTTCCTTGAATACAGCAGGTTAGTATTTTCTCCACGCTGGAGGGGACATGCTAACCTAATGATAGAATGTTCTCTGACTACATCTATGCACACATTGGCTCATCTATCCCACTGACAATGCTTTAAATGATAGCATGGACTCGACTTCAATATCGGAGCATCAATGTTTCGAGATACGCTTATAGCCGTTGGGGATGTTGCACGTGCGTATACCGCCGATGCCATCCCTGGCATCGTGACTTGGTAATTTCGGTATCCTTGTACTCGAGGTAGGTCGTTCAAGATGCCGTAACATTTTCCTGGCTTCATCCTGCTCGCTTCCTTTCTAACACGAAGTTTGTCTCCGTCTCTTGTCCGCTCTCACGTCTTCAATTCCGATTTCCCTCTGAAGTTCTTAAGTCCGCTTCTCAAACAAAGCATTCTTGACATCATTCCGCTCCATTCGTATAGTTGAATATCAAATGAGGCCAGCCTTTTCTTTCGTCGTACGGACTCGATCATAACTCAAGTCCAGTATCTCCTTCTCTTTGCTTGATGCGCTCTTCCTCGCATCTGTTTATCTTTACTGCTGCACGTCTTCGTTCTCACACGATATCTTCAATCAATCTAGATTTCTCTTCTCTGATCAACGTCTCGAAAGGTTTCATCCGGTCTGATCATTAGTTTGGCCAGAACATGCTTTTTGTCTTGAAATATCTCTTCTTTTGCAGTATTTCTTTTACATCAACGGTTCTCTTGCTCAAATTTCTGAGAAATCATCCTGGCTCTCGAGCCCGTTAGGTCGAATGGAGATTAATGCTTCGATTTGGTACATTCGTTTTCGTTTTTCCAGTCCTAATTCTTCGTCAATAATCAATATCTTCAGGTGAGCTCGATTCATACAGTCTTTTGCGACCCCTATACCTTTTTTTCCATGTAAATCTGGCCAAGGCGGGATTCGATATGTCCAGTCAAGCCTACTAAACGGTTAGCTGGACTTTCTTGATAAGCGTTCACACTCATATTTCAAGAACACAGTTCATGAACCTCTGGGTGCAACCCATTTCCTTGCTTTCCATTTCCCGATGGGTGGTCGCCGATGGCCTTCCACCCCAAAAATCTCAACGCTCTTCTCAATAGTCGTGTTTCTTGGGGTGTCTTTCTCAATTCGTCTTTCTTTTCTCGCCGGGTGGTCGCCCATGGATTTCCACTCGAAGTTTTCTCAACGTCACTTGATCGTTCGTCTCCTCAACGAACTGTCGTTCTAAGTTCGAGTCTTCGTACCTTCCTGTAAAAGATTTATCAGCCTCAGTCCAAGTCGTCTTCCAATGTTTATCAGCCTAGTCAAAGGATCTCTCAATCAAGCTTGTTTCTCTTGTCTTCGGTCCAACATCAAGATTCAGGCCCCTTTTGTAGTGGTTTTGAAATGTTGTTTCTGAGCCCAGAAGTCTTATCCTTTTTTCTATGATCGTCCGACCGTCGTTACCTCCTCCCTGGCGGCGTTATCCAGTGATCAATCTCCTCACGGTGGATGAGCGATCTGAACCCGCGTGTAACCTATGATGTCCATAGGCTGTTGCCGCGTGATGCGCAGGCCAGGCTGGAGCAAACTGTTCAAACTGTTTACGGAACTGGAATCTCTGACAATGTTGTTTCGAGTTTGAAGGCCACCGATCGGTCCCTGTGTTATGGATGCCTAGGCTCATGCTCAAAAGGTCTGTCCTTATACGTCGCCCCGAAATCGTTCGGATATCTGGAGCCCTGTCAGCAAGTGCCGTCAGGAGAACGAGGAAGAGAATTGTCACCGCCCTGGATTGTAATGCGGTCCGAATCCTTGTCTGTTGTGGATACGCCCGGATCTTGTCATTCTGCCTCAGCTGGACGGTACACAACCAGTTTCACGACCAAGCCGATGTGCCAATATCCACTGGAACGGGTCGAGTGTCGTGGCCTCGGGTCACTACGCTAAAATCCATCGAGTCGGGCTGCGGGCTACACACTGTCTGTTGCCTTCTCCGTCTCGATGGATATCTCGTGTGGTGTTATACCAGGCGACAAGCCGAGTGGGTTCTCCGTTAAGTTGCGTGCTGGATGGAGATGATGCCCTGTTATCTCTTTGTCAGCTCCGGCGCTTTCTCGTAGTCTTTTATCCGAAGTCTCAATTGTGTCGCCATATCCTGGGTTTTGGCTGTCCGCCTGTCCGCTCCAGGCAGTGGTATCTTGCTGGTAACACTTGATGCATATGGCTCGGCCTAGATCGCCTGGCCTCCTGCAGTTGTCGGCGTTGGACTTGTCGTTTCTTGGATGCGGTCTCCTGGCTGTCTATGGCCCGGCCCCGTACGTCTCCGTTCGCCTGTGTATCAGCAAGTGTGTTGTTCGGAGAGACACAGACGGAAACGCACCCCTCTCCATATGCTCTCCCGTTCCAGCCTAGATGATCCCCCAATAAGGCCCAATCCTCGTTGTCTGGCGAGCTCTCTCCGCCATTGGCGCTGCGGCGTTGGAGGCTATGCCCGCGGGGCGTTTCGGGCAGCGTAGGCGCGGCTGCCGCAGTCGAGGCTACGAAAATATACACAGAGGCCGTCGCCGTCGCTCCACCGTCGCATGGCAAACTCTGGAAGGAGGCGCAAGAAGCCCTCTCACGGGGAGTCGGACCGTGCCAGCCAGGTTGGCGTCTCGTGCGTAAAATGGCTCGTGGCGGGTGCGTGTTTAGGAGGTTTGCGAGGAGAACGGTGAGGATTGTGAGAGCGGTTTGGGAGGGCGTGTTGTTTGCTGAGAAGAGTTTGTGGTGGAGGTGTTTGGAGCTGAAATGGAGTTTCTCTGGCCGCTGTTGAGGAGGTTTGGTAGTCTGCGAACCTGTGGACTTTGGGTTTGTGGGATTGCGGAATCTGGTGGCTGCGGAGGAGGTTGAGAAGTGGCGGATGATGGTCTGTCGCAATGTCAATGTTTCGAAGCTGCCGCGGAGTGTGTCTGGCCGTCGAAGAGATCTGGAAGTGTGCGGACTAGCGGAAGTTGGGCTTACAGAATTGCTGGATCTGGCGCCCGCAGAGGAGCTTGGGGAAGAATCGGATGACGATCTGTCAATCCAGTGGAATGTTGGTCGCGGCTGTCAAGTTGTTTGAAGCTCGCGATAGCTGGTGAGGCGGTTGGTTGTGCGCGAGTCCAACGCGGCCGTCGACGACGAGCTCGAATTGTGTGCCCGCCACGACAAGGGCATATTCGAGGGTCGCAGTGCGTCTGATGATGAGTTCAGATGCAGAAGATGCTCCTCTGGCTTGTCTGTTCCACATAGGCGTCTTGTTCTGCGTCTCCCTGAGACGAACGCTCTCTGGGCACCCCCGCGGGCGTGGACAGACCCTGTCCGCCCCGAGAATTGCCCCGTGGTAGTACCCAGCTGCCGCGCAGGGCCCACAAGTGTGCGTGAGGCCGGGACAAGCAGCTCACCATCCCGAAGGGGTAACTGCATGGTGTTTAGCCCGCTGAGAACGCGGTGGCAGGCCAGCTTCATCCATCGACAGCGCCAGGCGTTCCAGGCATGCGCTGTCCACGGAAGTGTTGGCTCACGTTCTAGGAGGCGTAAGACTCGCTACTACAGCTGTGGAAGCCTGCTAAGTGTTGTCCCTGTTGTCCAAGGCAGTGCGGCGCGAAGCCAGTGTCTCGCAAGTGTCTTGTAGGCTGTGTGCTCTAAGTGTGTTCCTCCGCGAGTTGTTGGTCCTGTCGAAGTCCCATCTTGGTGCCCTTGAGAGCGCGAATGCGGCCAGCGCTGTTCACGCCGCGCCGGGCCAGAGGAAGAGGGGCTATTGGAGAGCAGGACCACTTTAGAAAGGCCGTTATGGGCTTTGTCTCAAGGCAAAGGGGGCACGATATCTTTCAAGAGCTAGGCGCACAACTGCCGTCAGAGCGCTGAGTTAAGCGCCTGTCGCCGCACTGTTAAGAGGACCGGCTTGTTTGACACTGGGGCGGTCGTCAAGGTCGCGCTCCTGATGAAGATGCTATACGAAGCTGTGCGCGGTCTGGACAATGGCGGTCGAGGCCACGCTGTCGCCCGCTGCCAGCGTCTACGCCCGTGGTCACAGCTCCATGAAGGAGAGCTTGTTGGACATAGGGCGGGCCGTCATGATCGCGCCCTTGACTAAGACGTTGTAGAAGCTCTATAAGAAACTATATGAGACGTAGAAGAAGGCAGACGGAGCCGCGCCGTCACCCGTTGCCAGCGTCCATGGCCGATGTCACAAGGCCATAGATGCGTGCTTGTTGGACACAGGGTGGGCCGCAGGAGAGCCCATCTTAACCAAGAAGCTTTGGAAAGTCGAGATGAAGCTGTAGGAGTCAAGACAAGGGCGGGTGAAGGCACACTGCCACCCGCTGCTAGAGTCCACGCCCGTAGTCTCAACACCATAGATGTGGGCTCGTTGGACATAGGGCGAGCTATAGTAGAGGCCCCCATAGTAAGATGTTATCAGAAGTCAGGATGAAGCTGTAGAGGTCTAGACGTGGGCTGATGAAGGAAGGCTGTCGCCATAGCCAGCATCCACACCCGCAGTCACAACGCCACAGATGCGGGCTCTTTGGACACAGTTCAGGCCGTAGTAGAGACGGCCTCTAGCAAACTACTTTGGAAAGTCGAAATGAAGCTGCGGGGGCCTGGAGAATGGCGGATGAAGGCACGCTGTCGCCCGTAGCCAGCGCCCGTCGCCGGCCAGGGCCAACCGTCCAGACTCTCCAAGCTCTACGCGGTGACATTGAAGCTACGCAAAGGTAATAGGAAGACATACTGTAATAGAGCACTGCATTGGCTTGAAGTGTAGCACACATGGTGCCCTCGTACGACGCCGTTGCGCTAAAGTCTGCCTCCACCGCGGCCCTCCGCGTCAACACCATGCTCTACACGCATGAGAGAGCTAGTCTCCTATCTATAGAACGTCTTGCTTGACATCTAAGAGTCATATGGGTAGGGCTACATGACGGTGTGCCGCTCGCACTGCTCCTCCACCAAACGGGCAGCCGTCCTCCGTCTCGCCTGCCTGACAACAACATCACGAACTTCAGCGAGCAGGTCACAAGAAGCAGTCGCAGGAAGGCAAGGATGATTTCTTCTTCGAAGACCCAGACAAGCTGAGTAGATCAATGAAAAAAAGGTTTCGCGTCAGCTCGAGGCAGTGCAATACGAGCGACACAGTGCTCCTGGACATAGGCAAGCCCAGCGGCCCAGGAACGGTTTCCAAAGACTGAGGTATAGCTGAACTTCCGAAGAAGCCTGCCAAGCTGTTAAGCAAGGCAAACGAAGGCCAAAGGACCAACCGCGAAGAAACACAACACCAAAAAAGGCGACGGCACGGCGACGGTGATTCCTAGGCCACGTTAGCGTTGGAGAAAGGAAGGAGGAGAGTGCGAGGAGGCCCTCTTATAGTGGCAGAAGGAATTCGCTTACCGGATCGGATCAACAATCGGACGATCGTTGCCCGGGCAGGCCGGCAGGTCACAGGTGGTGGAGCGGGATCACTGAACAACAATACTTGACTCCGACACCTAGCACAGATGGGGGTACCTGGGATCGAAGCTGTCTGGATGCTAGACCTACACCCAATATGGGCTATCCACCCATTCCTGCTGTCCTTCTCCCAGATCAAAAGAGGCTGGCCGTCGACGAGACTGCAGACCGTCCACAGCCATCCCCAGATCACCATGGAACCTCCTGGAACTCCAGGCAACCACCCGCGCAGTCCGGCGCGCGCGCACACTTCACTCGACGGAGTGGGCAGGCTGGATCACGCGTTAGCGCCTTGGCGACATTTCGTTTCCTATAAGAACCCCTCCACCCCCCGTCCTTCCTGTCTCCTCCATCCTCTTTCTCTCTTTTTTCATCTCCCCCAGTTTCCTATGGGGACTGGGGGGGATGCCTCCGCCACCACCGTCGCCATCGCCATCGCCGTCGCTGCCATTTGCTCTTTTTTGCGTCCATTTGAAACAGCTAACATCATCTTTCAGTAGATTGTTCTTTCAAAGACTTGGACTGACACCCCGAAGCACACAGGCAGTAGTGGTTCTGCACATACCTGTTAAGATGCCTGGTCAGCATCCCATCGGCTTTCATGCTGTTTGGATCGGATGTTTTTCATTCATCTCCTCGCCTGGTGCGGGGACTGGAAGAAGAACTTGACTTGGTTGCCTCTTCTGCTTGTGACTTGCTTGCTGTGACGCTTTGTTGATGCGTCGTGATAGTTGTGTGAGGCGGTTTGTGGTGTTGAGTGCGACAGACGCGTTTCGGGCGCACAATGTAGAAGGGCTGGCCATGCATGTGTGTAGTTACCCAGCAATAGTACTGAAGTTGTTCTACTCCTTTCTGACACTTGCTTAGGGCGCTTCACCGTCGTCGTCGTGGTGTTGTAGCCCATGAAGCCTCTGGCGTTAGAGACGCCGCAGACAGTTTGGCGGACTGAGACGGCCAAACCCGCCCTTGTCGCGCGCCCGTCACTGCCCAAATGTTTTGGCAAGCAACGCTGTATCCTCTAACTCATAATGCACCTCAAAAAAGGGCCAAAACACATGTCTCCTCGCGCGTTGTGGCGCCGTGGGCGTTGACCGCCGCTGAGTAGTGTGAGGTCCCATCTCGCCCACAAACGGTCAAAATCGGGGGTCGTCACTGCATGAGGGTTCTTGTAGGCCTACCGGCACTCAAAGACAGATGTCACAGGCTGCTGGACTATTGGAAATGGCATGTTGTCGTCCGCTGCGGTACCGTGGTCGTTTCCCATCCCTGATCTCTTCGCCGTCCCGTCCCGCGCGCACAACTTGAAAATGGTGGCCCTCACTGCGCAGGACTTGCCCCCCAGCTACGGAGGCTCATGGACAAGGAGTAAAGACTATTGAGCTGTCGGGAGGGGCATGTTGTGGTGCGCTGCGGTGTCGTGGGCGTGGGTTACTGGTGAGCTCTTCGCCGTCTAGTCCTGACCGCAAAACCGGCAAGGGAGGCTGACACTGTGCGAGACCTTCTGTGGATGTGTAGACACTCGCTAGAAGGTACCGGGAATCTGCATAACGGTAATAGATGCACACTGGCTGGCGCGGAGCGGTCGAGGGCTTGGACTACTGCTGAGTTCTCTGCTTGCGATCGCTGTCGGGCAGGCAATTTGTGACTTCATGGCGGGGAACATCGGGCATGTCTTTAGCTGGTCATGAGCAAGCAGGATATATCATCAAAGCATCAACAAACACACGGCATTGAGCATGGCGACATCGTAAACCCGGCCGCTTCCCATCTCCCCGGCCTCCAGCCGCCAGACCACGGCGAAACCTCAGCAGTTTGCGTCCGCCACTTCGAAAACTTCATATCACAGCCGAGCAGCTTCATAAAGCATCACTATAAATCAATAGGCCATGGCGAAAGGTACGCCCTCGCCCCTTGCGACATCGTGAGCAGCACCTCCCATCGCCCAATCTCCTCCCGAACCCGCCCAACAGCTGCGACAACCTCAACACCAGGAGGACAATCTCACGAAACCACAGTCGGCCTCACACGCCTCAGCGACTGTCTCCCCGAATGTCTTCTACAAGCCGCCGGAAACCTCACTTCGAAGCCCCCTTTCCAGCGCACAACACCGTTCGCCTCGTGCCTCAAATCGCGTTAGCCCCAGAGTTGACAACACCAAGTTCGCCGTCTCACAGAGATCTTCGAAAGCCTCGCCCAATAGCTCGCTTCAGCCCTCTCTTAAGCCGGCGGAGACCAATCTCGAACTCCGTTTCTACCACACAACACCACCCGCATTGTTCCTCAGATCGCCCCGGAATCGACAACAACAACCTCCCCAAATCACCAGCTCACAGCCCTTACACACCCCGTCGATTGCCTCCCACCAGCTACCGAAACTACATGTCAGCCTCCTTTTCCAGCGCACAAACTCGCCCGTTTCATCAGACCGCCCCGGTGTCGACGGCAACGAGCTCCCCAGCTCACAGCGGCCTTGCGTCATCCCTCCCCTTAAGCCAGCGGAAAGCTATATTGCCCTCCTTGCCACCGCACAAACCAGCCCGCCTCGTCCTTCAGGCCGTCCGTCCCGGGGTCGACAATGTCGCGCTCACAACGCGCTCCTCCTGGACCGGCGGGCCAGAGGCTCGCAGGCGTTCCGAACATCGCTCAGCGGAGAGGAATCGCCAGGCGCGTGCTGAGGGGCCTCCCAGCAATGTGAGTGGCGTTCCATTCCACTGTATCTGTGTCGGCAATGTTCATTTTAGCATCACCGAGACAGACCTCAACAACGTCTTCGAGCGGTTCGGCGGGCGAGAGTTCGTTCAGCTGCAGAAGGAAGAGACGGACCGTATCAGGGACTGTGGCTCGGACGGTACGCAACTCTCGCTCTGTTTAGCTTCCTTTACTGACTATTCAGACTCCGCGAGACAGTACCTACGCTCTGTCGCCTCAGAGAATTCGGAAACTGCAAGACATCAATCCCAAGCCGCCATCACTAAAAATCCCGAATCCTTTGTGTTCAGAACTCAAGCTTTAGCTTGAACAGCCATGTCGTGAGGACTCAGGTTGAAAATTGATGTGAACTCTGATTTCTATAGACGTCTAGCTAGTTGTATATATACTAGGGGAAGGAAGGGGGCCACCCCCAGGGTGGCGCGCTAGTAAGTTCAGATGAGCCCTGCACAGCTGAGGCTTCAGCTCGGTTCTCTACAGCTGAGATTTCAGCTGGGTTCTCTACAGCTGATGTTCGGAGAGTAGCTTTCTGGCATATGAGTTGTTGATCCTAGGTTGTAGTGCTGCAACCTGAGTTGAGGAGATGAGCAAAGCCCAATAGTCACCAGACCACAATCCCACCATCACGGCCCTCAGCTTGCGGAAAATTCGGGGATGAATAAAATTTATCGATTGACCAGGGACTGGAGAACTGCCGAGCAGGGCCGAAGAAAACCTTGACATCTTGGGACTGGGGAGCCTCCAGCGACCAGCGACAGGTCCCGTGAAACCAAGAGCGAGCTAAAGATTGAGCGTGACTTTCGTGCGAGAATCGACAGCTATTACCTAGAGATCTTCAAACGCACCCGGACGGAGACGACCAAGCGATGGACACACGAGCTGGAGATCAAGCGACCATGTTCCCACGTCGCCGAGCTGTTGGCGGAGAACGCTGAAGTTCGAGTATCAAGCTGTACTAAAGTGTTGTGTTAGCAACGACAGTGCCGTCGTTGTCATGGAACAAGGATCTGTATGCCGTGTACGTGATGCATTGGATGATGATGATGCAGAAGAGAGAGAGAGGTCCTGAGGAAGGTGGGGCTATATACAAGAGATGACACGTGCCTGCCGTAACCTTCACCGCTACTCCCTAGCAGTCGAACATTGAGTGAAGCAAGATGATTTCGAGTGGACCAACGAGACATATGCTGATCGGGCTAGGCTATTGCTACGTGCTGAAGAGTGTGATCCTCTGGGTTGAGTCTTCGTGGATCGGAAGCAGCCCCTTCGTTACCGACGCGTGGATTCTGTGGCGGGTCCTGGAGTGGAGTTGCAAGGGTTTGCTTCGAGGCAAGGGAGAGTGCGGTTGGGGTTACGCGGGGGGTGGTGAGGAGATGGAGGGAAAGGATAAGGGAGAAGAGGGTGCGTGTTTGCGGTGTTGTTGGTGATACTGGCTGGGCGAGGCTGACAATTGCGGGGAACAATTGAGGTGTTAGTGGATAGGGTAGCGGCGGCGCAAAGGGGAGCATGAAGAGGTTTGGAGGTGTTATATGGGTACTATGAGGAAGTTGACTGGAAGTAAGTGCTGATGGGTAGACGTAGGAGGCACTCACGCAAAGACTGTCTTGAACATCGAACAACCCATCGACCTACGAGATCCTCAACGTGGTGCAAAGCGGACGGAGCGATTTGGCGGACTGACTGCTAGATAGTGGTATAATGCGATCAGGGTATAGGGACGCAACGAAATCAGAACTGGAAAAAAAGGGGTAATAATTCTAGAGGTATGAAGATTAATGAAGGCTACCTGATGCTATCAAAAGGCACCATTGCAGTCTAGTAACATGTGTCCGCCTAGGGCGGAAAACCACCTGTTGTCGATCGTTCCATTAGCGGCGACCGTTCGCGCCTCAGCTGTCTCCCCCGCTTCGATAACGAAAACCCTCCTATCCTTCACTCTAAACGCACTATTTTGGCTAACTTGGCGGTCCATGATGCCAGAGGACGCCAGATATTGTTATCGACCTCTGTCGACGGATAGAGAGTCGGCGGAGATCAGAATCATCGAGCTTTTACCCGAAGCCCTGTTCCCGAACCAGATAAGATGCAACATTCGCCACGTCCAGCTTTGCGATGAACCCATATACGAAGCGCTTTCATACTGCTGGGGGCCCTAAGAGCCATCATATGCAATCTCCTGTGATGGGTGCCGATTCGACGTCGGGGCGAACCTGCTGCATGCTCTGCAGAGGCTACGGTTAGATGAACAAATTCGAGTCCTTTGGGTAGACGCCATTTGCATCAATCAACAAGACGGCGTCGAGAAAGCTCAACAGGTTCGCGAGATGCGTACCATATATAAGAAGTCCAGAAGAACAGTCGTTTGGTTAGGAGACGGCGATGAGATGGATATCGTGATTCCGCTCATGGCAAAACTGCTTCGTTCCGCATACCTGATGGCCGCCAACGGAGACAATCGGAGAATTGAGCAGATGTCGCCAAACGATGTCGCCAGATATGAGATACCCATATCTGCTATACATGCGAATACTTCATTCAGGGCGCTCATGACCCTGTTGAATCGGCCATGGTTTCAACGGGTCTGGATCATTCAGGAGGCTGCAGTACCATCAGAAGTGGAGCTTCTATGTGGCTCCCATTCAATCCGATGGGATGAATTCGTCGAAATGATGCGATTCATTGGTACATTCGGCCTTGAGTACATATTTACGAACATGGGCGGATCCCGTAGCACCTGGACACTTATCGTTGCAGTCAGGGCGGTTATTCAAGGAGGGAAAGATATTCCGCTGTTAGACCTCTTGTGGCTATCCAAAGAATCCCTAGCAACCGACCCGCGAGATCGCATATTCGCACTGTGTGGGCTCTCCTCAAATGCAGCACAATCTGGGCTCAACATCGAGATAAATTACTCTCCAACACAGACGCCACTACACGTATTCCAAAAAACAGCAGTGGCAATGATAAGGCACTCAAGGAACCTTGACATTTTAACAATCCCTCGGCGTTCAGATAAGCTCAACCCTCTTGGACTTCCGTCTTGGGTACCTGATTGGTCGTCAAATCACGAAGTATACGCTTTATGTGAGAGAAATCTCAGACAGCCGTCGGATTCACTGCCCAAGAACGATTTCGCGGCCTCGAGTTCGACCGACTATGAGCTGCTGCTTACAGCAAATGGAAGACAATTGATAGTCTCAGGCGTCTATATCGACTGCATGGAGAAACTGGGGCCCTCGTGTGACTTTGGAGAAGTCAACGATGCGACAGAGAAAGCCAAGATAGACGGCGAGAGGACGCTCGCTTGGATGGATATCACGCACGCGGAATCGAATGAGTTGTACAAGACCGGAGAATCTCGCCTCGACGCGTACTGGCAAACGTTCTATGGAGGCCACTACGGCATAAGCTACGAGGAAGCGAAGTCTCTTTTTTTCGAACACTACAGGCGGCTTACAAGAAACCACCTCTGGCTAAGACTGGGCCTATCTCGTTACATGGGCCTCTACAAGGCGGTGAACTTTGTCGACTCTGCCGTCCAATATCTAAGCAATGGCACTGGAAATTTGCACCGCCACAACAAGCTCATGGCAATTCAAAGATTTCGCAGGATGGGCGTTTCTAAGACAGGGTATATTTGTTTGGCACCCTCTATAGCCGAACCCGGAGACAGCATTTTCGTCCTGAAAGGAGGTGCTGTGCCTTTCCTGTTACGGCCATCCGAATCTGGATCGTGGGAATTGATTGGAGAAGCATATGTCCATGGAATTATGAAAGGAGAAGTGTGGTCTGAAGCGGACTGCCAGTCAATCCACATAGGTTGACCTCGCGTCTTGATTTTGGCACGATGACAAAGCTGACAGAGGAGATGGCAGAGTCAAGCGTAACCCAGTTTAAGGTCACCTCCAGCGGAGGGCGAAGAATGTATGAGCGTCAACTGTACTTTTATATATAAATAGAGTCGATTGTCGTCTCCGGCACAGTGGGATATCCGGCGCAAAGGGAGAGAGGTTGGCGCGCGTCGTTGGAGGCGCTTTCTATCGGTTGTGGTGGCCGTCGTCGCTGTGCTGCGTGCTGTTGGCGCTGGTTGGGCGTTCTCTCGCCATCGACCAAGCCCGCACCATGGGTAATCCAGCCCCTCGTTCTTTGTTCCGGCACGCAAAGACAACTGAATCGGTCAGCCACAGGCTCGGCAATAGCCTAGTGAGTAAGTTAAATTGCTCCGTTATTATTGAAGTGGCCGTTCGAAGTGGCCTGTCCCGAGACTTTCCGGTTATTGTTACATGCGATGTGCGGAAGCGTTTCGTGTTAACCTACATACCCTTTACTAGTAAACCATCTTATTCCGCCCAGCGCCAAACTCAAGCGGAGCATCTCCAAGCCTCACATCTCCCCGAATCCAAAGCCTAGTATCAAACCCGTCTCGCGCCGCCTGTTGCCCACCCCCGGGCCAGAGCACCGGCCGGTCTGGATGCCAGCTATCGCTGTTATGAAAGAGCTCTCCGAACCCATCAAGTTCCCACGCTGGCTTCACACGACCGTGCTCAACCACTCGTCTAGCATTTCGTTGTGGTGTAGCTCTCCTCCTGAAATTATCGAGAGCGAGAGGATAGTGAACTCGGATGCGCTTGAGGCTTTTCATTCTGGCGCCGTGATGCCTGAAGAAGTACGACAACAACCTGTTGTGGCGCTTCAGAGATTTCTCGACATACTCACAAAGAACAAGATCAACGGTTCCCTCGCCACCGGCAAGGCGTCGTGGCTGTGCGATCGGAGCGATGTGTCCGTCTCGACCATACTGTCGTAGTTGGCGAACGTTTCCGTCCCCTAAACCAACGCCGCTAGGGCCCATATTGATGCCGTCTGCGTAATCGATGATTAACTCGTCTACCAAATGTATGAAGGCGTCGAGAAAAAGGCGATTGGTGAAGAAGCCACGCAGGGCTTCGTCGGGGTTCCACTTAACCAAGCCCCAGTCCGGCGACGGCAGGGTAATGAACTCGCCGAACTGGCCGAGTTGGAGGATGAGCGGGATTCCAGCAGAACGCATGTCCCTGAAAATTGCGTGGACCTCGTCGAAACGAAGCTGTCTTTTTGTTGCATCAAATGCCCACATGTGCGCAGTGCTTGCTGATTGTGCAAGAGTGAATCTCGGTCGCCATTGGAGGGCTCCGACTGCGTCTCTGATGGTTCTAGGCTGACTGATAGCTGTGAAATCATGTTCCCATGTGGTCTCGACGGGAAAGGCTTTGAGCAACTTTGCCGGATCAAGCACGACGTTGATGTCGTCTAGAGAAGTGATTTTAAAGCGGCCATGGTGGCGTGCTTGCACGGCCTGTATCTGCTGAAAGAGAGAAATAACATCCATAGGAGTGGAAGATCGCAGCCAATCCTGGTCCCATCTTGGATGACCAAAATCCTCAGCCCTGGCCTCAGCCTCAAGCCCCACGCATTCCGTGCTCTCAAAGTCTATGTCGTTGAGCAGGTATTTTATCCACGCTCCAAACGTAAAGCCAACGTTTTGGAGATTGGGAAGCCGAATTCCACAGTCCCCGGGAGGGTTGAAGTACTCTAGCAGCACGTACAAGCTCCTGACGGACTGGTGAGCTCCTACAAAATTGATAGTTTTCAGGGTTCGGCGCGATGACTGAAGCGCATCTGTGAGCTCGTTACCTAGTAAGGCTGTCATATGAAGACATTCATAACACTCGAAAGAATCGTCCGGATTGTAACGTAGCATTCCCGTGGCTGTCCGATCATCCTGATAGTGGAATGGAGGAACGATATTTAGAGTCTGGAGGGACTTACAATGTCTCATAATAATAGCACTAAGGGCGTCCGACTGCCAATCAGTGTGGGTATATGTATCTTGGAGGAACTGACGGTGTCCTACACAACGTTGGAGGCTCCCATCTTCCGCTTCGATGTGGTTCGAGTGCCAATTGATTGGGATAGTGAGGGTTGTGAGCCTATTGAACATGGCTTCGACAGCTGGGTCAATGATGGGCACGTCAGCTGGGTCAATTACCTCAGGAATGGGCCTGATCAGGCGGACGGCGGCTTCGACAGCTGGGTCAAGAACACGCCGGTTGGTTAGCCTTACGTAATCTTTCTGGCCTTTGTGGGCTACGCAGCTAATGTCTAGTGATGTCAGGTGCGAGAACCTACGGCTCATTTCGATGATATCAGCATTTCTGCAGGTCGGGTTTAGAGTATAGCTGCGAACCGCACGGCATGCAGCCGGGTTTGAGTAGATCCTGGCAAGACGATCCCTGTTTCGCAGATTTTGTGCATGCTCCACCGCAACCCCTCGTGTCCACTTCAAGATAGCATTTTCCTCGCCTTGCCAGTCTTCAATGTAGGCGCTGTAATCTCGATAGGTAAAAGGTTCGCGATTTAATGCTTCCATGTATCCCACATTACGGGGGAGAGTGAGATCGCCTAGTTGCTTCAAGCCGGCAATTTCTTCATAACTTAGATAGGCCAATACCATACCTTGTATCTCCAGAGGGGCTCCATTAAGGAAGTGTCTTATTTGGGCGCTCATTTCTTTAGAAGACGCATATGAAAAGATCGGTTGAAATTGTAGAACTGCAAGTACTTTTGTTCTTTGTGATTGGGAACGTAAAGTTTCGACTTGAGATGGACAATACGACGATTGATGCTAGATGGCGAGGTTAAGAGATTACTTTGATGGACGGTTTGGTAGACAACAAGACCTACAAAGACAAAGGCATTGTATTTCGAACAAGGTGGGGAGAAAGAAAGCGACAATAGGCTATTGTAGATGAAACTTTGAAAGTCCATAGATAGGACAACGGCTATGATCGGAGTCGAACAATGCCTATTGTCCATCACTACTTATGATCGACCTTACTCTCAGCAACGGCTAAAAGCGTACGCCTCCATTGGCCCTGGCAAGCGCATACTCCTTGTTCGGAGACAAAGAAGGGCTGTTGTTAGGGTTTAAAGGGTTCTTGCGAGCATGGGAGCAGACAAATTTCAATGCATGGGAAACACAAGCGCCGGTCTGCGTGAATATCACTCTCTTCAGAAGCACAATTAATAATAAGCACGAGGCACGATCATATAGCCATGCGGTTACCTGCTTTCCTCGTGTACCTGAGCGGCGAGAACAACGTAGTCATGCCACTCAAATCGGCCTTTACCAATGAAAAAAACAAAGACTCACATGGCAAACAAACGGTTGAGATGATTTCATTATCCTATTGTTCCAAGAAAGAAGCTACCAATCACGCTCAGTGTAGAGCAGTCGACTCTTCATCAACTAGTGCGTGAGACCTTCGTCCAAGCTGTCTGGAGGAACTTGCTCGTTAATATGGTGGACGATCCCTTGGGTCCTCGCGACAAGCCGGACAAAGGCCAGGAATCGACTGCTCTTTCTCTTCCGGTCGGGGGCATCGAACGCCCAATCGGCGGGCTTGGCCACAGTGTTGAAAGAGGAACTGCTGGTCGCGATGGCCGCAGGAAAAGTATCTATGAGCCTTGCGGCACATTGTTGAGGCGCTCGGTCTTCACAGATATGATGCTTAGTTGGTGGATCTGTTCGCTGAAAGTATTGCTGTAGGGCTGTAGTTAAAGGCTAGGAAAAGTAGTAGAACCTTCAAGCCCGGATTTATGGTGGTAACATATTGAGAGCTACGTAGATCATGCGTCGGTAGGAGTCGCCAGCGGTGCTCGTGGCACTGCTGAGGTGGCTTGCCAGCTGGTAATCCCGTGACGTTCTCAATCGTAATGGAGCTGGCGGGGCATCTTGAAGTCATATTGTAGCTGCAAAGGCTGCAAATTGTCTTGCGTGTATCTCTGTAGCCCCTTCTTCGGTGGCAGCTTCGTGAAATAGGTATCGAGGGAACATACCCGTGGACAGGTATTGAGGCAGCCATCATGTCCAGCACCAAAACATCTCTTGTAGCTTACTAGCTCTCACCATAGTAAAGTCCTGTTTCTTACCGCGCAAATGAGGTCCTGCATGGCCTAAGAGCCCTAGATGGAGCCTCTAAGCTTACGGTCATGATTGAGTGGTAGATGTCCGAGCGGCCGGAGTCCGCACACGATGCTGACTTGCGTATAGCACGTCGATAGACATTCAGAAGTGACCCTGGTGTAAATGTAGATGACGAGAAACACAGTGTTGATGGCCAATTGCAGAATATCGACAAAAGTTGAAACGTGAAGTATGAGGCAAGGTGTGTCGTCGGCGATGGTGTTGAGCACTCTCGAGACCGGCACAGCGGTCTTCGGCATGCTTGGCCTCTTCAACGCTCGGTCCAGGCCCGAGACCCTGCATTAGATAGTCTCACCCTGCAGATCCTTTTTGCTGCTCAAAATAGTCCTCCACGTCCGCCCTCCCCTTCCCGTCCGCAACACCACAAGCCTCTACATATCCATCTCTCCACCTAGCTCACAATAGCCCAAGCAGCGCGCTTGTCGTTGCAAGCCTATCTGGGCTGAGAACCGCTCTTTGGGCGTCAATATCCCTCGGTTACACCAGTCCCGTGATGCGAGGTCCCCGATCTTTGTCCGCTTGACTATTGAATCCGACCTCTCATTCCTTCATCAGATTGGATTACAACCACTACTAGTAGTCGTCAAGAGTAGCCAAAAACGGCTTCGAGTGGATCTGAAGGCGAAATTGAATCTGGGCGGTCTCAGCCGTCTTCTTTTCTCTCCGCTCCGACAATATCCGTCAAGACAACCAGATCCGCCGACTCCGGTGACCTCGGAAAACTTCCAAGTAGCACGCTTCAAGCCATTTACTTTCTCAGCTTCGTAAAATGGCACCCGGCATCACAGCAGTGCCAACCCCGGCTCGCATCCTTTTCCTTGACGCCTATGACTCCTTCACCAACAACATTGTCAATCATGCCCGCGAGAGCCTCGGAGCCGATGTCACTGTTATACACATTGATGATGAGAGATATACCGGCACTGGTCATGGCGACTTCTTGGAATTCCTCTCTACATTCGATGCCGTCATCGCCGGCCCTGGACCGGGAGACCCATCAATTGAACACGACGTTGGGCTTATTGGAAAATTATGGAGCCTCGACGAGAAAGATATGCTACCTGTTCTTGGGGTCTGCTTAGGGTATCAGAGTCTGGCATTAGCTTTTGGAGCAACCATCGAGCGACTGCCAGAGCCCCGGCACGGTGTCATGACTACCGAATTCCTGCATGATGAACGCTCCATCTTCAAAGGCATAGGTGAAGTCCAGGCAACTCAGTACCATTCCCTGCGCGTCAATATCGGCCACTCGATTCAGACCCAGAGCTCAGTCGCCTATCCGAAGCAACTTTGGGAACCCGCGGAACAGTGTCCTGACCTGGAGCCTTTGGCGTGGGACTGGGATGTGCCGCCGAACAAAGCAGTCCTCATGGCAACCAGACACTTGCATAAGCCATTTTGGGGCGTTCAGTATCATCCGGAATCAATCTGCACCAACGAGGAGGGCGCGAGGGCGGTTGGTAACTGGTGGAGAGAGGCTCAGTGCTGGATTGCAAATAACAAGATACTTCGACTGAAGCAATTGATTCGGAATTCCAGTACACCTGTTCTAACGGAGACGAACCAAAGCGAAGAGGAGCACTCCAGAGATGGCAAAGAGACCGACACGATGGCGGGCTCCCGCCTGGTGCTGAATTTGGATAACTGCGGCGATGCTGTTCAATCTAGAATTGGCCCCGGTACCTCTTTTCTATCAACAACCAAGGTTCAAAGTGCGAATTTGCTACGCCTCGAAGTGGCTGAGAAGGCACTGCGTCAAGAGTGGGAGAAAGAGACCGCGAACATCAAATTAGCGCCAAAATACCCGCATATGTCAAAATTGAACATTCTCAAAAAGGGGTACGACATTTCTAGGAAAACCTCCGAAACTTCGCAAAAATATTTCGGGGAAGACGTCATGGCGCAAAATGGCACCAAATCAACGATGCCGTGGCTCCGGCCTGACACTGTCCATGTCAAGACTTGCGGTAGCGGACAGCTGCGAGTCTCTGAAGTGTGTGGCCTAGTCTGTATACATGATCCGAAGAGTCAAGCAGTGGTTCTTGAATCTGGACTGAAACCTGGACTCCAAACATCAGAAGTTGGCACGGGTCGATACAGTATCGTCGGCGTCTTCGTCCCCGACGAAACAATCCGGTTGAGTTACTCAGTCTACAGCAAAACCTTGTATTGGAAGACAGGCCAAGGGAAGACCTATTATCATCACCGTGTCGAAGATATTTGGGAGTACCTCAGAGAGCTAATGGACGATTTGAGACCGATCAAAGAGCCTGCTGGACCTCGTTTTGCCCCTTTCTGGGGCGGCCTTATGGGCTATGCATCATACGAAGCTGGCCTCGATACGATAGGCGTCAAGCCATCGCCACGCCAAAACACAAACCCCGACCTCCAATTTGCTTTCATCACACGCAGCATTGTCATCGATCACGCCATAAAGAAGGTATACGTCCAGAGCATCCGCTCGGCTGACGACATGCGCTGGGTTGTCGACACTCAAGAGACTCTCTTCAACATGTTCGTCGCCCCCAATCGTATCAGGCCCCTATCAGAGTCATACCCTCCACTGCCCAAACCTCAGCTCTATGCTTTGGGACTGCACTCCATAGTGTCAGATATTCGTAAGCTCTATCCACCTGACGTTCAGGCCAAGCACCTTCACCACCTTCTACTTCGAGAAAAGATCAAAGACGGGCTGTGCTCTCCGCCACCGCGCAAAGGATATGAATCAATGGTCGAAAGTTGCCAGGAAAAGATCGCAGCGGGTAACTCATACGAGCTGTGTCTAACCCAACAGACGACTTTTTTGCTCCCGCCTACCGACCTTAAAGACTGGAAAAGCCACGGCAATCCAATGATGGCACCGGGAAATGTCCCTTGGACGCTCTTCCGTAACATCATGGACCGCAACCCAGCGCCCTTCGGGGCCTACATCCGCTTCAACAACTGCGACATGGGCAGCGGCGTGAGCATCGTGAGCAGCAGCCCGGAGCGCTTCATGTCCTGGGACCGCAAAGGGCGCACGCAATGCCGGCCCATTAAGGGCACCGTACGGAAAGGGCCGAACGTCACCCGCGCCCACGCCGACGAGATCCTACAGTCTTCCAAAGAGCGCGCCGAAAATCTAATGATAGTCGACCTCACGCGTCATCAGATGCACGGCGTGTTCGGCGCCAACGTCACCGTCCCGCATCTTATGGAGGTAGAAGAGTACGAAACGGTGTATCAGTTGGTATCTGTTGTCGAAGGCGTGCCTCCCGGCGTCGACCACGCCCGCACCCCGGAGGACTGGGAGGAGCCGCCGGACTACGTGTCGGTCAAAACAAGGGCTAATACCGGTGCGTATGGTATCCGCGCCCTGGCTGCCTCCTTACCACCGGGGTCGATGACGGGGGCCCCGAAGAAGCGGTCTTGTGAGCTGTTGAAGGAGATCGAGGAAGATGAGCCCCGTGGGGTGTACGCTGGGGTGCTGGGCTACCTAGACGTAGGCGGCGGAGGAGACTTTTCGGTGGTCATTCGCACCGCAGTATGCTGGGAGGAGGAGAGAGTGGAAAGAGAGGGCAAAGAGGCCCGGGAGGTGTGGAGGATTGGTGCGGGGGGTGCCGTCACCTCGCAGAGTACTCCTTCAGGAGAGTATGACGAGATGTTCGTCAAACTTGGGGCCACACTGGGGGCGTTCGCGGCAGATCCTGGCCACCCTGCGTACCCCATGGAGTAGGTTGATGTTTGCATAGCATGGATTTGGGGGTGACTGGGAGTTTTGGGTATATCAGGCTGCATTGGGCGGTAACTGTGGATTAGTTCAACATTAAGTATAGATTTCTGGCTCAACGCCACCGTTCGAAGCACCTCAACGAGCTTGCTTCAGTATACATATCTTCGTCATTGCGAGCACAATTTTAAGAAATATACTTTTAGCCTGATTAAAGTGAATTATGATTCTAGCCCGGCTCTGCCACGCTCTGCCACGCTCTGCAGATCAGCCTGATTTGCCTTTCGTTTTGATAGCATAGTAAACATATGAATGGACCCCTAGGCGAGTAAACAGTATCTCTCTCCAATACGATTATACATGATGCGAATTTGAAACGTGATGTGGTGTTGAATTTGTGAGGGCGGTGCAGGGGTCGAGAGGCTCCGCAGTGGTTTTCGCTTGCAAGTTCCCTGGCCGCTCCAAACAGCGCTCCCTTCATCTTCACCTGCGACCCCACCGCCACGTCCACAATCGCCCACGTAACGCACACCTCTCACTGCGAGAGCCTACAATCGCCAGCAAAGAACCCAATTCTTTCGACCGTGAGGTCTCGGCCCTCAGCGTCCAACATGTCGTCATACCTCTCGAACCTCCTCACGACCACGACATCACGATACACCTCTCTACGACGAAATCTCCTGGACAGCGAAGGCGACGGCGATACCGAAGATGACTCCCATATTTCGCGAGTGCTGAGGGCATACTACATCGAGAAGGGCAGGCCTTTTCCGCCATGGCTGCCCCCAGACCCAAAAGGGACACCGCAACAAGCGCCCACCACACAGTTCGTTTCCTCGCTGGGGAGACAGCCCGGACAGCAGCCCCCCATGGGCCGCGGCGGTGGATTGAGTGGTCTATGGGATGAGCAACCACAGCAGCCGCCGCCTCAGCAGGAGCCGCTGTCGCTGCGACGAGCACAGGGACGAGGTGGCGGTGGGCGCGGCATGCCCGGACGACCAGGTGCCGTCGAATCGTATTCTGCGGAGCCGCAACTGGCACCACGACCGCTCCCAAGCCAGCGGGCAGGAAGCTACCAACCGGCGAGCGCATTTGGACGACCGCCTGCTGAACCATCACCGCCGCCAAGCAGTGGATCTGGAGCGACCGCACAAGAGAGACTTAAGGCGAGGCTGTGGGGATCTGGACGGTCGAACAGCCCATTGCAGGGCGCGTCTGCTAACTCCAGTCCTGCGTCGACGCCGGGTGCAGGGTCAGCGGGGATGCGCAATCCATACGATCGAAGCAATAGTGCTGGATCGGCCAGACAGGCTGCACCAGCACCATACCCAGAGGAGCGAGGAGGATACGGCGGGGGCAGGCAAACGCAGAATCAGAGCTCAAACGTATCAGCCAACTCGCCTTGGTCGAACCCGGCTGATGACGAGTTCGGTGGTGGAGCTTACGACACGGGAAGGCAATATGGAGGCCCACGGGGCGGAGGCCGCGAGAGAATTGGGCTGCCGAATGGGCCACGGCCGCGATAAACTGTTACTTCAGGCTTCTTATGGGATTTGGGTTTCTATGGAGCGTTCAGCATATTCATTCACGGCGTTTTGAAGTTGTTCGGACAGTTTCCGGTTTCCTTTGATATGTGGCTTGTTACAGCTGCATGCTTCAGGTGCTCATTCGGTGCATTCGAAGGCTCTGTATATCTGTCCTATGGATGCTAATAAGTAATAAGAGCCATACTATACCCTCCTACTTGACTTTTTCCCTTATGTGCATGATATCCCAATTGCTGGTGCCTCTGTACTGAGGGGCAGGCCACGCACCTTGCCTCGCCCCGCGTCACGAGCCAACGTCATCCCGCCTCCCAGCTCTCCTCACCATCCTCCCACATCACCAATCATACGAGGTGTATTCGAGGCAGCTTCGCAACCTTCTCTGCCTGTAGCTACATTGGCTCTAGCTGCCCGAGCCTCGTTCCTGACTTCACCTGCCCACCTCGCGCCTTCCAGCTGCCCCATTCACCATGACCTCTCCAACACCGCCGCACAGCCCGCCGTCTCCCACGGCCTCCTTCTACGACATGAGCGACGACGAGGAGGGCGAGTACAACACCATCAGACACACCAGCAGCGGGAGGGGTGTGAAGCTGCTGTATACAAAGAGCAAGGTGAGCTCCGGGCCGGTGGCGAGAGCGCCTTAGAGATCACATAGCCCAGCTCAGACTCCAAGCTGACCATCATAAATTAGGTCTACGTGCACCCCACGCCCTCCGCCAAAGACAACATCCCCGGCTTCATAGCTCTAGTCCAGCAAAAGGGACCCGTTGAATCGAACGATGCCCGCCCCACATCATCCTCCTCCGCCCGCAGCGTCCACGCCTCATCCCTCCTCCTCGCCTGGGTCCCGGAATCGTCGCTCGGCGATTCCTACGACACATATGTGAAGGTGGACCTGTCAGACTCGTCGTCGCCCCCTCGGCAATCCTACCTCGTCCCGCCCCCGCCGACGACCACGACGCACGCCAACTCCGTCGGCACGTATGCGTTTGCGGTGCCGGTCAGCGAGATCTACTCGCTGCTAGTGCGCCCGCCGAGTATCGGGTGGTGGTTTGGGAGTTTGGTCGCGAATACGAAAGCGGGGGAGAGCTTCCCGGCGCTGTTCTTCCACGATAGCGAGTGCCAGTCGACAATTCTGCAGAGGAAGAAGCTGGCGAGGGAGAGCTTTGATCCGTTCGGCGATGGCGGGGGGATGTTTTGGGGCGGCGATGAGGTGCTGAGGTGGTTGAAGAGATATGTGAATGTGGAGCGGTCGGGGGCGGAGCCGAGTATTTATCTTATTGATCCGTCGGAGGAGGATAAGGTGTCGTTTGGGCGGAAGGCGACGACGTCGAAGTCTCCGAGGAATAGCACTGATGGCGGAGCGTCGTCGTCGGCTTCGCCGCCTGCGGCGAAGAGGGATGGGGGGATGGATCCTATCACGAAGACGCTGAAGGAGGCGAAGTGGAATTTCTTGGAGAAGTTGAGCCAGGTTACGACGTTTACGAGGAGGACGGCGCAGGCGGTTGCGGAGAATCCGAAGGTTCCGCCGCAGGTTCGTCGGTTGATTCAGAATCCTGAGGTTCAGGTGTTGCAAGAGGAATTCGACAGTGCGAAGATTTATCTGGCGAGATGGGCAATGGGGATTCAAGAGCAAAGTGAAAGAGAAAGAAATCAAAGGATATGGACAGCAAATGACGTGCTGGAGATGGAGGAGAGCTCAGTTGGCGAGTTTGAGATTCTCGATATGGAGGCTGGAAAACTGTCGATGAGCGATCTCAGGAAACCAGTTACCTTGAAAGAATGGAAGGACTTCTTCGATGCACAAACCGGAAGGCTGCAGATTACGCCGGATGAAGTCAAGGAGCGGATTTTCCATGGTGGCCTACATCCGGATGACGGTGTTCGAAAAGAAGCATGGATGTTCCTGCTTGGTGTCTATGAATGGGATAGCTCAACCGAGGAACGCCATGCGAACATGAACAGCCGTCGGGACGAGTATATTAGACTCAAGGGTGCCTGGTGGGAGCGAATGATCGAGGGACACAGCACCGCGGAAGAAGAGGAGTGGTGGAAAGAGCAGAAGAACAGGATAGGTACACATCCCCAAAACTTCTTTCCGGAGATCACGAGACTGACTTGTCCCATTCTATGGGATCCGTGCTATAGAGAAGGACGTGCACCGAACCGATCGCACTATCCCAATCTTCATGGGAGAAGACATCCCACATCCAGACCCCGATTCACCATTCGCAGATGTTGGCACGAATGTGCATCTCGAGCAGATGAAAGACATGCTCTTGACGTACAATGAGTACAACAAAGACCTTGGCTACGTACAAGGCATGAGCGATCTCCTCTCGCCTATCTACGCTGTCATGCAAGATGACGCCGCCGCCTTCTGGGGCTTTGTCGGCTTTATGGAACGGATGGTAACTCCACTGTCCCCTCTCCTCATACTCCCTAATACTAATAACCTCCAAGGAACGCAACTTCCTTCGCGATCAATCCGGCATGCGCAAGCAGCTCCTCACCCTCGACCACCTCGTACAGCTCATGGATCCCAAACTCTACCTGCACCTACAATCCGCCGACTCGACCAACTTTTTCTTCTTCTTCCGCATGCTGCTTGTGTGGTATAAGCGCGAGTTCGAATGGGTCGACGTGCTAAGGCTGTGGGAGGGGCTGTGGACAGATTACTTGTCCTCGAACTACCACATCTTCATCGCGCTAGCGATTCTGGAGAGACATCGGGATGTCATTATGGAACATCTCAAGCATTTTGATGAGGTGTTGAAGTACAGTGAGTTTTCTCTTCCGGATGTCTGGAGTAGTATCAAGATGGTTGCTAATCTAAAACAGTCAATGAGCTCTCCGGCACCATCGAGCTCCAATCCACCCTCGTGCGCGCCGAATCCCTCTACCGCCGCTTCCAGCGCACCGTCGAGACCATCGACAAAAAGGACAACTTCCCCCTCCCGCCCGCCGCTCACCGCCGCATCTCATCCACCAGATCTGCCTCCGCTTCTCCGCCGCCGAAAACGACGTGGGCGGCCTCCGGCGCCGCGTCGACGTCAACAGGCACGGATAGGGGCAAGCAGAGGCAGAGCGTTGGCGATGTGGTTGCGAAGGGGATCGGCGCCGATAAAGAGAAAGTTATTTCTCCGGAGCTGAGGCAGTTGCTTAGTCGGGAGGTGGAGAAGGTGAGTAAGGCGGAGCTTAAGGAGCATGGGGGCGGGGTTGGGGGTGCTTGATGATAGTTATTAGGTTTTAGTAGGCGAGATTTGAGTGGTGTTTGGCGTTGGGAAACTGGGAAGGAAATAAAGGATAGTCAGTGCGGGTATATCGATCCATTTTATGAGTATGGAAATGTGTTTGATGGGTTTCTGAAGTGGGTAGGGTTGGGGGGGGGGTGATGATGGGAGGGTTTGAGTAGGTGGGTGCTACGGTAGGCGGATATAACAACACCGACTTCCCACCTCCTCACGATGGAATCTCATCCACGTCTCTGCCGTCACGCCTCTACCGTCATCATAACGTTTCTTCGCCCCATTCCCCCCCTCTCCAATGCGCCACTTCCCTATTCCTCTCACCGCATCAAACACGTGGTAAACTACCCACCCCCTCACCATTCTATGTCCAAAAAACTCGTGACTCTTACGATCCAAGCTCTGAAACCAACTCCCTCTAAGAACCATGCCCTTCCATCTCTCGCCTCCTCACGGCCCACTAATTATCCCTCTCCCCTGGACACGGGCGCGCCCTGTGCTGCCGATACCCGAGTAACTTGCTGCGGGGAGGTTGGCAGGGGGAGAGGTTGGGATAGGGAGATGTGCAGATGCAGGTTCGTTTGGCAGGTTTATCTAGATGGTGCAGGTGGTTTCGCGATGGTGGTGGTGGTGGTGGTGGTGGTGGGTGATTTGATGGCGGGAGTAAGGGTGGCTAGCTAGTACCGTAGCTTTGGTAGGAAGGGTATTGTAGTGGAGTGTTCTGAGAGCTGGAGGTTGGTTGGTGGAGAGACTTGGTGTGGGTGGGTGGGTGGGTTGCGCGGGGGGATTGAGGTGTAGAAGATGGTGAAATTGAATTTTTATTTTTATTTTTATTTTTTTTGGGGGCCTGTATGCCTGTATGCCTGCTACACCCAAGTTACTTACCTCTCATTACTACGTTGGCCGAGATAGCGGCGTTTTCCTTAGTGCGTAGCGCTCTGTGGTAGGTACTAAGATGTTAAAACATCCACTTCTCGTAAGAACAGAACCTCTAGATATCGGTCAGAGCAGAGTCCGTTTGCAACAAAAGATGCTAACCCCACGTCTTTGCGTCACGATGCACAATGGATACCCGGGATAAACAAACATTACGGTAGTTAATAAGAGCGCAGATATAGGTATCAACACGTAGCGAACGAAGTAGGAGCCAAGATACAGAAGGAAGACTATTGCGGATATAGAATTTCTGGGACCCCGATACATGGAGGTATGAACTCTTGCTTACCAAGGCGATCAATGTCAGCCACGCCAAAGTGCGGTTTCAGCTGCGGAGTCCCTCCTTCACGCCGAGCTGGGCACGAGCTGAAGGGAGAGATCTGGATAGCTTTGAGGGCCTGGCGGGCGCGCTGCAGCTGTCTAGCTGCTGCCGATAGCCAGCGGGGGCGATGGATGCATGTGGCATATTGGTCGTCAGAATGGATAGATGAGCGTGTTCCCGAAGAGACGAACCTCATCCACGCACCCCGCGCGCTTGCTCCCCGACGCGCTGTTCCTGTCGCATTGTCAATCGGGCATCGCAATCGCCCGATGCAAACGGTGGTTTTGTAGCGTTAGCAGTTCCTACCTTGCATGCGTTGGATGGAGAGAGATCTTAGAATAACTACTCTAAACGCAAAGCAGGATTGCAGCAATCCTTCCGAGATTTCTCGATGAAACGGCTCATACGATGGAACAGGGCGTTGTTATATCAGGTGAGCAATATAGACTTGCGAAGGAAAGGCTGTAGATTTTACAAAATTGAGGTATGCTTCGATCTTGTGTTCTCCCTATCTTTCTACAGTCGCCTGGGAGCGTCGTAAATTACGATAAGAGGAGGGACACCGACATGCCTGTTGCGAAACAAGGTTAGTTTGAGATAGACGCAATCGTCTAAGCGTCCGGAAATTTATCGGAGAGTTTGGGTAGGTAGTGAGTGGACGAATAACCAGTCAGAATTCGCATGAAACATCGCATCCAGTGCTGGTTGCACGTGACATCTACGAGTTAGGCCATGCTTTCAAAACCACAACTGAAAGTTTGCAAACAGTTCAGATACAGTTGTCGCGAAACAATTTACACGCCACCGCAAAGAAGGCTGATAATTAGTGCATAGCCATAAAGCGTACGTGTGTGCGGACCGGGTAGGCTGCTGACATCCGGTGTCTCAATTCAGCCTTGGCTTGGGGGCGGACGATCGGCGGCCGTTGCGACGGTAAGGCCGCAAACGCCAATGCCGATTTCCGTCAATAGTGGCTGTGTGCTGTGACTATCGTAGACCTTGTGATATCGATGAGAATTGAGAGGACCTCAGATTCTGAATAGCAAGCTTGTGTCCAGATCCTCACTCCTAGGGAAGTATAAGGTTGTGCACAGGGTTTGCGAAGGTGGTGGAAGATCAAAGTTCCGACTTTTAGTACGTATACAGAATGGCTTCGCTGCGAAACAGTGCGAATGAAGTAATAAATGGTGTGTACCCTGCAAACCTGCTGACATGCTGATCGGAGATGTGTGTTAGGTGTAGACTCTGAAGTGCTGTGCACAGCCGCATCCTTCGGTGGTGGTTAGGATTTAAGGTTGTCGAGAATCTTGTGTCAAAGGCCTGGATTTCAACCTCATTGATCCTTTCGCTAAGCGGGTAGGTCAAGTGAGCAAATAAAGAACTAACCTGAAAATATAGCAGCACACCAAAATCGTACTTCCCTCGTAGTTAGAGGCGAATTCATGCTACTGAGGGCTTTTCAGTCGGCTCGGCATTACTGAAGTGGAATCTCTCCGAAAAAATATCTGATGAATTTGAAGCATGAATGAAATTGTACTAAAGTCTATGTCGCACAAGACTCAAAGCATGCAGAAGCAGTAAATCAGCCATGCCACGGCTCGACACACGATACTACGCATCAACCCAGTACTCTCCACTGAAGGAAGAAGTGAGTACAGCCACAACTCAGGCCGAAGGAAGCTTGGCAATGGTCGAAATCTCGTGTGTTGATGTGGGGAGGATCGACGAAGGCGCAGACGACGTCACAGGCAACGATCTTTAGGTAATGAGAGCCGCACGCACCCAGCCTCAACCTGCCTCTTTGATCAGTCGTACGATAGTGCACCGCCGTGGTCGTATCCAAGACATGCGTGACGAGCTGTGCGTGGCCGAAGCGGTGTCGGCGGGCGCTTGGAGACAGTACCGGCACGGTAGGTGGTCGGAACAGACGGGTACCTGTGCAATTGTGCGAGACTCTCAATCTCTGCTTCGGCGCGGGTGGTTGGGATCAAGTCCAGCCAGGGATGCACCGAGGCGGCAGTCTGGGTTTGCTGTGTCTGAAACAGGCGCACGCGGCGTGAATCGTGCTCGGGCAAACCTCGAGCGGGTTGAGATGCAGGCTGGCGGCTGAAATGGGTGGTGCTACAGTGCCATGGTTGAACTGCGGTTGGTCGAGCGACGGCGTCTCGCAGGGAAGAGAGAGCCGTTGATAGGGGCTCCGCTGCCCTCACTTGAAACGCCAAGCGGTGCGGCGTGGCGGCGCCGCAACCGCGAATCGACCTCGCTGCCAAACAATTCACTCCACGAGCACGGGGAAGCCAAGTCCAGCGTGTTCATGCGTCTGTTTGGGTGCTGGGACAGGCGCTGTCCTGCCCTGTAGACCCCTTACGGCCCTCTGCTCCAAAAGTCGTCCCTAATGCGTCCCCCCGGTGCGCTCCGCTCGCCCTATGACATCTGCCATGCACCGCTGCGGTGCTGGGATCCCATAGCTCCACCCTGAGCTACGATCGATGCTCCACCGCTGCCAACCGTCATGGGGCGGGATTAGGCTGCGCTGTGCTTCCGATTGGCGGTTGGACATGGCTGTTTGGTCCCCTAAACAACCAGCACGGCCCGCCGAGGCGGTGCGTCGACGAGCTAGTTCACTTTTTTTCTCCATAAGACAGTCGCCTGCGTCACCAGAGACCCTCACGTCCTCAATCAACCTCACTATCTTCCTAACCTTGAGGTTGCTGCCACTGCCACAGACCTGTCCCGTGCTCGGGCCCATCTGACTGGGCTGCCTAACACGGTTCTTGGCGTGCCTCTTCCGCTCCGCCTTTCATATAGTCCTCACAGTCCATGGCTGCGTGCTGACCTCTCTACCTTTCATCTCCTCTTCCTTTCCTTCATCCACCGCTTTCATCATGCGCTTCACCTCCCTCTCCGCCGTCATTGGGCTCCTCTCCATCACTTCTGCGAGCCCAATCCTCGACACTCGCGCGACTCCTACCAACAGCACGGCACCGTGTGCTGCTGTGTCCTCTGCCTACTTTGCCCAGACCAACCCTGTCCCCACGGTCCCGGCGCAGATAGCCTACGATTGCATCAAGAGCGTACCTCTCAATGTCACCTCCGCCAAGAAGCTCTTAGGAGACATTCGGCCGTATATCAACTGGCAGAGCACCCTAGCCTTCCTTAAGAACCCGCCTGCCGAGTACAAACAAAAGGTCCAGGACGCAGTCGACATCATCGCCGGATTAGATGACATCGAAGCCAAGGTCAACAGTGGAGCCTTCACAGGCGAGTACGACTTTGGCTTTGCACTGTACCAGCTGGTCCAATCAGCCCACGATGGCCACTTTTCGCTTGTCCCAGACTCTGTCGGTGCTATCTTCAACTTCGGCCGCACCGTCCCCTTGGTCTCCGTCTCTGAAGATGGCTTGAAGGTGCCCGCAGTGTTCGCCTACGCCGACGTGCTGGGCCAGCACTTCAAGAACATCTCGTACACTCCCTCTGCCATTGTCAAGATTGACGGTAAAGACGCAGCCACTTTTCTTGAGGACTGGAGCCAATGGGGATCTCTCCAGGACCGTGACGCGCTGTACAACAACGTCTTCTACGAACTCGCCCAGGTCTCTCTTGGTACTTCTGGCAGTGGTACTGGAACTTTCACAGGGGGAGGTCGTGGTCGTTGGGCATGGCCTGGTGCAACCACTACCTTCACCTTCGCGAACGGGACTTCGAGAACTATTGACAATTACGCCCGTGTTTTGGTTAGCATGAGAGGCATTGATTCAGGGGAGAAGTTGCAGAACACCTACTTCTATTACGCCAATGCCGGCCAAGCTGCGGGAGGCAACATCCAAGCCGTTCCTGGGGTTGAAGCCGCCAGTAGTGCTGCCGTGGCGACCGCAGCAGCAGCAGCAACACCAACGCCTGAGTCACCTCCAGGGTACCCCCCAATCGTTGTCCAGGGTCCATTGAACCTCATAAACGGCTACTATGTCGACTCGCCAGACTACGAAGACGTGGCTGTTCTCTCTGTCCCTAACTTTGTCGGAAACGAGGCCGCTGAAATCCCCTTCCAAGAGACAACGCAGAACTTTGTCGCCAAAGCCCTCAAAGACGGCAAGAAGAAGCTGATCGTCGACGTTTCGGCCAACGGCGGTGGTACCATCCTGCAAGGCTACGATCTGTTCAAACAGTTGTTTCCCTCAATTCTGCCCTACGGTGCCACCCGGTTCCGTGCCCATGAAGCCGCTGACCTTGTCGGCCAGTCCTTCAGCGCGTTGGCCTCCAAATACCCCAGAACATTGCACACAATCAACAGCACGGTCCTCGATGTCCAGTCCTCCTACTTCGACTACCACACCGACGCCGACGTCAATTACGAGCCCTTCACCTCGTGGCCAGAAAAGTACTCCCCTCGCGTCTACAACGGCGACAACTACACCGGCATCGCGCGTTGGAACCTCTCCGACGTCCTGATCACCTACAACTCGGGCGGCATCAACATCACCGGCTACGGCCCGCGCTCAAACTTCACCCAGCAGCCCTTCGACGCCGCCGACATCGTCATTGTCTACGACGGCTACTGCGCGTCCACGTGCACCATCTTCTCCGAGCTCATGCGCCAACAAGCCGGCGTCAAGGCCATCGCCATGGGCGGCCGCGCCAACGCCGCCGCCATCCAGGCCGTCGGCGGCGTCAAGGGCACCAACAACTACCAGTGGGGCTACATCCAGTCGCTCGCGCAGGAGGCGGTTATGCTCGCGGCCCCAGAGGAGGCGGAGCGGTACAACACGAGCGTGCTGAAGGACTACTACTCCGACACCCCGTTCTCGCGCGCGGCGGTGGCCCCGGGCGTCAACGTCCGCGACGGCCTGCGCGAGGGCGATGATAGCGGAACGCCGCTGCAGTTCCGCTACGAGGAGGCCGACTGCCGGCTCTACTACACGTCTGAAATGACGGTTGATGTGACGGAAATCTGGAAGGGCGTCGCGGACGCGCAGTGGGGCGGCAAGGGGAAGTGTGTGCCCTACGGCCCACAGGGATATCGCGAAAAGCGCGACGTTACGCGGACGCTGGGTGGCAGTGGGCTGAGGAAGCGGGGGGTGGCCGACGCGAAGGTGTTCGAGGCGTTGGAGAAGACTTTCAGCATTGAGACTGAGAATAAGCTCAGCGGGGACGGCTTTATGCTGCCGTAGGCGGTCAATGAGAGGCGGAAAAGGGGGTTACGACTGGTATGGTAATGCATGCATTAGCTGGCTGGCTTCTTAGAGCGGTAGCTGGATTGGGAGCTAATTGCGGTTAGGCTAGTTTATAATGACTATATGAGGCTCTGAAGCTTTGTTGATTGCATATCTTGAGCCGCTGTTTGAGGTCCGTTGATGGGTTCTGGGATATTGTGAAGGATGTCATGTTTGAGTGGCTTTGGTCGAGCGATGCTCTAGTACGTATGTATCTACACGAGTAAGACGCTATTTGAGGTCCGTCAAGGGATTATCAAGGGATTATTAAATATCGTGAATTATCTAATGTTCTTAAATACTGGATTGAACGATGCTATCGGACTATTCAATCTACACACGCAAGCCGGTGTTTGAGGTCCTTCAATGACTCTCAAATATTTCCGAATGAACAACTTTCTCACAGCCTTGATCGAACGATGCTATAAAATTGTTCTATCTGCAAGAGTAGGCCGCTGTTTGAGGTCCCTCAATGGAGTCTCCGTGCTCACAGCCTTGATTTAACGATGCTCTAAAAGTGTTCTAGTTGTACGCGTAGGCCACTGCTTGGAGTCCTCTGATGGATTTTCAAATATTATGAAACGATCTGACGTTCTTAGGTCCTTGATTGACCGTTGCTATACGATTGTTCTATCTGTGCTCGTAAACCGCTGTGTGGAGTCCTTCAGTGCATTTACTAACATCGCAAAACGATCTGACGTCCTTAGATCCTCAATTGAAAGTTGCTCTGTGACTATAGTGCCTGAGCTTGTAAAGCGCTGTGTGAAGTCCTCTGATAGATCGTCAAGATCTTGGAGACGATATCATGGTTCAACACCCCTGCTTAAACGATGCTACATAACCACAGCAACTGTGCTCGTAAACCGCTGTGTGAGGTCTTTCAGTATATTTTCAAGATCCTGTGGACAATGTCGTGTTTTCATACCCATTATCTAACGCTCCACGAATAGGGTAACTACCCTAGGTAGCCACTGTCTGAGGTCCTTCAACGCGTCCTTAAAATCCTAGAAACAGTCTCACATCCCCACACCGACATGGACATACCTACAACTCCCGCTCCATCCTACCTCCCGAATCACCCCATACAACCTCATCCACCTCACCCGAACACAATCCAACATCTCTACTTCTCATACCGATCCATAAATAGCCCCCAATCCATCTTCTTGGCTCACGTCCCACCGCACAGCTCACCCCTGATCCGATCCCCGTCAACCCGCCCACACCGCTCCGCATCCACATTATCGTCCCGGGAGCTTTTTCCAAATCGCACCAACTCCACCCCACGGAGTCATCGAGGGACAGCTGCAATGCGACGGCCGGGCGGGCGTACCTGAAGATCCCTCCCTCGCGGCCCATGTGATCGACACGCGGTGCTCAGGGGCGTGCCTGCAGGATCGGCAATGATCAGCGCAGCTACGCGGGTGGGGCCGCGTTGTGTTTTCGTAGATAAAGAGAGAAGGAATTGCCCGAGAAACGTTTTCCTGGATTGTTGTTTGTTCGTTCACTTGAGGAACGGACGTTATTTATACCTGTGCTCTCTGACTCTTCGACAACGAACGACCTACACCCTACAACCAACAACCTCAACATACAAAACCTGCAATCAGTAACCATGCTCTCCATACGCTCGCTATGCGCGACCCTCTTCCTCGCTGCCCTAGCCGCAGCCACACAATGCGAAGTCGGCCGTAGCGGGATCTATAGTCCTGCGTCCAACGCTACTCTCACGCTTGGCCAGGTATGCCATCTCTATCTCTTCATCGTGCCTAGTTCCCCATCCCTCTCTTCCCCCGCTTTATCCCGATCCAATTGCTTTCCGATAAGCATACACTAACCGGCATCCCCAGCCCTTCAACCTCACCTTCTGCTCCGGCGCCTACTTCAAAACCCACACCATCGACATCGACGTCGTCGTCTACCCGTGCACCACCAGCCCCTGCGGCTCGTTCACCGGCGGCGAAGAGGCGGTGCATGCGCTTGCGCCGGAGGATTCGTACGGTAAGTCGCCCGCGTCTTTTTTGTTTCACTCCAAGCGCACTGTCCGCGGCCCGCTTACCCCTCTCCCCCTTAATCACAAGCTAGACTTAGCGTTGACAACGGCAGGCTACCACACGAACGTGACACTCTACGCGATTGATGGAAGTCAGAGGACTGGGCAGTGGGCGATTGGGGTGCTGGATCATACGAGTGGGTACTATACTGCCGGGGATGTGTATGAGTACTTCGTGCCTGTGAGGTTTGTGCCCGGGTCGGATAGCAAGAAGAGGGGTTATTGAGGGGGAAGGAAGCACGATAGGAGAGGGCAGGGGAGAGTTCGGGAGCCTGGAAGAGTTCGGATTGATCGGGAGAGATGGGTTCGATAGGATGGAGAGGGGTGGTAATGGTGCATAATTGAAGGGGGTTTGCAATCAACTTGCCGAGCACAGAGCCATCAGTGTCTTCGATTCATACGTCTAGGGAATCATGTCGCAGACTGGCATTGTAAGAGACATCGTATCCTCCTCTTCTCATCTTATGTCCGCTTTTCATCGTGTCATTCATCTCATCTCTTCTCTTGTCATGCCTCTATAATCTTTCAACCACCTCCTTAGACCTAGAACGATAAATCCGCATTCATCAACAAAACCTCCGCCTTCTCGCTCCTCGGCGCCATCCTGCACTTGAAAGGTAACGGGTGTCTGCGTCAACGTCAGCCTTCACTTCCTCTCTCCATTCCCCTCTCATCATCCCCTCATCCATCAAACAAGAAAAAAAAAAAAAAAAAATAGAAACTCACGCCTGCCCCTTAAAACTCCACTCCACCTCATACTGCTCCTCCCCCCCACCCAGCCCCACCGGCCACCCAAACTCCACCGTCGCCAACAGCACCGCAAACATAATAAACATGCTATTCTCCGCCAGGTTCCGTCCAATGCACACCCGTCTCCCAAACCCAAAATTCCCCACCGGGAACGGCTCCCCCGCTCCCCCCTCTTCCTTACTCAGATACCGCTCCGGCCAGAACTCAAACGCCCGCGAATACACCGCCGCGTCGTGCGTCATCGCCCACACGTTCTGGTACACAATCGTACCCGCCGGGATCCGCATGCCTCTGTACACGTCCTCAGCGACGCTCGCGTGCGGGATCCCCAGCGGGCTGAGCGGGTTCATGCGATAACACTCGTGCAGCACGAGATTAAGATACGGCAAATTCGGGACATCGCTAAACTCCGGCAGGCGGTCCTTACCCACCACGCCATCGATCTCGGCGGTGGCCTTGCGGTGCACGGGCGGGTGCTGCATCAAATACAGCACGAACAGCGCGATGGTGGTCTGGGTGGTGTCGTTGCCGGCGATGTAGATGGCGGCGGCGGCGCCTTTGATGTCGTCGAGGGAGAAGTCGTTCGGGATGCCCTTCTCGGCGTTGGCGGCGTGGATGGCGAGGCGGGTTGCGGCGAAGCAGTGCCGAGGGCGCTGCGCGGCCATGGCGGACTGCGTGGCGGCGAAGGGGATGTTGGTGATGTTTTGGATGGCGAAGCGCCACGTTTCGGCGTAGCGCTTGCGCTCCATGAAGGGGAGGGAGGAGGGGAGGAAGCGGGCTAGGTGGAGGGTTAGGGGGTGTATTGTGGAGAGGAGGGGGGGGGGGGGGGGAGTGTAAACGGGATAGGGGCAGCGTACTCGCGGGGAATCGGTCGACGATGCTACTCGCCGGCGCGCCTGCGTTGCTAATCGCCATCGCGGCGTCGTCTGCGAGCTTGATGAAGGGGCTCTTGTCGTCTTCGATCTCGACGCCGAAGCCGATGTTTATCACCACGGCTACGGCGAAGCGGCGGATGGCGTTGTTCCACGCCATAGGGTCGGCGTTGGTGCGGAGGATGGATTGGGCGGCTTTGATGGCTTCGCGCCGCTGGAGGGGGCAGTATTGGGAGACTTTGGATTTGGAGAAGGGGGGTTGCAGGAGCTTGCGGTGTTGCAGCATTTTGGGAGACCAGCGGAGCCATGTGAGGGTTGGTGCCCAGCCCATGCTATGGGGAGGTTAGCTAGGGGGTTGGATGTTGGGTGTGGGGATGAGGCTTTATTGGAAGTAGAAAGGGGACTGTATTGATTTGAGGTATGAGAGAGAGAGAGAAGACGGACAGGTCATTCATGATAAAGCGCGGTCTATCACTATAGTTGTTCCCCCTTTTATCTAGGAGGTCAATAGAGGCTTGGAGGCTGTTAAGAACGATCCATTTCGTGCCGAATGACTCGAAGTACAGGATGTCGGTATCTGTCTTCGTTGTCAGCTCCTAAACTACCTCACAAGCTCATAATATGTTGTTTACTAGTCGTTGCTCTGTGCATCACGTGCAAACCACGTGACATAGACTAAAGATGTACTCACTCAACTCCTTCGACCATTTGGCATACTGAAACTGCGGTCCTTCAGCTGGGACGATGCCATAGTGTCCCACCAGGAACTGCGCCTTCGGTCCCGGCGGCAACGGGTACTTGCCCGCGAAGAGCTTGGTGTAAAGTTTGTAGCAGACGCCGACTAGCAGCAGAGCTGCTGATAAAGACAGCACGTTTAGAGGGAACACCATTTCAGAGACAAATTTGGTGGAATAAATTCGTCGCTACGACGATATGATAGTACTTGGCTAGTATTTCTAGGCATTCGTTGCATGATGATAGATGTGAGTGACTGCTGGGTATCTCCCGGCCGGCACTTTGGGCGCCGGATCAGGTTGGTGGCGCCTATCTCCGATGGTGCATCAAGCTGCTGTACGAGGGTGGGGCAGCGGGGGTGGATGACCTCAAGAAGATGTATATCCAATTGTTGGCGAGTTCGTGGATTCGTGTGTTCGCTCAAAGATTGCGCGAGACAAGGGTTCCACGGGCGGGCTTGTAGCACAGTCATCATGTCGAGCAAATGCAAATTGAGTCAAGATTATGTGAGAATGAAGGTTACATTCTCGAACATCGCCTGATTGAGGGCTCGTTACTAGCCTTTCTCCAGCTGTTTGCAAGCTTCTTCGACAGCAATCACATCCCCCATCTTTGCGCGAATATCGAACAGATTCGCGAAGTGAGTCTCTCGAGTCCGATCAGCACAAGCCGCTGCTACAACCTTCATATTGTGGATCAGCTTTCGTGAAGAGTTAAGAAGATAGAGTAATAGCTTACGATAGGTCTAAATCCGCTTTGCATGGCATCCAGTGTTGTCTGTCTAATGGACCCGCTGGTATGAGCACCACAAATCACCAGAGTATCTACATTGAGCATCTGTAATTGTGTCGCAAGTGTTGTGCCGAAGAACGCGCTCGCGAACTTCTTCGTGATAAAAACATCGTCTCCTTCGGGACCAAGCCCTTCAATCCAGTCTCCTAGACCCCTCGAATCACTAGACAGGAAACAGTCTAGGTGGTTCCTCTTCTTCGCCCATAACCCTGCGTCCCTTAGTGACGCGTTTTCATATTGTATTCGCGACCAGATTACGGGACACTTTCCAGATCGAGCGGACGATACGAGGGTCTTGATGTAGGCGGGTGCAGCGGCGGCATTCTCATAGTGACTGAAATAGAGAGGCGAATCGGGATTCCAGTATGCTTTTTGAGCATCGACAATGATCAGGGCTGGACGGGTTCCAAAGCCGAGGGGAGGCTGAGATTTGTTGGAAATGTTCTTGGTGTACTCAGGATAATCGGCGGGGGAGATGTCAGCCATGGCTAAGGTGTGACTTTATATGCTTGCTCTACGACAAATATATGAGATTTCCGATGTTGTTGATGGGGTTGTACATGAGAAAGTATGTGTGACGTTGGTGATATGTGGAGCCACCACGGCAACATCGCCGGCCGGCACTGTGAGCGAATTCGCCCAAGAAACATTTAAGACTACGGCTTTCCCTTCCAGACTTCGGCGAGGAAGTCGTCGATCTGGGTGAACTTGTAATCTGGCAAAAGCTGATTGTATTCATCCGACACATCCCAAGCACCCTTTGCGCCGCTTAACAAAATTCCAATGAGAACAGCTTTCAATAAACTCGTGGCCTGTTCTCCAGAAACGCTTGGATGGCTCGTTTCGAGCGACCACGAAGTCTTGAGATTTCCACGCTCAAGATCTTCCAGTTTGACCTTCTCAATAACAAATGGATGACCTGTGATATTATGAGAGCAGCTCGAGGATATGGGGGAGGTGAGACAAACCTCGAACTCTCTCCCCAATCTCGAGAATTCGTGAGACCGGAATTCTGTTGCCGCTGATACCACCAATCACGGGCCACTTTCCATCGTAGTCAACTGCTCTCGCCACAACTGCAGCAAGATCTTGGACTGTAGTGAAAGTCATGATGGCGTCGTGGCCTTCAACGACAACTGCACGCCGGTTCTCAAAATCAATCATCGTGTTTAGCGGAGTAAGGTGTTTGGCTGTCTTGTATGGAAATGCCAGATAGTCGAGAAACATGCCTGGTTGGAACAAAGTATACTCGATAGTCTGAGCTGCGGAGTTAGCACAAATGCGACAGTCAGAGCAAGTGGAATTGGTCTTTACCTTTCCACTCTCGTTGACTTGTTTCAGATATTCTTGGGTCGCGTCTTTTCTAGCCCACCAAGGCATATCCACTGTGGTCGAACTTTGCAGACGTTAAATACTGACCTAGCGCCAGGGCGACACGATAACACACCTTCCATATTCGCTTGGAGCAAATCGCTTGACGTCGGCAAGTATAGCAGCATCGATCAGGTTCTTCTGGGCTTGTTGATTCGGATCTGTCATGAGCTGGATGAAAGACAGGACGGTGTGGATTCCCTGTAGCGCTTCGGCGAGCTCGCTCTTATCGTCGTAGTTTACAGTTCGCCATATCAATCCCTCTCTATTGTCTCCAGTAGGCGCCTCCTGCGCACATTAGTAACATAACCGCGGAAAGACGAAGGGCCAGGGTCAATACTCACTCTCCTACTGAGGATAGTAATCTCATGCTTCTTCGCGGCTACCAAAGCGTCGATGACCTCACTAGCAACTTCTAGAAGGGAAAATTAGCTCTAGTTGCTACTTCATTTGGAATACAGAGTTGCATACCACCCGAGCCACCAGCTATTGCGATATGAACCATTGTGCTTGGGTGGTAAGGTATCAAAGGTAGATGAGGAGAGGAATGTGTGCCGACGAGCTCTATTTCCCACTAAGAAATGAGAATGCGATCTCCGCATTATATAGATAATCTAGCTCAGGACCCAAGCTTAATCAAAAAGAAACTCACCTGTTGTTTTGATGTATCTAGGGTCGCTTGTCCTGAATACCAGCAACCCAGCCAATGGGGTTTCTCTATCGGTTCCCGAAAACCGAAGCCAATGCGTGTTCATTCGCCAATCAAATTTCACATTTGATTGGCCGAAAATTAAGGAATAACTGAAATATTGGCTCCAAAGCCGGAACATTCTATTTAGGTTAAAGCAAATCTAAATATCGTTCAAAGCACTGAGCCTCGTCGTCAAAATTCTGACAGTCCGCGAATGCTCACTCCGGAGCCATGCTCCCAGATGTGCATGCAAGCCAGCAATGCCACTGGCGGAGGATTCGCAGGAGTCTTGCGATGTGAAGAGGTCAATCAAATTAGCCATCTTCTTAAGCTCACTTAAGACCAACTGGGTCCTGATAGCAGCCTGCATGTTCTGATCTTCAATGCTGAACGTCCCCATTGAAACAGGCACATGCTCGACGACAAATCCAGTACATTGAGCCAGTGTGGGTGTGCTTACTGTATCTGTGTCGGCTGCTGTATCATATGAAGGGGGCGAATATGGAGACACACTGCTGGACGTTGGCGAGTTGACCAATCCTAACGGCTGAGACGGTCTGCAGGTCCACCCCGCAGCCTGTTGGTACCACATCAGTATTCGGGAAATAGTAGAGGCGTGCACCATGACCCGGTGCCCGGAGCTGGCGCATGGACATCTTAGAATTTGGGTAAGACGATCGATGGCGTTTCTGGTGAAGCAGAGTACCTGATCTAGTTGTGCTGAAACGGGATCTGAATGTGCTTCGGGTACGTGAAGATCAGGTGCCGGGCAGATCAAATCCCGAAAAACCTCGTACGACTCCCGTGGGCAGCTATGGGACTTGTGAGAGGCGGTGTCCATCCTCATGGAGTTAACGGGCTCCAATGCGGAAGCTGATAGTCGGCCCTCTGTGGCAGAACTCTTTGGGACGGAGGGGATCTCTAGACCAAACCCGAAACCATCCATCTGAGGCCATTCATCAAGGAACAGTGAGGGGAAAATAGCTGAGCTAAATTGATCCTGCTCGTCCATGCGTAACGGATTCACGAGGCCGGAAGTAGATGAATGCATGTCAGGCGTTGAATTAGAGAATTCAAGTTGCCCAGACTGGTTGAAACTTTGGGGCTGTGTATAGTCCGAGGCGATGTGATGATTGCGGCTCTCGTCGATATGTGTCGTACGCTTCTTGCATCTGGCGGCCCCTTCATCAAGAACTATGGCAGGCCTCTTCCTTGGTGGTTTGCCAAAATGGCGGGATAGCCCATATACACAAGCCAGGCCAAGAGTAGCACAGCGCCCACATTCGGGCTGATTACGATCGCATTTGACCTTGGCTGTTCCACAGCTATCGCAAGATGATCGCAGCTTCGGGGCTCCAGGGCCAGTGGGCGGTACTGTGAACGTTGTTGGAGATGCGGGCATAGCTCACTCTGGCGAGAGCCGTTCTTGGGGGTGTAACTGGGGATGGTGTAGCAACTGATGACTGATGTCTCCGCGTCCGAGTTCTATTACATGACAACAAGGCTGGCCATCCCGATGGACCGAAATCAGTAGTGGTGCCCCTAATCAGCGTCGACTAACAGACGTCACGGCTTTGATATTGAGTAGTTACAAGCGGTTTGGATCTCGAGTGTTGGGGAAGAAGAAAAGCGTCGGTGTAAGGTGGAGTGCTGAGGTTCGTTGTGACCCTTTGTCAAATCCATAGCCATTCGCTAATCTGAAAGCGGTTAGGGCTTATGAGTCCATTCCCAACTCCAACTTGATCTTCGTCCTCTCAACAATTCAGATCAACATAGAATTTCTCCAAAAATGGACGGTCATTTCAAGGATGCCACCGAAGAGGTACTTGGAAGAAGGTAATTACGCAGAGCACTATAGGTGTGCTAACGCCAGAGTCTTCTATTAAAGGTAGATCTATGCTAGGTATGTAGGAATGGCCAGTATGCGTGCTGGGCTTCTGGTTGACCGCTGTGTGGGTCGATACTCTGGGGGATACTTCATCAAAAGCTCTGCGTGACGCTGAAACGTTCAGACACCCAATCGTTCATCATTCCCATATGTGTTCTTCCGAGTAGAAATTCTGCGAGCTCTGTCTCGAAAGCATCACCAAGGGGACGAATAGTGGGTGTCAAGGTGAGAGACGGATCTATCATGTCTTCGTTGCTACCCATCATTTCCATCTGCGACCGAGATGACACAGCCATGCTGAGCACTTCAAGATTGGCTGTGTCGATATCTCTTGGTGAGTTGGCCACGTGCATGCCTGGAAGCTGTAAATCCTCAGAGCTCGCCATCCGATCTTCGAACTGCGTGGACGGTAGAAAGGTTGGTAGATCAATACCTTCTCTGCTCTGGAGACACGCCGCTGATCTGCGGAGAGAATTTGTCCATCGTGATGCTAGTGGCCATATATGCTGCAGATCGCCCAAAATCTCCAGGGAGCCACTTGCGATTGATTCTGCTTTTGGGGCATGCCGAGGGGCCAGATGAGGCCACTTCAGGAGCTGGATGGCGAGAGTTCCACACACGTAAAGAGAAAATAACAGCATAGCCGGGAACCCTTCGTTTTCCGAACGGAGAGATATGAATGTACCGATACGCTCATGGAGAGCGCACACGTTAGTGAACATGTCTTCTGCGACGTTGCGCCAGAAAGTTGGTGGAGCATCGTCCTGTGAGGTCCCAGAAGCAGCAGCAAGAATGTCATCCAGGTAGATCCTTCGAATTACTACATGGTTCAACCTGGTGGCCATGACAACTGACATATACGCCAAATGTAGCTCTTCAGCGCAATAGCCTCGGAGGTTCCAGACTGACCAGCAATGCTTGTCCGGTAGACCGGCCTCCCAATCATTTAGAGTCTGGATGATGCGAGCAAAGTCGCTACCGCTGTCCCAAGGCTTTACCGAGTCGTTGGAAAGATCAGTCCGACACGCTTTTCTTGCTACATTGCCCCAGTGACTATGAGCTTCTAATAGAGTCGCAAACAACGAGCGTGAAGGAAGAGAGGTCAGTTGTGGGTTTAGTTCTGCGGCCTTGGTACCAGCGAGCGCAGCACGTTGCTTGGGGACTCTTCCGAATGCGAAGTCACTCTCGTCCGACGGAAGTAAAGCGGTAATGTCAGAGGGTGCAAAAGGCAAGGGTGAAGCGTGCCCGGAGTGCAGATGGTCCTGAGTTTCCAAGACCCAGAAGGTCCTTCTCGCCATCTCTGATTGCACCGCTTCATCCGTAGAAACGTGCTCTGGGAGAATGTAGGTCTCTTCTCGGTGCAGACGCAAAATGCCAGCCATCCTGACAGCAATGCCCATGTTCATAGAGCTACGCGTGCGATCTCCCTGAGCGTACTGCGCTAGTGCAAGGAGGAATAGCGCTTGGATGTTCTCCAGAGTAGGCTCATAAAGGACCTGGCCCACCAACCGCGACGCATGACGGATGAAGTAGTCACCAGCACTTGAACAGTCTCCATATCGTCTGATAAGACTAGGCGTAAATCTGGCAGACACGCTCAAGATGCTGAGTATGAAGAACAGGCTGATCGACGAGCGGTCTTTACTCAGACGCTCGAGAAACAGGCGCTTCGGAATGAAGCCAACTTGGATCAAAGATGTCCAGAATATCTTGCATCCCTCAACGACTTCATCATGAGGAGGTAATAGCTCCCAAGAAGGATGAGCTTCTGGACTACTGGTAGTATTCGAGCCGATTGGAGATAGCGTCTGTGGGGTTTCGAGGATGATGGGGGTTGTGGCACGTCTCGACCCCGGTTGAGGACGTGGTTGTGGTACAAAAGGGGCATCTGTCTTTGACTTCCGTCGAGGGGCTCGAAACTCTCGATCGCGATGGCTGTGACCTCGTGGTGGAAAAGAGCTAGAGAATTGATTAGAATCAACACTAGGACCTTTACATCGTGAAACACTCCGGAATATAGCACCTACCATGAGTCTCTTTCCTGAGGGCCTGCCTTGATGCATCCAGTACACGGAGGCACTCCATTGTCATGATGGCATTTGGCTCGAAGTCTCCGGCATCTTTTTGGACGAGAACAAGTCAGCCGGCCCGAGCTTTTTCCGTCCAACGTCGCTCAAGCTTCAATTCACACACCTTCGACATGCAACACTGGCCCTGCTCAGCCTGGCACGATTCTCCTCCAAACGAGATTCATTCATCATGTCCAATGCTTCCACAATGCTTCCACAATTCCAACTGCCGGCTGCTGGCCGGCCGATGGTTTTATCCAGCCCCGGCACCATCGGTCTTATCTGAACTGCAACCCACTCTTGTTTGATCCATGGCCTGGACCCTTATCGCGTTTCCCTGACTCTCACCACTAAGTGCGACAGGCTGTGCCGGGACTTATGTGCATGTCGATCTGGGGCTGGCCTCACAGTATCACCGGCCGGCAGACTGCAGGCTCCGGCACAAGTCCCCGCAAACATTGACCGCGGCCTACATTACCGTCTGGTGGCGAAATGGGGCTCCATATGGGCTATATACGCGGCTGCTGCAATATTGTAGCCACTGAAACGTCTTCTTATCTTTTCCTTGTTCTCGAAGCCAGTTTCCACTTCTTTTGAATTAGCAAGCATGGGAGATATTAGCGGCTTGGACAACCTAGCTCCAGCTACGACAGCAGCCACACCGTTCAGCCCTACTTTCGGAGCATCTGCAGCTGGGTCCTTCACCACCGAGCCAAGGACGGGTGATCCGTATCGATACCAGACTGGCTTTGGCAATCGGTTTGCTACAGAAGCTGTGTAAGTAGTTCGACGAGCAATTGCATCAGACTCACGTTAACAACTTTCGTAGACCTGGCGCTTTACCATCAGGTGGTCAGAACGTACCACAGAAATGCCGGTACGATTTGTACTCTGAGCAGCTCAATGGCACCTCTTTCATTTCTTCTCGGCAATCGTTACAGCATGTCTGGATGTACCGGGTTCGACCCTCAGTCGCTCATCGACCACTCGAGCGCATGGCACTGTCACCAGACCTCGAAGCATGCTTCGCCCCGCAAAATCCAAACGTTCATTATACTCCTCTCACGTATACTTGGGGACCACTAGACATCCCAGAAGCCTCCCAGAGTATCAACTTCTACCAAGGAATCAAGACTATGGGTGGCCGCGGTGACCCCACCATCAGGGAAGGTGTCGCGGTTCACATGTATGCTGCCAATACATCTATGGGTAACGAGGCTTTTTGCAACAACGACGGTGATATGTTGATCATTCCACAAGTTGGCCGGCTAGACGTCCAAACAGAACTAGGCCGGGTAATGGTACGGCCTGGAGAGATCTTTGTCATGCAAGCTGGCATCCGCTTCCGAGTTTTGTTGCCCGATGGAGCAGTGCATGGTTATATCCAGGAGATATTCGGTAGCCACTACGAGCTTCCGGAAATGGGACCCGTTGGAACGAATGGTCTGGCGCATCCTAGAGACTTCGAGATGCCAGTCGCCAGTTTTGATATTGACGAATCGAAGTGGACTATAGTTCACAAGCTTACCGGAGAGCTCTACTGCTATGACCAAGCATGGACACCATTTGATGTGGTGGCGTGGCATGGAAAGTAAGTAATGTATATCTTTCTTGTACGTGGAAGAACGCTCACCCCAGTTCAGCTATGTTCCGTACAAGTACCTGCTCGAGAAGTTCGTTGCTCTGTCGTCATCGATGAAAGAGCAACTTGACCCCACCATCTACACAGTCCTGATGGCGAAGTCGAAATGGGACGGAGTATCACTCACCGAATTCGCTGTTTTCACTCCCAAGTGGGCCACAGCAACAAACACATTCAGACCACCTGTACGTATATCTCACGCCTATGAGTCAATTATTGCTGATCACCGATACGCTAGTACTATCATCGTAACATGGCCACCGAAATTGGTGGACTCATTTGCGGAAAATACGGCGGTAGCGCTCGAGAACAAGAAGCAGGCGGACTCACTCTGGAGCATAGCTACATGCCACATGGGGAGTCGTATGAGGCGTGGGTGAAGGCCACCACCACGCCTTTGGAGCCCATGCTAGTGGGGGTTGGCAGCATTGGTTTTATGCTACACCTCAGCTCTCATTTTTCCGTGACAAAGTTCGCCATGGAAAGGCACAACACGATCAAGATCCAACGGCCGGAGTTCTGGGACAACATGAAGGGCCACTTTTTGGAAAATCTTGCCGAAGTGAACAAAGCGCTCGCGGAGAGCGGTCTACCTGCTCTTGGGACTCGGCCAGCGTAGTCGGCGACGAAAAATGTCGCGTTTCTTCGGCCGTCTCTACAGCGCAACAGTATATACTTTGGAAGCGTCCAGGCTTCGTAAAATAATCAACGTGGCAAGTGACTGGAAAGTCACGTGTTACACAAGGTCGACTATCCCCGAATTGCAAGTACTGAGCTCGCCGTGGATATCTCCGAACTACGATAATGACTTAGCATCGCACTTCCGGGTGTCTTATGTTGCAACACCTTCATGTTTCACGACACCTAAGATCGTGTTCCGAGTCAAACCCGTACGACTGAGTGAGTGACCACGATAACAGAAATGATAGTGTTCGCAACGTTACGCTAATTCGATAGCCACTAGGCCTATGCTAGTCGAGAATCTCTTAGCGCTGTGCTACGCGTGGAACTGCCGATACATTCCCAGGGTCCTATCATGTATATCAAGCAGCGGCCGGCAAAACAAGATACCCCATATCTGATAGCGGTCCCGGGCAACTGCCATTGCTCCCGCGTTGGCCTATTAGCGAGAACATAAAATAAGGCCATGCAGAAGCCATTCCTCCCGTTGCACCCAACGAACTGGTAACCGGGACCATCCTTCGCTTTTTCCACCAAGCCCATTTCTGGTCGATCAAGCAGCCATGCAACGAGCATCAACAAATACACCTCCTAACGAAAAGGCCGGATCCGACATTGAGAAGGGCCATGTCGTCGATACCTCCACTCCTATTTCCGGGGACGTAGAGATCATCGAAGCCGAGTCACCTCTTATGAGCAAAGGGATATTTGCTAAACTTTGGAAACTACTCTCCGCAACTGGTGTCGAGCTTCGTGGTGTGCAGCCCGTGCCCGAAGACCAACGAACCGATTTGCAATACAACAAAATCTTCACTGTGTGGTTCACCAGTCTGATTTGTCCTCTACCGTAAGTCTGCATCTCTCGATACACATTAGAGTTGAAGCTAACATTGTATCAGCCTTGTCACCGGCATGCTCGGAACGTTGGCCTTTGGACTAAGCTTGAGAGACTGCAGTCTTCTCATCTTCTTCTTCTCTTTCCTGCTTTGCATACCACCTGCGTACATTGAGACTATCTCGCCGCGTACAGGCATGCGTCAAATGATTCAGGCCCGATATAGCTTTGGGTGAGTCGCATGCTTTATATCGTGTTCCTTCAATCGAGTCCAGTTCTAACGCATCATAGCATGTACCCAAATATTCTCGTCGTCATCTTGAACATGTGCTCTCTCTGCGGTTACCAAATCATCTGCCTAGTCACTGCCGGACAAACTCTAGCAGCTGTATCAAACGATTCCATCAGCCAGGTTGTCGGAATCGTTGTTGTTGGTATCTGTGCCATGGTTCCTGCATTCTTCGGCTTCAACTTCATCCATCAATATGAACGATATGCGTGGATACCGGCTCTGATTGCCATTCTCGTAGCTGTTGGATGCGGCGGCAATAAGTTGAAGGAGCAGGCACCACCAGTTGCGCCAAGTGGACAGACTGTCATGATTTTCATCAGCTTTATCGCTGGATACATGCTTCCGTATAGCTCGACGGTGGGAGATATTGCTGTTTACTTCTCCCCCAAGGCACCGAAGTAGGCATTTCCAGTCCGTACTGTCTAGTGACCATATCTAATCAGTGTCACTATAGGTGGCGTATCTTCATGTACTGCTGGATGGGCATCTGCCTCCCGTCCGTTCTTCTCATGTGTCTCGGTGCAGCAATCGGTGGTGCAGTGCCGAATGTCCCATCCTGGGCTGATGCCTACGACCGCGACTCCGTCGGCGGCGTTCTCGAAGTCATGCTGCACCCAGCAGGCGGCTTTGGCAAATTCGTTGCTGTCCTCCTCGCCCTCTCTGTCGTGGCACAAATTTCGCCAGGCTTCTACTCCGTCTCGCTGAACTTCCAGATCATCTGGCCGCAATTTGTCAAAGTGCCGCGTGTTCTTTTCGTCATCCTCATCACCGCCATTGACCTCGGCGTTGGCATCAAAGCCGCAGAATCCTTCTTCGAGTCCCTGGAAAGCTTCCTAGGCGTCATCTCTTACTGGGCTGCCGCCTTCACGGGCATTTTGCTGAGCGAATGGTTCATTTTCCGCAAGGCCGACCCGGCAGCGTATGACCACAAGATCTGGAATGTGGCCAGCGAACTCCCGAGTGGACTTGCAGCCCTCGCCGCGCTGATCATCCCGTTTGCGCTGGTAGTGCCGAGTATGGCGCAGACCTGGTATACGGGCCCAATAGCAGAGAAAGCAGGAGATTTGGGATTCGAGTTTGCGCTCGTCCTTGGAACTATGATCTACATCCCTACGAGGATGTTGGAGATCAAGATTAGGGGGAAGCTCTGAACACGTCTGAGGAATCTCGTCTGTCGTTAGAGTGATGAGATTGATGGGGCGCACATTTTAGCTATAATACCCGGTAATAGACGAACCATAAATCTGACTTCGCTACACTCAAGCTTCAAGCCTGACTTTTCTGTATATTAGTGACTCGTTCTCAAAGCTTCCGGCACAGATTCCAGACTGCCGGCCGGCATCTGTTCATGCATAAACAGTAGGCCCCAACACACCTCACCTACCTGCAACATACACACCTCTCATCTATTCCCTTCTCCTAGCCTACTACATCCTAGCCACCACCATGACAGCCCCCCTCGTAACATCCCACCCCTCCTACGCCTCTTCCCTCGCCTCCAACCTCCACACCCGCCTCGGCTGGGGCACCTCCCCCGCCCTCCTCCTCATCGACGTCTGCAGCGCCTACTGGTCCCCGACTTCCCCCCTCTCCCTCCTCGCCGACCCTGCCGGCTCCACCTCTCCCGCCTGCATGCGCCGCCTCCTCGCCGCCGCCCGCACCGGCGCCACCCCCGTCCTCTGGGCCCAAGTGCGCTACAACCACCCCAAGATGCTCGACGGCGCCATCCAAGCCGTCAAAGCGCCGGGCATCAGCATCTGGCAAGACGGTGACACGCGGGGCATGGACGCGTGGCTCGAGGGCCTGACGCCCGGACCGGACGACGTGGTGGTGCTGAAGAAGAACCCGAGTGCGTTTTTTGGGACGAATCTGGCGGGGGTGCTGCAGGGCATGGGGGTGGATACGGTGGTGGTTTGTGGGGTGAGCACGAGTGGGTGTGTGCGGGCGACGGCGGTGGATGCGGTGGGGTGGGGGTTTAGGAGTGTGGTGGTGGATGAGGGGAGTGGGGATCGGAGTCGGGAGATTCAGCAGGCGACGCTGTTTGATTTGGAGAGTTTGTTTGCGGATGTGGTGGCGGAGGAGGAGGCGGTGGAGAAGTTGGGGAAGGGGTGGGAGAGGTAGGGAAAGGGGGAGTGGATGGTAGGGGTCACGTGATATGTGAGGTTTTGAGGAAGAAATTCATTTGCCCATTTCATCTGTTCTTGGAAATCGGAGAGAGAGACGAGAATAGTTGAACGCTGTTTTGAAAGTTATTTCTGTGTAGATTGAGGAATGATTAGAGGAGTTTGTGAACTGCAGTTGTCGATTGGTGAGAAAGAGATCTGGTAGTTGAAGAAAGAACGAACGAACCCGGTAAGACTGGCGCAAACTTGTATGATACAAAACGAGAAGTGTTCAAGACCTCGATGGTGAGACTGATACTCGTCCTTGCTTCGGATTGTGATAGTGTTGGAGTCATCCAAGAGGAGTGACGGAATTTGAGATGCAGTAAGCCAGGATGGATGAGCAGACACTCTGTAGTAATTTGCTTCAATTCGAAGACCCTAATTGTGTTTCTTTAGGGCTCACTTACTCCCGTAATGTCTCTCTTAGTCCTTCCCATCCCAACTCCTGTGAGGCCTTTCGCTTAGGTCTCGCGCGTTTGCTTTCTTGCTCCTGTGCCCTTCTTTTCCTCGATAATATTAACATCACATGGATTTCACACGTGGGCTGACTTTCTTGAGGTTCTGTCGCCGGGCAGGCTCCAGGCAACCGCGCCAAGCCGCGGCCGATTCCCGCACACGCCCGACTATAAATTCAAGCCTTCGCCACCCGTTCCTGGTTTTCCTCCAACCGAAAACAACGACGACGAGACTGAGAGAACTGGCTGGGACTTGCGATGGATCATGGGTCTTCTCTGCATCATCAATGCTGACCTTCACCTAGCTCACCGTGTATCGCACCAACTTCCTCTGCCCCAGTAAGTCGTCTCGCTCCCATCGTGATCTCAGCTAACGACTCTCGTCTTAGCTTTCGACCATCGACAATCGACAACCGACTCTCTCCATGTTTGCTCTCTCTTTAACTCACCTCGTCCTCATTCCGCCTCGTATACTGCCCTATTGTATACCCAACTTCTGTCAACTACCCACTCATTCCCCACCCCCTCTTCCCTCCATCCCTTCCACTTCCCCTACACTTCCCCTACACTCCCCTCCAGCTTTTCAGCTTCCTGGACTCTCGACGACCCGTTCCCGGCTGCGTGATCTTCAATCAACCTGAGGAAGTGAAGCACTGAGGCATGACCTGGCCGACCGTACGCGCCCGGGGAGGTGGGAAAAAATGAGACGCTATAGATCCGGGTAGCGCGGGGAGTTCGCCCATGATAGGTGTGGAATGACCGATGGGAGAGGAGAGATGGAAGTGCTAAGAATCGTTCTTAATGACTTCATGGGTTTCCGTAAGTGTTTTCCCCTCCCTTCTGTTCTAGGGTAGTATGGTCGCGCCAGTCTCTCTCGGTCTCTTTTATGGTTGTTGTGGTTCAACCGGTCCTCTGAATAGTCTCACTGATCAATGCAACTCTTCTTTAATCATTCTTCTCGCTCCCTTGTTGTGACTTACCGCTTGTCGTCGCCTCCCGTTTGCTCCGCCAATCCGCTCTCTTCTATCCTCTCTCGCAGCACGTCAACGGCTAGAAAGCTAGACCTGAACGCCATCGTCAGCCTAGCTCGCTTTCTCTCGTCGACGCCATCTTGTCGACTTCTTCAGCAGATCGCCGGCCTCTCCGTCGACGTCAACAACCTCCGATAGCTTGCCGAATACACCCAGTGGGAGGATCAGGGACGCAGGCTTCAAGACGCAGGCGCCGGAAATACTGAAGAGAGTGAGGGTGAGGGTCTGGTTGACGTTATCGGCGGCATAAGGAAGACGGACAGCGTGTACGGGGGAGGACGTTATCGCCGCTACTGTGTGCCACAGTGCTAAGGGCTAGGCGTCGATTCGAGGCGCGATGGCTTGGTGAGGACGACGTCGAGGCCGTGACATAGCTGGGGCTGCAGCTGAGCACGACTCGGGACGGTAGGGATGCGCTGCTGCTGCCTGCTGATGATGAGGCCGCTGCTGATGTTGAGGAGGACAACTGAGAATAACAATGGACTTGTAGGAGACACATTAAGCTGATCAGCCAGCCCTCCACGCCAGTGGTCTGCTCCCTCGCCGCTGCTAGTATCTCTCTTCGCGTCGGCCGCCTCCTCATAGTCTCAACTCGTCTTCTTCATATTCCGCGTTGAAAACTTCCCCTCCCTCAGAGCCGCCGCCCTATCTCTCGCCACAAGCTTATCGGTCACGGGAAGCAGGATACAGGTGTTAGAAAGAAGGAGTATAGAGTGGGGTTGAGGTAGTCATCGGGGCGGTGGTTTCCTGAGTGGTAGGTGTGCTAGATTTGATCGCAAAGGCACAAGTAATCTCTGACTATAAACCCTCATAGGATAAAGATTGAAAGCGACTAGGTACAAATATGAAACAGGAAAGGTCCTGAGACCTACAGTGCGCAATTGACTTTTAGCTTTATAAAGGGCCGAAGGACGCCCCTGGCGGACCTGGAGCCTGTAGCACAGCTAGTAATGCCAAATCCTATGTCTGAGGAGCTATGGATTAAGGCATATAGTTGCAAGTAGATTAGGTATCGTGAAGCCGCCGGATATGGCTCAATCTTCTTCGTAGACGCGTATTATGATAAAAGAGTCGTAACAGTGTCCCGTATCATTGTCGAATCTGAGGATGGAGGTGAAACAATGCATTGAACGAGGTAAGTGATGTATTGGATGAGCATCTATCTAGGCTACGTACGCCGTATATATACTCCTGTGTGTGGAGGCTTACGTAGCCGTACCGTAGAACTGTGAGGGCTAAATATAGGAACCGTGTTCTATATTAAGGTAGCCGACGCTAGCCGTACCACACTCCGTAGGCTAGCTGGCTAGGAATACGTACTCCGTCAGAATCAGACTTACCAAGACTTCGATCCCAAACTTGATACTAGTAGAGAACCCGGAGAAGTTCGGAGCGCGTTGGAAAAGCTACCGGGTGAGGTGGGTAAGAAATGGATTGGTGGGAGAATCACGTGATTATTAGTATGGGAAGTTGATTATGAGAAATTAGCATGCTGATTCGATGACCATGTGATACTCAAAAGATAGATTTCCAGTTGCAAGCTACGAAATCATTTCCCACGCCTGCTGTGGAGGAAATAAATTAATGCCACGTGAGAACTCAATAATCGCGCTTCCTATCAGCATTGCTGGAAGTTCCACAACTTCACAATCAATTCAGCTCCAAGAGGCTCAGTGAAAAGCACACATATCCCATCAAACTTTCAGGCCTCCTGTCTAAAAGGATAGCATGTGGCAGTAACTAAGCCAATAGTGGTATAGTTAGTCAGCGGCTAATCCCAGGTGCCTCTACCTCGCCGAGGATTCTGCACCTACAAGGGTTGTGGAAAGTCAGCCCCCACCCACTGCGGAGCTTGAAACTTGTCTGTAGAACACCATGGTTTTCTGCAACGACATACCTCGTGGAGGCCACCTCCTGCATGTCCAGCGTCCGAGATACGGACAGCTTTATTGTGCCACGAAGTGGAATCCAGCGCAGCGGCCGAACACTCGCCCCAGAGCGCATCACGACTTCGACGGACGGAGCCTCAGATGTCATGGGAGGATCCCTGATGAAGACTCAAACCATTTCCGAGATCGCATGAAGCGGCTGAACCCATTTCCTCTATGCGGTATCCATGGTCATCTGAATCTCAGACACCAACTCCCGTCATTGGATGTGCCAAAATAGCTTTCTCCTGCATCGTACCTTGGCGTCACCCGTACCATGGATCCAATCACGGCGGTCGGCTTGGCATCAAGCATCGTCCAGCTTGCAGATGGTGCATTCAAGATTGTCAAAATACTAGACACTATTAAAGAGGGGGGTAGAGACCGCCGCAAACTCTGCGATGAGTTCACGCTGCTATGGATGACGCTGCGCAACCTAGAAATCCAGTTCGCGCCATTATCAGCAGACCAAAATGGACAATGGTTGAAGCCGATCGATTCGCTTGCTGCCCCTGGCGGCATATTTGATCAGACCAGCACAGCGATCAGCGACGTCTGGGACCGGCTGACTACAAAGGACTCACGCCGGGCCAAGTTTATCCAGGCCGTGCGATGGCCCTACGACCAAGGGCAAGTGGAAAAGATAGTCGCCCGGATAGAACGTCTGAAGTCCTCTTTGAGTATTGTTCTTAATCAGGCCCAAATTGCTCAAACCTACGAGATGCAAGAAGGCATATCGGAAGTGGTCAGGAAGACCACCGATAGCGAGTTCAAGGAGATCCTCGACTGGCTATCTCCACTGAATTTCCGCCAGAAGCAAGAAAGTACTGTTGGGTCCCCTGGAACAGGAGGGTGGCTCTTCCAGGGTGCACAATTTCGCCGATGGGCTTTCGGCACAGAGCCTTGGTTGTGGTGCTATGGAGACCCCGGAGCAGGTAACGCGGAACATGCCAGGCTTATGATTCTTAGTCTGACCGTTCATAGGGAAAACCGTCATCGCATCGATGGCAGTCAATCATCTCAGAAAGCAGTATGAAGATGAAGGCAAGAATGCAATCGTCTTGATTGCGTTTTGTAGCTTCGACAACCCGACTACACAATTCTTAGAGCCCCTCATCGCCAGCTTACTAAAACAGGTCTTCCAATCCCACGATTCTATTTCCAAACAGCTCCTTGAGCTGTATCAGAAGCACCGAAAAGACAGTACAAGCCCAACGCTATCTCAACTGGTAGACGTCCTCGATGACGCCATCAGCCAATACGAAAGGGTTTTCATCATACTGGATGCCTTGGATGAACTCAGCGATGACGCAAAACGATTACGACTCCTTGAGACTTTCAGAAAATTCGACAAATTCAAGGCCGCGAAAGGGAATTATCCCCAAGTTATGATAACTTCACGAAAACTACACAGCATTGCTACTCGATTCGGAGGCACAAATGGCATTATATCTTGCGACGGCTGCGGGAAAAAGAACCTGGATGTCTACCATCATTGCGACGATTGTGAAGATTGGGATGTCTGCGAAGATTGCCTTCAAAAGGGCATCGGATGTGGAAATAGCGGGCACACGTCAACGAAGCGGTTCAACAGTACTAACATAGAAATATCCGCCCACCCAGAGGACGTGAAAAGCTATGTGAATGAGAGAATCGAGATGGAGCCAGATCTCTCGCAGTTTGTCAAAAGAAGTCCGGGGCTCCGAGAGCGTATTTTGAAGACGGTTATCGCAAAAGCGAAAAAGATGTACGTACCGTGTTCAGGCCCGAATTACCCGTAATGATAAAACAAGCTGACTCGATAGGTTTCTTCTTGCAACGTTCCACATGAACGCTCTGGCTGATTGCGTTGATAAGAGAGATCTAGAAGAAGCGCTAAAACACCTACCAAAGGAAATCAACGGTATCTACGACCAAGCAATGATGCGAATTGAGAAATTGACGCCAAATCGGCAACGAGCGGTCAAGAAACTCTTCATGTGGGTGACCTATGCTGAGAGACCATTGAAGGTCGTTGAATTAGAACATGCGACCGCGATATCTCGCGGCGTAAGAGATATTCAGCGAGACCATATCCTCTCGGCAAAGGCCCTCATGTCTCTAAGTGCCGGCATTGTTCAGATTGACGAAAGTGGAAACGTAAGGCTTGTGCATGAAACAGCCGAAGGCTATTTCAAAGACCGCCGGGAAACGCTGTTCCCAGATGGAGAGGTTCAAATCGCGGAATGTTGCATTGCGTACCTCCAGCTTGAAACTTTCGCCGAGGGGCCCTGCCATGGGCTGGACGAATCAAGCCTATACGAAGAGCGCTTGTTGCATCACCCTTTCCTTGGCTACGCCGCTCTAAATTGGGGCCACCATGCACGGAAATGCGATTCAGAACTCGTAACTCCGCAGGCTCTCATGTTTCTACGGAATAAGCAGTATCTGGCCTCTGCGGTTCAAGCTCTTTGGTACACGGATACCTGGTCGAGTGAGAGCTGGGACGTACTAGCGGACGTCACTCCACTCCACATTGCGTCCTTCTTTGGAGTTAACAAGATTGTTGCTCACCTAATCGCCGAGGGTGCTAAAATCGACGCGCGAGACTCTCTAGGAACGACACCACTTATATACGCCGCCTCTAAAGCACGTTTGGATGTGGCTGAAACTCTTCTCTCTTCGGGTGCTTCAGCCAACACTGTTTGCTCTAGGGGTTCGACTCCATTGCTGCGAGCGACATCAGCAGGCCATGAAGATATCGTCCGCCGATTGCTCAAAGAAAAGGACATAGCGATCAACCAGCTTTATGTAACCCGGTCTAACAGGTCGGCTCTTATGATTGCCATATCGAATGAGTTCGGCAAAATTATGCGACTGCTTCTCGAAAGATCTGATATTGATGTAAATCTGTGTACGGATGAGCCTGTAAGTAAACTCTCCTTGCAAGTATCAAACTCCCTAGTGCCAGTTTGCTCGTTACAGTCTGTGTGCACTCATCGAAAACTGTTCGGTCTACTTCAACGGGCTTTGAGTCTCAAAGCGAGATCCGGTATCCCCGGTTGATTGTCCGACCGACTTGCTAGGCAAGTTACCAGCTCAACAGAGAGACTTACCCACGTCTATCACGAGCACAAGCCAAACACTTAAATTCGAAACCTATGATTGTACACAGACTGCAGTGAGACACCACCGTTGACTGAATCGACTCGTAACTTTGCCTGGCACTTACCTGTCGATTCGGCCACTAGTCTCGAAGAACTGGTTAAGTAGAAGATAGTTAGAATTGCCCCCACCATCTCTGTTTTAGAAACATATACTAATTTCAGTTGCCACCTTTAGGCAGGATGGTCGGCCATACACTTTGCGGTGGACGGACGAAATCATGTAGCGCTTGACATGCTGGTCAACGATCCCCGACTCAACGTCAACTCAATGGACCGCGCAGGGTATACAGCATTGGAATATGCAGCTTTGAGTGGCTTCATTCCGGAGTTACGGCTACTCCTTAATCATAATGCTGATGCCAACACACAAGACGATCAGGGAGGGCGACCCATCCAACGAGCCATCGACTACGGTGAAACTGAAGCAGTCAAGCTTCTTCTCGAGCACAACGTTCAGTACGACTTCCGAGATCTATTTGGACGTACAATCATCCACGCCGCTGCTTGCAACAACCAGTTCAGGACACTCCGCGTAATTCTCGAGAGATGCAAGGGCCTTGACATCAATGCCCAAGGGTCTAGATCAGGAGAAACAGCACTCCACGATGCCGCGCGTTCAGGTTTCGTTAGGACTGTACAAGTTCTCCTTGAGTATGGAGCTCTTACCACTATCGAAAACTATGCCGGCCGAACACCAGCGAAATCCGCCAAAGATGCTGGGAAAAAAGCAGTTCTCGAACTGCTGCAAGTGGCTCGGAAGAAGGAAGAAGACGAGGGTCGCATTCGACCGGTCCACAAAGCCGACACCTTCTCAATAAACAGCGAGATACCCCTCTGGATGGCCGTCCAACAACATAGCAGCGACAATCTTCGCGAGCGAATCGCCCGCACCTCAGTCGCCGAGATCAACCAGATCAGCCCGGACTCGGGCGACACAGCGCTGCACCTTGCCGTCACCAAGAACCGGCCAGACGTGGTGGGCATGCTGCTCGACGCCGGCGCCGACCCAGACATCCTCGACACGTTCGACCGCACTGCGCTGATCCTTGGCTGCCAGAACGGCAACATCGCGGCTGTGCGCCGGCTCGTCGAGCACGGCGCTGACCTCAACATCGCCATCTTCCGCGACGAGCCGGCGTGGGAGATCGCGTTCAAGGCGAACTGGATCAGCATCACGACGTACCTCCTCGCGCAGCCGTCCTGCGAGATCAAGTCGAATACGAGCACGCTGTTCACTTGCCTCGCGTGGGCTGCGTATGCGGGGGATCTGGGGGCGGCGAGGCGGCTGGTGGAGGCGGGCGCGCCGGTGCATTTGAAGAATTCGGAGGGCAAGACTGTCAGTCAGATTGCGAAGGAGTATGAGCATGAGGATTTGGAACGGTATCTTGTTGTGGAGGCCGATAGGCAAAGATCGTTGCCATCGCCGCCGCCGCCGCTGGCTGTTCAACCGCCGCTAGCTGTGCGGAAGGAGGATGTGAAGGCTGAGCTGGATGTTGAAGCCAAAACAGTACCGCAGATCAAAGCGGAAATGCTCTCTGAGAAGAAACTTGTGCATGAGACAACAGCAGTCGACCGTTTTCCAGAAGGTGCTAAACAAAGCGGTGGAGGCGGAGGTCTTGAAACAACGCAACTCGAAATTCAGAGACGGAATGAGCGCATCAACACGGACCTTGCGAATAATCCGATCATTTTGGGTATACTGGGGTTGGTCCTCCTGGTCACTTTGTACAAAGTTTGGCTTGGATGAATGAGTTCTATTTTGTCGCAGTTTATCGCCATTCAGCATGCCGAGGCAGCTGGACCGCAGCGCCGGGCGCAAAATACCGGTACGGGGTCTTTCTATGTCGGAGTATTTGAGTGTATATCTAGCATATTTAGCACCTACAAATCATATAAGGTTCTTTCTACTTGAAGATTTCAAACACGGAGTAGACCAGAAAGGAGGAATTGGACTGCCTCTTGACTAGTTAGCTTCCTAAAGCCCGAGATACTCCTTACAGCGGTATTAAGTGAGCAAGAGTGAACCTTAAGAAGCGATATATCTATGAGGTTGATGCAATAGAAATTTGGTTTACCTCTCGGCTACTTGGGCTCTGGTTTTGCTCGCTCAACACCAATATCAGGGGTGGGCCCAGAGTGGGTGGCTGGGCAGTCAAAGGGTAGTTTGATTCCCACTGCACCAACCTTTGCATACTTCGAATACGTAAAATCCAAATATCTAGGAGCCTGGGGAAACATACTATTGGCCAATCGTCTGCCCCGTAAGCCACTCCTGACCTTAGTATCGAGCGAGCAAGATTGAACTCCGCGTAGAGTTATATCCAGGTGCCCATCCTCATGTTCATGCAGCGGAAATCAGACTACCTCTTGACTGGCCAGCTATCCACCGGCGGGGCCACTCCTCACAGCGGTATCGAACGACCAAGATTGAAGCCCAAGCAGAGCTATATGCGCGTGCCCATTCTTATGATCAAGCAGCGGAAATCAGACTACCTCTTTACTAGCCAGGTACCTCCCAGCAGGGCCACTCCTCACAACGGTATCGAGCGAGCAAAAGTGAACCGATTCAATTCATTCACGTTCGAAGACGAGAAGGATATTCGGGAGCAAATGGGTTATATTTCGGAGAGTAGTCAAACCGCACCATCGGCAGTCCAGACCAGCTCGAAGATCCCAGACCATGAGATTTCGCGAGAAAAAGACGTACAAAACCCAGCTCACATAGCACCTAGAGGATGAACCGCCCTGCCATAGCACTCGGGAGCTGCAGCTCCTTCAGCAGCTCCATGATGTGATGAATCAGCTCATGGAACTTCAGCGCATGCAGCCTGGCTCCCAGCGTGTTCATCGTCGAGCTTCGTGCCTGGTCAGCCTGGAGCTCAAGCAAGCATTCGTTGGTTATCGACTCGAGCGGACCCAGGGCCGCAAAGCAGCTCTCGACCACCGCAATCTGCACGCGGGCTTCTGCTGGGAACATGGCGACGATGTCTGAGTAGTCATCGTTGGTGGTAGGGCGGCCGGGACGGCGCTGAGGCGGGTTGGTGCTAAGAAATTCTTGGCGGCAGATAGGGCATTTGCTGGCGTTTTCCGCACCCGAGGTGATCCAAGTGTTCAAGCAGTCGCGGCCCATCGTATGCTCGCAGTGTGTCTTGACAGCGGGCTCCGCGCCGGCGAAAACCAGCGACTCGTGGCAAATCGAACACTCGCGATCGTCCGGGCTTAGGTTCGCAACATCCACAGGCTGGCTGCTGGTCTCCACAGTGATTGGGGCCTTGAAAGGCTGGACGTACGCTTGGCACAGGTTGTGCTTCCACGTGTATATGGCAACCGTAAGGCCGACGATCTCGTTGAAGAACTCGTCCCAGTGGTCGTTCGTGCCTTCTTGCGCGAGATCGAGCAGGAAGCAGTATTGCTCGGGGAGGTGGGTTCGCAGGTATTCGGTCGTAAAAACAGATTTAGCTTCTGAATAGCGCGAGTACTTGTATCCTTGTTGCGAGTCGTGTTGCCACTCGGTGCGCGGTACGTTGCGTGTCAAGTGGAGGATCTTGGTGCCGATGAACCGCATTGCGACAGGGAAAGGGTCGCTGGGTTGCGCGAATAGGGCTTCGATGAAGCGCTCAGAGTGTGGATCTGCGCTCGGCATATTGGTTGCTTGGTGATAGCTTGTTGTGGTGGTTCTGGTTTGATGGAAACAGAGTGGTGTTTTTAGTGGGGTTTTGAGAAGGTCTGTGTCGGAGGTTGAAGAATCTTAAAACTGATAACCAAAGGCGGTGACGAAATGAAGAAGAAGGCATTACCTAGCCATTACATATACCGCTAATACCCGCGCTATGTGAATCCGTCATGGCCGTGAATTCACAATGTGTTGAGTGACTAACAATGGTGAATGTCGGCTTATAACCAACATTGTGCAATACAGACTCGAAAATGGGATGAAAGAAACATATTCGCCGTTGTTCAGGAATAAAGTGCACGTGCCTGGTTCTTACTAGATCATACAGTACCAGGCCATGAAATCATGCGCACGAATATCCCACTGGACTGGACTTACTCCTGCTCGTTTGATACCACTTTAAGGAGTAGCCCAGCTAGTGGAAATTCGGCCAGCTAAGAGGCAGCTCGGATTCCGCGGTGGGTAACCTGACATTGCGCCTGGCTTTTTCTCAACCCATGGGGATACTCCAAGCAGTGGCAAGCCAGTGTGCACAGACTAATCTGGACCCACGCATATACCATCGCTTGAAAGCCACATGCGAAAGCTAGACGCCACTGCCAGAATGATCCCCGTTGGAAGGAAGGTATTCGGTCCGTTAGTAGGTAGCCTTATGTCCACTGTATCAACTTTGACATGGCATTTGAATTTTGAAAAATCCATTGGGTTACACCTAAAAGTGGCAGGAAAGGGGAGCATACCCATATTCATTACGAGATTATACTACCAGTTTTGCGACATCCGTCGTCGAGATTCATCTGAGCGTCACGACGAGTCCAAATACAATAAAGAGCTTACTTATGCCCTTCACTAATTCCAAAAGCCAGTATGTCTTCTCTCACAACAACTCAATCCGCTGCGGCTCTAGTAGAGTTGTATTTTGCACCGCGCTACTATGTTTTTGCTCTTGCCTCTGTAACATAGCGTGATACTAAGCATGCATGTTAGTCCAGCTACTATGAAATCCCAAGTCATCAAGAAGGAATGGGAGAGAACGTACCTGAAACCCGAAGTTCAAACAAAGCGCCACCACCAACCCGATACACACAACAATGGGGCCGATCTGGTTATCGAAATCTTTTGGACTTCTCTCCTTGATCATCTTCGCCCTGATCATGTAAATCGCCCAGCCCCAAACGAGTGTAAACACAGCGACGATCGTATACGCAACCGCTAGAGCTCTGGCGACATTATTCGATGGTCCAGCCGCGTTGAAAAGTCCCAAGGACAGAGAAGCGAGCAACACGGCTACGTGCTGCCATTTTATGAATGTGCGCTGGTTGGCTAGCCACACTTTGGCCTCGACACGGACGGGACCTTGGTCTTTGATCCAGGAGGTTGGATTCGAGACGCCCGGGGGTAGTCGAGCGTTGGGAGTTTGGTGCGCGCGGGCGTATTTGGAAGAGGAGAATGAGGGGAGGAAGGAGCGAATACCACTCGGCTTAGTGAGGCCAGCAGTAGGCATTTGCGAGTCTTCATTGTCTAAATCCTCTTCCGCAACGTCTTCTTTAGAAGTGGGGCTCGTAGCATAGGGGAGAGAAGAGCGTCCCGCAGAAATGCGATCTTTCAGGGATTTGCCACCGGCGCCCGCGGGCGAGCTAACGGGGGAGCTGATAGAGGGTCTATAGCTGCCACTTGGTCTTGTGCCGAATAGGGATCCAACAGCGAACTCCTCTTCAGCCATTTTGGCTTTCCGGTCCTGTTCTTGTTCGAAGGCCTGCTGAGGCTCCTGACGAATATCAGATTCGACGTCTGAGCGCCAGAAAGGGAAGCTGTTGACGCTGTCTTCAAAGAGCATGGCGACACCGTGGACAAATTTCGAAAAACGTGGCGCTCCTTTGACGAGATGCGAATCCATGAGGTCGTCGACCCATTCGTACTTCTTGTAGCCTTTCACTTTGATTTCGAGCAGCGCAAAGGGGAAGCGGTTGATCTCGCCTTTACGAATTCCACTGAAAGGGTATTCCATGGATGCATCGTCGATGTCTTTGCGATGCCAGTCCTCAGGGTCTCGGCAGGGGCGCTCGGTGTCGATTGCGTCTTCCCGGATGAGAGCTAGATCAGTATCCAGTGAAATCCTGACTCTGTCATCACCAGGTATCTGGAAGGCAGTTCGAGTGTAATTTGCCCTCAGGACAGGCTGAAGCTGGTTTTCCTTGATGAAGGCTTGTATATCATCGACGGCTTTCTGGAAGTTATCCGCGCTGTCGCTAGATTCTCCTTCTCTGTTCTGGATCTTTTGGACGCTTTTTTCCATCTTATATTTGCCTTTAATGAACTGCTCAATGTACTTCTCCTTGATAGGGAAGCGTTGTTCCTCGCTACTGTTCCCGTCGGTGATTGTCTTCTTCTCGAATAGAATGTCGGGTTTATCTGCAAGCTGTCCATACCAGCGTAGGCGAAGCGAAGCCGCATCAGGCGCTTGATTGACCTTGTCCGTGTATAGTTTGAAGTTAGGGTTATCGAAATATACGGAGGTGAGGGTCGGGTCGCGTTGGAAGCCTTCGGCAACTTTAGAGGTTTGCGGGTTGTATACAAGGACGGGAAGGCGACGAAGGATGACGGTCTTAACTTCAAGAAGGTTTTCAGGGTGGACCCAGACTGTGGAATTATCAGCAAGTTAACTCTGGTAGAATGCCATTTCGACTTACATTTGTATGATGTGAAGCTCTCCCCGCCCGTATGGCTGTCAGCGAAGGAGAGTGATTCCTTCGTCTTCCCGTCTAAACTCTGCCGCACAAACGAGTACATGGCCGACAGCCTATATAACAACGGTGAATAGTCCTCCTTGTTGAACGGTAGCTCTGCAATGCGGGTATCAAGGAAGGCCCTGAGCTTATACGCTTCTCCACGCTTCCGATCATGCTTCTTCGTGGCCTTATATAACGCTGTGTAGTTGATGCGACAGTACTTCTCAAGCTCATTGACGTCTTTCGTGATCTTGTCCAACTCCTCCAACACCTCTTTCAGTATCTTCTCCCTTTCCTGCGAGGCCACCTCCAGCTTCTTATCCGCAGCATCGACCTCCCCTTCATCGCTAGCATCTTTCTTCAGCCCAATCGCTAACGGGTCCAGCTTCGATTCGCATGCCGTCGTCCGATCCCGTAGCTTCTGGTAAGTGTCCGCTTGGAACGCATGCACCTTCTCCAGCTGCACGTTCAGCAGCTCGTCTACGAATGCGCTCTCATCGTCGGCCGTCCATTGGTCGTCATCATCTTCAACCGATGACCCTCCATCGCTCTCCTTGAGCAGCTTCTTCAGCTTGTCATAATCGACGTACTTGTCTTTCCATGGCGCGTAGATAGTCTTGCGGAGGGTGGTGCCGAAGCGCATGCTATGCGGTAAGGATGGTGATTGCGAGGCGGGTGAGAAGCTTCAAAACCGGGGTCAATTGGCAATAGCAATGGTGTTTGGCAGAGTTTGAGAGCTGTGGACGAGAGCTGTGAATTGTGATGGCAGAAGCTTGGGAGGCGGGGAGTTTCGCGGTAGCCAATAGCAAGACGGCCGAGGGCCCCGTGCGTGGGGGTTCTTCGATCTCCAACCACCTCAAATTCTGAGAGGCAAATCTTGACGACTTTCTACATATTACAAGCCTCAATTACAAGCCTTAATTGGTGTCTTACGCCTAGCGGGTACGATGGGCATTGGCTAGCTATCCTTGACCTCTCCTATTTATATGGCAACACCGATTTTGTCCTATGAAACAAGTCACATTAACTATAAATACATGAATTATTCATCCATTTCCCTCCCCAAAGGCTCCTTGGTACGAAGATCTTTGGTACTTTTCCAGCTGGCCATATGTTATGAGAAGCCGACCTACCCTTCACGACTTGATAAGCCTTACAGCTACTGTCCTGAAAGTGACGATGTGAAGGCGCGATGATCGTGTATCTGCCTTTTATACGCTTGACAAATATGCATCCAGCTTCTCCAATTTTCGACCTGTCCGAATAGCGGAATCAAAGGTTCGGTAGCTCGGGTAGATATCCTAAGCTGGAGAGGGGGCCATGATACGGGAGCGAGAGCGGCGATGAACTGGTGCTAAGAGCTATTCATTGTCTTCGGTTGCTGCTATTTGGATCTATATCTAAAACATTAGCAGTACTCAAACACAATACAACTTCGAGAGTCACTTCGAGATAAGATAGGTGGAACTAATGTGAAATCTCATTTCTTCTACGACAGCAGAGCAAAGAGAAGATAAGTTCTCTTCCGATAATCGGTTGCGCTCTTCGCAAGCTTCTCTCGTGCGACTGAATCAAGGTGCGCTGCAGACGACAATGTATCCAGCAGCAGTTCGAACTGTGTATCTGTAGGAATGCTATAATCAGATAGTCCCACGCAACGCTGGAGATAGAGAATATCAAAGAGCAGTTGCACGGCTTTGTCCTTCTTAGCATCAGTGTATGCACTGGCGTCCTCGGTTCCGTTCGTGTCTCCCTTTTCCGTTGTTGGCGAAGGAATTGGCTGAGAGGTAATTATATCAACCGAAGCCTTCAGTAGCTCACATAATTGCTTGCCACCAGTGCTCTTGATGGTTCGGACAGCACCAGGTGCCCAGAGATCACCTCCATATCGCCCCATCTCCTGATTGAGGTCATGCAGGAACCTGAATGTGCTCGGCGAGGGCTGTACGGGCAGCTGTGGGTTCCCTTCCCATAGAATCCGACCACGTGTAACTTTCGAAGAAGTCGACTTGTCCAGTCTAGTTTTGTACGTGCTGAGGGGAAATCTCAAGATGGAATTTGTAACCATCAAATGCAAAGGTTCGATCAAGCTGGAGCTGAACGGCCCAGATGCCGATTCTTTGCCAAGGCGTCGAAGGGCTAATCGCGGATGACGATCCGTGATTTCTCGAAGAACTCGAATCAAAAACATGGCTCGCGTTATCGTGTCGTCGTGCACATCAGCTGCTAGTTCAGTGATCAGCCCTCCCATGCTTTTTTGCAATTCGACCATCGCTTTTAACAACGCTTCTTGCATGGCATCTTCGATTTTACGAGGGTCGTCGTCGCTCAAAAGACCTTGTTTTGAATCAAGACTAAACTCGTTGTCGGAGTCAGCAGAATCATCCCCAATATCATCGTCCCACCGGATGTCTGTCATTTCTTTGATGATAGTTTTGACTTCCAAGACCTGATCGGTCCAGGTGTCATAGGCCGATACTACTCGTTGCACGAGCTCCGTTCTGCCATGGGATCTATTTAGAATGCCGTTCTTGAATGTCTCAGCGCCCGCGCCAATATCCAAGAAGGACGTTGTCGTATTCCAAAGGCTTGTGTTCGTATTTGCCTCATCAGCGGGCCACTGCTCCATTATTTTGGTGATAGCGGACGAGACACTTTCAAGCTCTCCAGCTCGCTTGCTTGCTATCGTGCTCAGTTGAGTGTTTATCACATCTCGAAGGTCATCAAGTACTGCTGAAGACTTTAGCCCAGGTACCCTATTACCTGAGGCCAGCCACGTTTCAAAAAGCTCTTTCCTCAGCACCGCTACTGCCCTGAGATCTTGCACGCTCGAAAGGGCCGTTTTCGTGTCCTTTAAAAATACCGAGATTGCGTCCTTAGCCCAAGCTTTGAGTAATTTTTCCGCTTCAGCCCGTTGAAGCTCATCATGGCGCGGCCAGGGAGTATAGTTCCGGGCCTCTTCTGATAGCCATCGCTCATGGATATCTAAGTTGAGTTCGGTAATATTCCTAATCTCAGGGTCGCGCATGAGCGGCTGTAATTTGAGCTTCGCTAACGAGTCTGCCAATCGCCGCGGAAAGATGGCCTGAGTATCCTGTAGCGTTTTAACGCAGAGTTTCAATGCCTTCAAGATGAATTCTTGGACATTTTCTTCGTGCTCGAATGATTCGGCGATAGCATCCTTTCGGACGCCATGGAAATGCCGTAAAACATCTGTCGGGGTTGAGCTTGTGGCTAGAGCAAATGCGCACATATTTTCGACAAGCATAGAGATATCAGCCGTGGGGGTGGATAGTTGCTTGTCGATTCGACGTAACAGCCGTCCGCGCAAGGATGCTAGTTGATCTCGAATATGGTCCACGTATGGAGGCTTGCTCGTCAATTGGGAGAGAGACTTGTGCAGCAATCGGGACATGACAAGGATCTTGGCGATGAGTAGAGATGAGCCCTTCTTCTTCAATAGCCGAGTCATTACGTTCGGACAGCTCTGGAGAACGGCCATTTGTGACGCGAAGGCGTATCTATCCTGGTCTGTGTATTCGTGTCAACTCCAACAGCCCTTCAATATCATATAAACAGCAGAGACCAACCGCGAGCCCTCCATTGTTTATCCAGTTCTGCGTAGTTGTTTGCAATGCGATCCACAGCGCGCGAGTTGCACTTTTGCCCGACTTTTCCAAGGGTTGTCTCAATCTGTTGCATGTGCTCTTCCATTTCGACTATCCGTTCCGCCGTACCGAGGAGGTCGCGATAGCTCGCCCTACAGGATTTTATTAGCAATGGGTTCTTGGATTTGAATGTCTACTTAAACATACCCCACCAAAGTCCGGAGCTTCTCGCGGTTCTCATTGGCGTTGGCGCGGAGCTGCAGCTCCAGCTTGCGGATGACTGGCACCGGGAATTGAAATGCATCTTCCCACGTCTTGAAGGACCGCGGGTCCGGAGCTTCGTTGGTCATGGCAGGGCGAACAGTCGTCGTGGTGTTTTGAGAATGAAGCGACGTTCAATCCATAGATTCCATAAATAGGCTTAGCGGGAAGCGCACGGGCCTCTCAACATCCATCTCATCCGCGGAGTTTCAGCTGAGTTCCATGTTGATCGCCACGCTCTGAATGATGTTGATGCGGCTTCAGCTGGAACGATAACATCTCTATATGTCTAGCTCTGTACAGTATTGCAAGAGAAGGTATGTGTATCCATTCTAGTGCCGGAACTAGCCCTTCGTGGGCATGAACGCTTGTTAATCCCAAGGCAGCCAGCACCGTCCCTTTCTAGCCTCATGCCCTAGTAAACAGGACTATCTGTGAGGCCCCACTTCTCAAAGTATCCAGCAGGACCATGCTCATCCACAGCCACGCGGTGTGATGCTTTCAAGGCTCCGTTCACTTCACGAGGAGTCCATCCAATGGCTCTCTCGCCAGACCGAGGTTTCCGAAGAAGAGCAAAGGGCAATCGATCGAGCGAACACTCATCACGATGCCCTCGCTTTGCTTGAGATTGAGCAGCGTGCTTCCCTGACTACGGACTATCTGAAAGATGCAGAGCACGTGACTACTGAGTTGAACAAAGTACGGAAGTCCCTAGTGGAAATACTACGAATCAAGAAACAAGCTTCACCGGAGCTTCCAAGCGATGACTTCACGGATTGGCACCTTCTCGCACGCGTCTATCAAAGCCTTGGTCATTACGAAAATTCTGAACAAGCTTACAAGGCTGCTATGATCACGAGCCGAACGCTGTCTCCAAAGAATCTTCTCCGCGTCCGCATTGCAAGTGATTTTGCCCGATTTCTGGCTGACAACGAACGAATTCTGGGACATGCCGAAGAACTATGCCATAGCCTTCTCCAGGTCATGAGCGAAAACGACGTCCCTCAAAACTTCCAAGCTGGACTTCAACCCAGAGATTACTTGCCTTTCACATTGGACACCTTGAGTCTAATACTCAACATCAGTGATCGTTTCCAGGATGCTTCGACAGTACTCGACACCCTCGATAGCCGGTTCGGAACAAATCTTCCCCACGTCTTATCCGCAAGCATCGTTCTCAATCGAGCTCGCGCCTACGCTGGGATGGGGAAGCTTGATCAAGCCAGTTATCAATTCTGCCATGCCCTGGTTCTGAGCTCCATAGCTCTAGGAAATTGGCATTATACTACCTTAAAGGTCTTCCACACGTATGGTGCGCATCTGCTTTCCATTGGCAAAGAGCAGGCAGCTTCAGTCCTACTTCTAGAGGCTTACTTAGGCCGTTGCTATCGATTAGGCAGAGAGCACCCTCACACATTGGATAGCTATCATATTCTCCAACAATGCGCGCTTTCACAGCCACAGCGGGACTCTCTCAGTCTCTTTCGTCACTGCATTACCTATAACACACTGCAATCCATTGCATACGAACACATGGAATTATGGACAATAGCGGACTTCCTGAGCTGGGCCGATTTGGAAATATTTTCTCTGGCAGAGAATATCATTGCTGCACTGCTTTCCGATCCAAGACTTCATCGAACGAGAGATACATCTGTTGAATATCAAGCGAAGAGGACCTTACGTCTGGAAAGAGCGATCGCTGCCTGCGAAGCCAGGCTTGGTCGTCCCGATCAAGCTGCGCTACGAATGGAGAGAGTAGTCCAAGACACCTTCACAATGAACAAAACGATGATGCTTTTGTGCGATATGGATACCGCTATTTATCTCTCCCATATTCAAGGTCACGAGTCGAAGGCCCAAGAATTCTCTCAACATGTATTCTTTGGAGCTGAAACATTGCTTCAAGCTCACAATGAGGGGCGAGTTGCTGTTACGAGCGCTTTTCAGAAAAGACTTGCACAACACGGTTTAACTCATTTCGAGTTTGGAACGCTACCCGGAACCCAGATCGTGAAGCCAGCACCCTTCGTTCGTATTGACAGAATTGGTAGAGGCGCATTCGCCGAAGTCGAGAGCGTTGAATTATATGGCAACCACTACGCAAGGAAATCTATGTTTCTACGCCGCAGTAGTGAGCGGCAACTTCGAGAAATGATAGAAAACGAAATCTCTGTCATCAAATCTATGCGCCATCCACATATAGTCAGTATCTACTGCACGTACCAAGAGAAGCAGCAGTATTCTATCGTTCTAGAGCCTCTAGCCCAGGCAGATCTAGAAACTTGGTTGGATCAACAAGACAATACTACCGCGACTTCGAAGCTCTCCCCACTCCTGGAGAAATGGATCTTATGTTTGGCAACGACATTGGCATTCATGCATGGCCACGGCGTTCGGCATAAAGACATCAAAACGAAAAACATTCTAGTCCAAGGAACGCGGATCGTATATTCGGACTTCGGGTCAAGCCGTGCGTTCTTGGGAGAGAATGCAGCCTCTACGGAAGGGCCTGCGTATGGCCACACTCGAATGTATAGCGCGCCGGAAGTCATTGCATGGGAGCGTAGAAACACGTCTGCGGATGTGTTCTCCTTAGGTTGCGTCTTGACCGAAATTGTGAGTGTGCTTTGTGGCAGGAGGCTGAAAGAGTACCACGATTTTCGCTATCGAATGGACGAAGAACTCGAGAGACCGACTCATGCCTACCACGCCACTTTAGATCTAGTCGATGCGTGGTTCTCAGTTGACAACGACCATATACCTGCTTGGGGATGTAAGCTATTCGAAGCTTTCATTAAACCTATGCTTCACTTCACTGGCCATGCGCGACCTTCGGCAACAACGACTAGCAATACTATGAAGGCATTTTATGAAGCGCAAAATATGTCCACGGCCACGTTTTGCAGAATCTGTTATCAATATCCCGTCTCAGACCTTGCACCCACTCCAGGGATAGATGACTCTATTTCTTTGAAGCGTAGTAATACTGGCCTTGAATCTATTCGTAGTCTCGCATCATCGGTCACTGGGCTCAGTTCTTCAATCACATCTTCGGCTGCAGCATTCGAGTCGTCTACTACGTCTTCATTTACAACAAATAGCTCACTCACAACATCGTCATTGGGATCCGAACCTACCAGAGCAAAAGAAATTGCTCCTCCAGAACCGCATTTCATCGACAAGAAACACGATACCGCTGTTCCACCTTTAGCAATGGAACAGTCGAACTGAAAGCTAGCATTTCGATTGACCGCAAATCGTATACATTTATTCATTGTCGAGTCTAATCATAATCTTCACTGTATTGTCAGAAATGGCAGAAAAGTGTACATAGGCCTTTGAAGAACTATGTAACACATTATTTAAGGGAATTTCTAGGGACACGGACATGCTGTTCAAGAGCTGCTGCTATTTCCAGCCCGGAACCCCATCTCCGGGTCAAGTCAGTAGATTAGCCGCCTTTTCAGCTTTCTTCCGAGCATGAAGTCTAGCCTTTTAGTCTTCCTTTTTCGAGAAGCACAATAAACACGCCACTACGGAAAGCCTTGGTCTCGGGCAAAGATCTCCCGCCAAGCGAGGTCATGCATCACGGCTCTCGGTACGCCGGCCATCACCTGCTGACGTGAGTCGCGACCCGGATGACTTTCCCCAACGCGGGTACGTGCATTTAGGCTAAATAGAATATTGGTGGCTGTGGTGGGGTGTTTGTTGTAGGTAGCACTGCAACCACGTCGGACATCGTCGGCTTTCACACTTTTTTATCATCCCATTGAGAAGGATCTCGTGCATGATCAATACTTTTAAGACTGCAAATTTATCCAGGAACCTGCAATCAATCACACACCTTTTACACGAAGCCTGAAAACTACCACCGCTATGAAATTCCGCGATGGTTTGTTACTCTTCTCAAACCTTCAGCTCTCCAACTAATTCTTCCGCCAGGCATGTGGCTTGTTGCTGAAGGCAAAACAGTCCAATACGCCGAAGACATCTACACAGTAACCTCAAGGCCTGATGGGAAAGCCCTAAATCTGCTGTGTCCCACCCGCCGCATCTTTTCCCGCGGCGACACTTTGAATCTGGCAACTTTGAATGTCGAGATTGAAGCTCAATTCGACGGCGTTATTTCCGTCGAAGTCACGCACTTCGCAGGTGCCAGAAAGCTTGGTCCAAACTTCGACCTGTACCCCGACGGCAAGCCAGAAAGCTCCGCGAGCATCAGCAAGATCGAAGCTGTCGGTACAACCATCACCAGCGGGAATCTCAGGGCGACCGTAGGCCCAGACCCACACGCGTTCGACATCCGATTCCATGACACAGAGACCGGAGCTGAAGTGACCTCGCTTCTGAATAGAAGCGTTGGTTTTGCATATAGCCCTGCGTTGAGCAATCCAAAACAAGTTTCAGAGTTAGGCAGTAACGGAATTTCTCATCACATTTTTGCACAAACTCAACTTGGAGTGGGTGAGAGTATTCATGGCCTTGGGGAGCGATTTGGAGCCTGGAACCGTGTCGGCCAGAATATTGAGGTTTGGAACGAAGACGGCGGAACGAGTTCGGACCAAGCGTACAAGAACGTGAGCTTCTGGCTTAGTTCGGCTGGCTATGGCATATTCGTGGATACGCCAGGCAAGGTCGACTTGGAGATCGGGAGTGAGAGGTGTTCTCGAGTACAAATGGCTGTGGAAGCGCAAAGGCTGAAATGGTGGGCTTCACTGACTCCAGTCACCTTTGAAGTCGTTTGAGACAATAACTAATACACGCTAGGTATATCATCTATGGACCCAATCCAAAGACAATACTTTCGAAGTACGCCCGTCTAACAGGCTTTCCACCACCTGTTCCGGCCTGGTCCTTCGGCCTCTGGCTCTCCACCTCCTTCACAACATCTTACTCCGAAGCCACCGTATCGAATTTCCTCACTCAAATGCAAGAGCGCGCTATTCCGGTCGAAGTCTTCCACTTCGACTGTTTTTGGCTTCGGGCTTTTCATTGGTGTGACTTTGTCTTCGACACTGAACAGTTCCCCGACCCGGCCGGTCAGATCAAGAGACTCAAGGAAGCAGGGCTGGTTAACAAGATCTCGGTTTGGACGAATCCGTATGTCGGCCAAGCATCTCCGGTCTTTCAGTATGCCGCAGAGAAAGGCTACCTCGTCCGCCGCACAAACGGGGATGTCTGGCAGTGGGACCTGTGGCAAACCGGCATGGGCCTCGTAGACTTCACGAATCCTGCCGCAGTGTCTTGGTACGAATCATGCATCGATAAACTTTGTGATATCGGTGTGGACTGCATCAAGACTGACTTCGGAGAACGCATACCCACAAAGGGCGTGAAGTGGTTTGACGAGAGCGTCGACAACGAGCGCATGCACAACTGGTATGCGTTCATCTACAACAAAACCGTATATGAAACCCTCCAACGACGGTATGGCAAGAGAGAAGCAGTTCTCTTCGCAAGAACAGCATGCGCTGGGACCCAGCGATTCCCTCTAGTGAGTCCACCCCTCCTCAATCAATTAACGTCTCCACTTTTTCGTGTCTAATACTAACCTCCACAGTGCTGGGGCGGCGACTCCGAATCCACGGCCCCCGCCCTCGCCGAATCTGTCCGCGCCGGCCTCTCCCTGGGCCTCGCCTCCTTCGCGTCCTGGTCCTGCGACATCGGCGGCTTCGAGGGCTCGCCACCGCCCTGGCTCTACAAGCGCTGGGTCGCCTTCGGCCTCCTCTGCTCGCACAGCCGTCTCCATGGCTCCAACTCCTACCGCGTGCCCTGGTTTATCGACGACGACTCCCAAGAACCCGAGAACGCGACCGCAGTACTGAGATCCTGGGTGCAGCTCAAGCGCCGCCTAATGCCGTATATCTACGCACAGGCGGTTGAGAGCTGGGCGAATGGGTGGCCGATTAGCTTGAGGGCTGTGGCTCTTGAGTTCTCGGATGATCCGACGGCGTGGCAGTGTGATAGGCAGTTCATGGTCGGCTCGCAGATTTTGGCGGCGCCGGTGTTTACGGAGGGGGGTGATGTGCAGTTCTATCTGCCGAAGGGGCGCTGGACGAACTATTGGAGTGGGGAGGTGATTCAGGGGCCGGGGTGGAAGAAGGAGCAGCATGGGTTCTTGACGCTACCGCTGTTTGTGAGAGAGGGAACGGTATTGGTGCTTGGTAAAGAAGAGGGCAAAGGCGGGTTTGGGTATGATTGGTTGAATGACGGTGGAGAGGTGAGGCTTTATGGGGTTCAAGAGGGCAGCAAGACGGCCTTGGTGGATAAGGAGGGGAAGGAGGTTGGAGATTTGGTGGTAGGGAAGGATGGGAAGGTGAAGGGGTTGGAGCATTTGACGGGAGAATGGAATGTGGTGAAGGTTTCGTAGGTGTTGAGGGATGAAAGTACTTCGGAACCCCGAAACGAATTTTATTAAGCTGTTAGATTTTGAGGTTCGGTATTCATCCTGCAAGGCTGGATTTACGAAGTAGAGTGGGGTTTGCGCTAGTCCAAGTGCGGCGGGACATGACGGTGCCATGACCCTTCTACGTCGTATAATTGGCAACCACATGATCAGAGCGCTGCTCAGTATAACGACAACAACGAAGCCTTCTTCTTGACTCGGCAGCAATTTCCATCCTTCTCACTATTTCAAGCAGCCAGTCGGCGATACGACCTAATCAACTAGCGCAGGTTCATTCCAGCAACATGCAGGCAAGGGAGGAGCTTATCCCGTTCGACGAGTTCCAGATAGGGCTGGATCGGTCCGCCATCGATCATAAAGGGCAGATTCAGCTTCCCGAACAGCATCTGCCCAGGAGCGGCAGCAAAGCACCTCGCCAGGACGCTGACAAGCATACCGAACCTGCAACTAACCAGTCGTCATCTCATCATATCCTCACTTCGATCAAAGAGCACAAACATGATGCTGCGAAAAAGCTTAGGAAAGCGTTTCACATCAGCGAAAGCTCTGACAATCTCAGTTCGGAATCGCTGGTCCTCGCAGATACTAGCAACGAGAAGTCTGATTCGCGGCTTGTAAACAGACTACCTATGCCAGAGAAACACACTCTGAAGGACTTTGTTGCCAATCCTGTCGACACTGTGAAGTCCAAGGTCTCTGGACAGGGGTCTCACCAACTCGCCGCGAATATCGCCTCGAAAGAGATATCTCATGGCAAGGAGGTCGACCTTGTCAATGCCCATTCCGCAGTCGAACGCGCGAAGACAGATGAAGAAAAGCTACTTGCTATCCAGGACCTCTCCATGCTAATGAAAGAACGACAAAGCACGTTTGTCCGGTGGACACTCGATCGGCATATTACGAAGGTCAGGGTATTGCCCCGAGATACCTTTGCAAGGAAGTCTAGAGCAGCCTTTGAGACAAAGAACATTGAAGGAGATATAGTGATGAATTGGAGGGCTTACGGACAACATGCAAGCATCATCATCAACGGTAACTTTATCGGAGGCTTCTGCTAACATGCCGCAGCAACTGATTTTCTATGCTCAACAGTATGGAGGACAGTATATTGGCTCCGGTTCAGATCCACCAACCCCTTCCAAAGAGACCATCTTACCAAACATTGAGCGCCTGATAGTTGCATCTTCACCCTTTCAGGAGTTGATCATGACTACCAGACGAGTATATCGCTGGGAAAACAGCACAGAAACGACGAAGTATCTGTTAATCTACCTCACGCTGTGGTATTTAAATCTGATACTTCCAGGCGTCGTAATTCCTTCTCATAAATGTTGTACTCATGCTGCGACTAATAGATACTGACGTAAGACTAGCTCGCCGCTATCGTATACTTTGTCGTAGATCGCCGCGTCCATCGCAACACCTTGGAAGACCTTCGCGAAGACATCAAGCACAGGGAAGACGTGCACAGAACAGCCCTTTCTCTCACCGAATTCATCGAGAAGAGAGGAGACGAGAAATGGGCAAATGACCTTCTTGAAGGCTCGGGCCGATGGCTGATGATCCAATTGGCTGACTTGGCAGGTTTCTTCGAGAGTTTGCGCAAGTCTGTCTTCCATCTATAATTGATACGATTGGCAGCAAGACTGATGTATTCCTAGCTTCTACGAATGGTTAGTACCTAGCCGGACGATAGCCACGCTTAAAATACTCGCTGTCGCCACCCTCTTCACTGCCGTGGCTCCTGTTTGGCTGTTGGCCAAAATAACGACCTTCGGTGCAGGTGTGATCTTTTTTGGTCTCTTTCCCCTGGCCACCAACTTCCCAGAGTACCGACTCTTAGTGTCGCCGTCAAAGCGCATATTCTGGAACATTCCTACCCATGGTGAGCTCAAACTTAGTCGTTCCCAAAGTGTTAAAGCGCAAAATGTTCATGTGTCCCGTTTTGTAGCCGAATGGACCATCAAATACATCCAAGCCGAAGGAACTCACTACGTAGAGCACGCCACGCAATTGCCATCCGCCCCGCCGATCAAAGTGTCTTCAGGTTCCGAAAATCTACGTGACTACGGCTTCTATACTGCTCATCACGACGACGATACAGGTCGCCTGATCATCAGTACCTCATCTGTCCGCTTCGTCTCAAATGTCGCACATAAAGTCCACTGGCATCTTACCTACGACCAGATCAGCAATCTTGAGAAATTGGACCGCGTTGTGGCGAAGAACGTACCCAAGCTGAAGAATGACTCTGGGAAAGACTTGCGGCTTATTAGCAAGGCGGGCGAGGAATGGGTGTTGATCAATGTGGATCGGAGAGATGAGGCTTTCTCACAGATTGTGGGATTCAGTGCGACAACTTGGCAGGTAGTTTGGTGAGAAAAAATTGACCAGTGTACATGAAGAGCCTGAAAGCAAGTATATAATATCCAAAAGCCTCAATTTGATGTTAGATTAGCTCCATGCGTACTTAAACAGAGTGAACTTGTGTGAGGAGGCCGATCCTCGGTGTTGGATGAAAAAGCACGCCCGCCTAAGATTAGGGGGACCGGAAAATAGGTGACATTATATACTTCCAACACTCGGCGAAGAGCATCCAAACAAGAAATGTATATGAACTGTCCGGCGCCGAGGATCGAACTCGGGTCTCCAGCTTGACGGAGGAACGGGGTCTGACGGACAGGAACCCAACCCCCCTATCAAGCCTGCCCTTTTCCAGGGGCATCCAGCCAAAAGACCTTTGGGTATTATTACCAACTAAACCACACCGGATTGAGAGCCAATGATAAAATTATCTCTTAAGTCCTTCACCGGTGCCGATAGCTATCAAAGCAGTGTTGTGCTTTCTCGTGACTCAGGTTAAATTGATGTGAACTCTGATTTCTATAGACGTCTAGCTAGTTGTATATATACTAGGGGAAGGAAGGGGGCCACCCCCAGGGTGGCGCGCTAGTAAGTTCAGATGAGCCCTGCACAGCTGAGGCTTCAGCTCGGTTCTCTACAGCTGAGATTTCAGCTGGGTTCTCTACAGCTGATGTTCGGAGAGTAGCTTTCTGGCATATGAGTTGTTGATCCTAGGTTGTAGTGCTGCAACCTGAGTTCGTGGAAGGCCCTGATTTCAAGGATAGTTCAGAGGCCAAATGTAGCCTTGTGGTTCAACTTTTTCCATTCTTCTCTGATAGGAGAAGGGGTATTCGACTCCGGGGTCTATTCGGTTCACACAATGGAAAATCAACATACTTCAATAGAGACACAAAGCTGGTGCTAGAGATAAGATACAGAGGGCCCTAACAACACGCCAGTATTCCCACGCGAAAGAGAGGAAGACTCCTCCAGGTGGCCAGCGCTGTACATTGAATCTTGTTCTCTTTAACAACCTCTGGCATTCCTCGCGGAATGGTATCCGCGTAAACCGCACTGAATCAACGAGAATTGAATAAGTTCTGACGCAGGCATGTCCTGATAATCTGCACCACTCGATGATATCAGCAAGATACCAAAAGAAAAAGCAATGCTCACCATGTCTAGCGCCAAGAATCGAACTTGGGTCTCCCCAGTTACCTATTATTGTAAGGGCAGGGAATTCTGCCACTAAACCATACCGGATTCAACGACACAAAATACAGTGGCAAGTGTAGCATATTCCAGAGAAAGGAAGCGAAATATTGTAGGGACACGCTCATGAACAATCACTGACACGCGGCGAATTATGGCGCAGCACTGTACACCCCGCTTCAGAGTTCTGACATTCATATCATTCCTACACTTAACCACTACCGTCTTTGTAATTACAACTACTCCTCCATCCCTTAGCTAATTTGTTTTTCCGTAGGTCTTTAAGCAGCCACATCCGTCTCCTTATGCTGCACACCCCTCTCCGTATCCTCATTCTTCTCCGGCACAGCCACTTGCTTCCCCTCCAAGTTCTCCGGCAGCGCCCCATTCGCCCGCTCGCCAAAGAGTAAATCAATCTCCTCCAGACTCAGCCGCGTCGTCTCCTTAAAGAAGAAGAAGATGGTCGGGAACGTGACGCACACATTGAAAGCCGCGAAGACGAAGTAGAACTTCCACTTTATAGCGCCCAGCCCCCGCGGACTGACTTGGCTCCATATCGTAGACACGAGCCAGTTTCCGATACCGGTGGCGAAGGCGGATCCGCGGCCACGGATCTGGAACGGCATGATCTCGCTGGCGTAGACCCAGGAGATGGGGCCGAAGGAGAAGCTGAAGATGGTGGTGACGCAGAAGAGGAAGAAGACGCCGGCGATGGAGAGGCTGTTTCTGCGCGCGCCCGTGGCGTGTTCGACTTGGGAGCCGATGACTGCTTCGCAGACGAGCGCGATGGTGATGAGGACGGTGCCGATGAGGAGGGGCCGGCGACGGCCGACGCGGTCGAGGAGCGTGGTGATGAAGATGAGGTTGCCGATTGGACCGACGCAGTTGTAGATGCCGGTGACTAGCAGACTGCGGCCGCCTGTTATGCCGAGATTTTTGTACATGACGGTTTGGTAGTAGCCGATGACGTTGATTCTGTGAGAGCGTTAGTGGAATGGTAGAGGAGAGTGGTGTGTGATGAGGAGCTTACCCAGTCATTTGCGTAAACACTTGGACGAGCACCGCATGCGTTAGTCGTACTCGCCAGGGCCTGACTTTGAACATGATGAGCCAACCCGGAGCGGTGAGAGCTTTCTCAGCGTCAATGGTGAGCTTGATTTCGTTGTATTCGGATTGAATCCAGTCGTCGTTGTGGCCGTCGTAGTGAAGTTTCCTCAGAACACGCATGGCTTCGTCGCCGCGATCTTTCTCCATCAACCATCGGGGAGATTCAGGCAAGAAGAAGAGACCTAGGACAAGGATTGCGCCGGGAATGGCTTGGAAGCCAAGAGGAAATCTCCACGAGAAAGCGCTAGTCTTGGGGACTTTGGACGAGCCGTAGCCGACCCAGGTGGACACGATGAATCCGACACCAATCATCTGTTGTGTGATACCGACGATGAGACCTATGTCTCGTTAGTGTAGTTCCAGCTAGCTAGAATGATATGGAATACCCCTAGTGTTTGGATGAGCACATTCCGATTGATACACAGGAACTGACATGGACATCAGTCCGACAGCCCAGCCGGCGAAGATTCGCCCAACCAAGATCATTCCAAGATTGCGAGCACCGCACTGAAGACATGCTCCAAGAACGTTGATGCAAGCTCCTATTTGCACCGTTCGTCTTCTTCCCAATCGGTCCATCGTGAACCCTCCCCTGCTATTGTCAGCTCTGCAGACTTCGCGAGGTAGAACATACTCACATCAACGCGCCAAACACCGCACCACCACTAAACGTCGAATTTATAGCCCCAATGATATCAGAATTTGGATTTGTGTTGAAGAACCACAAGAAATGTGGCGATTGGATGACATCTGTCATGACACCAGAGTCATATCCGAAGAGGAACGACCCTGTGCCAGCAAAGATAGCCAGGAGGAGATTGAATACCAGCCCCATAATTTTGTTGTTTTCTGGGTCAATGAGACTTGAAAGATGAGTGGAGAAAGCTCCTGCAGCGAGGAAACGGGGCTAGATATAGTCCCTGAGCACACCGCCTTCGAAAAGCTTTTCAAAGACCCGGAACATCACGCTGCCTACCGGGCGCCCGGCACGACTCTTCCATTCCATCTTTCATGAGCCGGGTCTCGAGAGAAGCGAAGAGGAGGCTGTCACCATGTCATGCCATGATTGGCGAATCCCAGCCCGCACTAGGCCGCTACTCAGGCTAAATGCGAGTCAGACCTGGGGAAGCGTTACGGGATGCGGCAGGGCAGACCTGGGCCACGGTTAATGGGAATGTGGGGTGAGGGGATGGCCCGAGATGCTGGATTTGTTTTGTCGCGAGATGTTTGTAGGCTGATCGGCGAAGGGATGGAGAGCGTAGGGGGGTTTTTCGAATTTCCAGCAATCAGAGGCGACAGTGAGCCGCTTGGCACCCAACCTCAACTGCTCTCCTCCATGATACAGTACTAGGAGACAAGTTTGAGCACGTGGTCTTTTGATCTTCTCCAGAAGTATGATAATATGTTTAAAATACCCCACAAACGGGGGCCAAGTAGGCCGATTGTAAGCGCATGAAATCTCTACGATTCAGGGTCTCAAGGCCTTTAACAGTTATCGGAAGTTTTCTAATCCGTTGAAGCACCTCAAACGGCGGTGAACGAGTGTACCCATACTTCTAGCAAAGCACTGCACTAGACCCTTCTCAATGTTGATTATGCATCGTCTAACGAAGCAGAAAAGCTTCATGGAAGTGTCGTGCAATCACGCGCTCCTGAGTACATATTGTAGACTAAAATCTCCTCCTTCAAGCAAATAGTACGAAAGTTTGAGACCGACACGTTACTTACCGCCGGGTTCTTGGATCATGTCGTTATCATGCTACAGGACCAAGACTTAGGTTTGGGCATCTCTGGCCGCTGCTTGGGGTACCCTAACAGGCTTTTGAACCGCCGAACACAATGTGAAGATCAATGCAGTCGGAACTAGATCACCTTTCGGTTAAGTTCATACCTGCTAGCTGGAAATTCCTCATAGTAGTATCAAGTGAACAAGAGTGAAGAAAAGTGTGTCCTATTACTAGATATAAGTGTTGCTGGAGTGGAATTTGGCCTATCCTTTGGTTAATCAAAGATATACTGGCTAGGGCACTCCTTACAGTGCTATCCAGTGGTCAAAAGTAGAGCAAAAGTAGAGCTGAAGTAGTGATATATCCGTGTGCCCAAACTTTTGACCTAATACCAGTCCTGCGACACAAGTTTGGGCACTCTCTTGCCACTTCTTGGAGTACACCTACGGGCTTTCCAAACTCCGAAGATGATGTAAAGGTCGATGCAGTGGAAATCAGGCTGCAATTTGACTGGCTGACAACTGGCCAGTCGGACTACTCCTCACGGTGTTGCCGAGCGATCAAGAGTGGGACCCCGTGCAGCGGTATATCCGGGTGCACAAACTTGTGACATAGTACTGTACATTCATTGAACCATTGATTAATACAGCTTATTGCATACTACGTTACTGAATTCTACTTCTGCTTGTGGTAATTCAAAGAAACAATAGGAAGCTGGGGACCGGGTAAGAGGATAGAGTTCCATTCCGTGCCCACCTCCTTGCCAGTGTCTAGGGTAGCTTCGTATGTCCTTCGGTCGTTGAACTCGTCTGGTTTCAGCTTCCTTCAAAAAGTACCTCGGAGCCATTCAAGCCACGGGAACGAAGCTCTCGGATGAAATCGATAGCACCAGGAGTCTCGGCCCAAGAAGCATAGAAGTACTTAAGGACCACCTGCATCGCTTGCACAGTACCCTTGGGATACCCCCTTGGCGGCGCAGTCAAGTCCTTTCTCACGTCGGGTTCGCACTGAAGGAGAGCTTCCCAGAAGTGCGAGTTGTTCCTCTCAATCGCATAGTACAACTCTTCGATCTGCGCTTTCAGCAGCGGGATGAGCAGTGGCTGCTTGTTTACGACTTTGATGAATTTGGTGTTGGTAACGATCGAGCTGATGAGACGTTCGACCGGCCTCTGCAAGCATTCTAAGTCACGGAGGAGTCTAATCTTGACTAGAATGATGGCTACGCTGTGAGCGAGGTTGGAGTACTGGCTGGTAAAGAGCTCGACTGAAGCGAAAGCATTGTACTTTCTGAGATCCAGATCTGGCTTATCCGTAAGGCTCCAATCTTGGCCATAATGTTTGTCCAGTTGCATGAAGTCAGTGTTGCGATGCTCGTACCATGCGGCAGATCTGTAGCAATCTCGATCCCTCCCTAGTCGGAGCTTCAAGGCTGGTAGCAGATGCCGAATGCAGAAGTTATCATCGCGGGAAAGACGAAGCATGTCTTTGAAGTGATCGTGAGCTTGTTCCACAGCATCCCGGGTATCGAGTTTCAAAAGTGCCTCTGCCAGTGCATTTCGTGCGAGCATGTAAGGAATTGCCAAGAACTGTCCCCGAAATAACGAAGGGGGTTCTTGACGGCATAGTCCGGGTGATGTCGCAGCAGGTTCTCCTCCGTGTCAAAGACTGTTTGAGCATCCTTGACGGCGTTGCAGAGTGGTTCGTGATTAAATCTGTCAGCGGCTTCGTGGTCTCGGTTGCAATAGAGCCGGACTTTGCAACCCTGGCATGGAAGAAGACCCTCGTCTGTGGTCTGGTGTTTGTCGCAAGCCTGGCATCGGGAAATGAATGGGCGGCTCATCTCTTCCGATAGAGCACTGAGCGAAAGAGGAACGCTCATCCCTCCCGATCGAGAACTAGAGGAGAAGCTCATTTCTTCCGAGCACTGGCAAATGACGTCGTCCGAGGTAGCTTGGTAAGGTTATGAGTCGTTCAGGATGCTCTGCGTACACCTCGTTAGATATTCGAACATGCAACGAAGGACTTCAAACAGTGACACCCAAGTGTAGGCAGACCTACTCAAGTAAAAGACGAGGTGTCAGAAATGAGCTGATTGGAAATTGTCGGTGAGGAGAGAAGGTTTCGCTCGGGAGTCGTAGCCAAGTTAGCTTTGTCCCTTGGACTGTTGGCTACTTCCTCTAATCGGATCTGAGGGAAGCGTTAGAGCGTGTGAATGCGCAAGCAAGTGACTTCCTCACACTTACTTTTGCATGATCCGAGTACGATCTAAGTTTAGATATTTGAAGATCCAAGGCACTCGCTACGCTACCTCAGATGGTGTTTCGGAGATGAGTGCAGAATATCGTCTTGACCTTCACTCCGAAGTCGGTCTGCTCACTCGCCGACAATACATGTCCATTACGTTATACCTAATCTCTCAGATATCTACCCAACTGGACATACTGAATCAAACCCATGCACACCAGTCCCAAAACCCACATACCAACAGCTATGAGCCACATTCCCCAATCCCTCAAAGCTACATCTACCCACATCACCACATTTTCCAAACCCAGCGCCACAATCAAGGACATAGCCGCCACCCACAAAGCAAACAGAGTCTCATACATCCTCAGCCGCGTCTGGTCCCAACCCTGCGAATCCGGCGCCACCATACCCTCCTGCATCCGCCTTAGCCCCTGTATAATCTCTCTAATCTCTCTCAACTCCGCCAACCGCTCATTGGCATGATCCAATTGCTGTTGCTGCTGTCCTAGAACCTGCCGCTCCCGATCAAGATCCTGTTCTAAGCGCTGCCTATTCGCTTCCGCGTCCCTTAAGTCTCTCACCTCCTGTCGCTGTCGCCCCCTCAGCCTAGCAAGCCCATGCTCTATCATCAGCCTCTCCTCTTCCCCATCCATCGCCTCTCGCAGCTCCATCAGTTGATCCAGCAGTCCGCGTATGCGCCCCTGCAGCCCCTCATTGGCGCGATCCTGCCGCTGCTCGACCTGCAAACCCCCTCCCTCACGGTCGAGTCCCGGCACAACCCTCCCAATCTCTCTCCGCTCCCCCAATCGCTCACGCAGGATCTCCCTAATCTCTCCCCGCTGCTCCAGCTGCTCACCAAACCCCAGCGGCGGCTGCCCCAACGCCTCCCGCTGCCGCTCAAGCGCCTGCTCGACGAGCCGCCGGTCCTCATCCACGTCCACCAAGTCTCGCATCCCTTGTAGGTGATCCACCAGCTGGCGTATGGTCCACGGCGGCCCCCGCGGCCGTGGTGGCCCATCGGGTGCTCGAGCCTCTCGCTCTCGATCGACTGGCTGCTCGGCGTTTCCTATATCCCTCAGTATGTCCATCTGGCGTCGCAGTTCATGTAATTGGACTGCCGGGTCAGCCCTAGCCTGTCTCTCCCCGGCCTCCCCCACCGGCTCCACAGCCAGTCCCTCTTCCACCTCCCTCTCAGGCTCAAACAGCTCAACGCGGCAGAACATGCACCGATTCGGCCTCGCCTCGCTGTCGAGCCACCGCCGCAGGCAGGGCTCGCCGAAGATGTGGTTGCAGGGCAGGATGCGGACGGCGTTGTGGGGCCTGGGTCTTGGTGCTTGCTCAGGGGGTTCGTCGGGTGCGATATTCGGAATATCGGCGGTGTATTCTTCGTGGCAGATGGGGCAGTTGGGGCCGCGGAAGGGATCAGTGAGGAGAGAGGGCTGGAGCATGTGGGCGAGGAAGTGGGTTTTGGAGGGGAGGGCGGGTTGGTGGATAGGGACGGCCATTTGGGATGATGTTGGTGTTGAATTTGCGGAGGATTAGGGAATTTGTGGTAAATGACGAGAGTCTAAGGGGAGAAAGGGGTTCGAGGCGTGAGAGATTATGTAGCGGAGTGAACGAGGTGTTTGTGATGTAGGATGTGAAGGAGAGGCACGAATGCTGTTTGAATGGGATTTTCACGTGTACTTACTGATGTTGGCGTGGCTTCATCTTCACAGTGGGTATACTCGCGGAGCTACCACGTATGGTGGAGTTCATGAGTCGAGGCTGCGTTCACGTGGCTACAATGCCTCGTCATAGAAATCCGTGCACTCGTTTGCCGCTGCATGAGGAGCTCCATAGTATTTTCAGCATTCCGAATAAGAGGGAAGTTCGGCATTTTGGACAGCTAGTAAACTCGCGAGGCTACCTCAGACAGCGTCAACGGGGTGTACGCAGATTTCTATTAGTACATTTGAGCCCCACAAATAGTGGCAGGAGAGTGTACCGATATCTATAGCAAGGCACTGCAGATCAAGAGTGAAAACGCAAAGCGCATTTGTGGTCCAGACAAGACTACCTACCGAAAAAAACGAAAAGCCCCGAACGCAGGTGCCTTACTCAATTGTATCTAGAATAATTGTGAGCGGGGCTTTGAGAGGTGATGATTGCACTTACCTAAGTAAACTGACAAAACGAACTGAATAGAAAAATAGAATGTGAAACTTGAAACTGGAAACTCCCAATGACACTCCTTGACCCACACTCGTTCACGAGCAAGCGTCAGTGCCAGTGTCTGGATGAAAAAAAGCATTAATTGCGCGTAACGATGGTCGAGTGCCTGTGGAGAGCAGAAAGAGAGAAGCCGTCGACCGATCTCTGGCTGTTGATGTTGCTCAGCACTGCGGAAATCAGGTTCCCAAAATCAGCATATTTGCTCCCCACAGAGCAACAGCAGAAATCAATGCCCAGTCATTGAGACTAGTGGGGTAGAGTTCTGAGAACGGATGATCCAGGCACTTGGCATGGAGAAATTGCGCTGACCTGAACGAGAAGATATCCCAGTCCTTGCACCAGCAAATAAAGAAGTTAAAGCAAATAGCGAAAACTAATCCCATGCGCTCATAACCCCGGACGCTAACCGGATCATAGGAGTAGACGTCAGTCCCTGAATTCAGAATGTGGTAAATGCTAAGGGCCACGTTCACGAGAGCAGCGATGAGCTCTCGATCTAGACCCGTAGTAGCCCAACTCATTAAGGTACTTGTTACAGAAAATAGTAGTTGAATAGCCAGGAACAAGTCGACAAGTTGGAAAAAACAGAGTGTGGAGTTCGAAATGAGCAGTAACACTATTTGTGGCGCCTGTACTCGTCCAGGGAGTGGGACGATTCCAACCAAAAGACCCGGCGCGTCTATAATCAAGAACGAAGGACTACTCTGCTAGAAAAATGTGCGCTCTACTATTCGAACCACTGGCTGAATCCAGAAGTGGTTGCGGTTGATTAACAAAGAAAATCTGTCGAAGATCTGCCTTGCTTTTTCAAGCCTAAAGAGTGCTGTGCGGTTCGGGCAGCTCCGGCAAAAGTACCATCCATTCCGAGTCCTCGAGGAGATGTTATCGAACAAGCAATTCTAGCAAGAAACATAGTTGCAAGGGGGAGTTTGCGTAGCAATGTGAGCTTGTCCGTCTGGGCGGACGGCTGAACCAACGGTATAAAGCTGCGAACAATCTGGACAAATGTGTCCTTGGTATGGGTGGGGAGGTCCAGAGAATGTGACAAGGCTGGCGACGAACTCGTTTCTGGTGGGCACAAATGAGAACATGTTGGTGGATTTGAACGGCGTCTGCTCCAAACGAGAGCGTGTCTGGTTGCTCAGAGCTAGCGCTGGATAATCGTCGAGTAGAAGTCGATAGCGGCGCAGTTCCTTCACAGGCTCCAAGAAGCAGACGTGGAGGAGGTACGGATGTTGAGCGTGTCTGAGAGATGAAAATAGTGAAGCTAAAGCGATAGCCCTTCCCGGTATGAGCGATGAGTGATAAGCGACGAGCGGTGAGAAAAATATATTGAATGTGTATGATGAGCGATGAGCGATAGAGCGATGAGTTGTTTTGGTTTGTCTCTTACTTTCCTGAAGGACCGAAGAACAACAGCTAGCGGCACTCCTTCGTCTTTCGCTTCGCCATCGCCAACATACCGAGGCAGTTGCGGTCATTGGGAGGAGGAACGAAGCAACGAACCGCTGTTCTAATGCAGGGACGAATGTTAGATCTAGAAGCGCGTTAGGAGGTTCTGCGGAGAAGCTTCAGTCGAAGACATGAGTGAGGTGAGGTTGCCAGTACTTACGAATATGGCGATGTAGCTGTAGCGTGAGCCCATTGTAGTTATTTCTCCTCCCAATTAGCGATTCAAAAGCGTTTTGACGATATCAGGCTTGTAAGAAGCTCCCTGAGGTGCTTTCGACATTTAAGGAATACACTTCTGCACTAAGACCTAGCGAAGTCATCCGCTTTGAAAGAGTCTGATAAGACGCGACATGCACATTGCGTGAACGCAGAGTGCCCCTATTTGCAGTCTTACCACGAAAGCAGCAGACCCGATCTCAGATACTCGATATTAAGTTTCCATGAACTGGCTGGGTAGCTCCAAAAGATAACAAAAATACTCGGTCACAAGAACTTACAGAGTCAACCACATATAAGTTTGACCGATAGATACAGCTTATCCCCTTGCCATCCGCTCTTCCACCTTTCCATCCCTAAAACCCCTCAAGGGGATACTCCGTGCTCTCAATCTTTTCCGGATACCTCACTCCCCCCTGCCGCCTTACCTCATCCATCGTCTCCATAATCGCGATACTCTCTTCCCACCCCAGTCCCTCGCTCTCCTGCTTCCCATCTCTTAAACACCTTGCGCACTCATCTGCTTCCCAGAACATGCCGTGCCCGGGGATCTCATGAGTGATGGTCTCTTGTTTGAACTTTGCTGGAGAGCCCTGTGACGCGGAGGAGGCTGGGATTAGGGTGTATGTGGTGGGCCGGAAGGAGAAGCCCGTGACTTGGATCTCGCCGAGGGTGCCCTGAATACGGATGGGGGCGCCGGCGGTGCCATTGGAGTCGGGGTCGTGGGAGACCTGCTGATGTGAGTATCGCAATGTGTTTGAGGGGAGGTAAACCTACGCGGATGTTCGATGTGGCTATGCCGTGCGTGTTGGTAGCGGGGAATGTCAAGATGATTGATGTCATTTCATCGCACCCTGTCTTCTCATACTTCGTGATGGAAGACGCGACGATGGGAGCTTGGCGTTGACTCAGCGGTTGGAGGTGGTAGAGGAATTGGAATACCCAGGTCAGGCTATAAATGCCCACTGCCCGTCGACGCTGTTAGCAAACAGCAAAGGAGGGATGGATCTAGGGGTTAAGGAGGTTGATTCCTCACAGTCCAACAAAACACCTCCCGCCAAATCCATGTTCACCATCCGGTGTTCCGACCCAAACTCCTTCTCGACATCTTTCCTGTAGCTGAGATCTGCAAATACCCTCTTCACGTCCCCAATCGTACCCTCTTGGACTTTCGCCTGTAGTTCCCTCACGAGGGGGAAATATCTCGTCCACACCGCCTCCATGAGAAAAAGCCCTTTCTCTTTAGCAATCTGCACAAGTATCTTCGCTTGCGCCGCGTTCGTCGTGAATGCTTTCTCACACAAGACGTTCTTTCCGGCTTCAAGACATAGGCGCGCGTTCTGGTAGTGGTGCGAGTGCGGAGTCGCGATGTAGATGATGTCGATATCGGGGTCTATTACGAGCTCTTTGTAGGATCCGTAAGCCTTCGCAGTAGAGGAAACACCGCAGTCTTTAAGGAATTGCGCGGCACGGTCGGAGGATGTAGAGGAAGCAGCGGCGACGACGGAGTGGCGGATATCGGTTGCGTTGCGGGTTGCTGGGTCGATGAGGAGGTCTTTCGTGAAGGCTGTAGAGGTCAGAGCTAAGAAGTGTGAAGGGTATCACCTGTCTTACTTTGGGCTATCCCTCCCGTTGCTGCTTGATGTCAGTGAAGTTTCCGAGGTGTTCTAGTGGTGTGACATACCTAGAATCCCCCATCGTATAGTATAAGGATTTGAGGTCATATTTGCTATCGTTGGGACTCCTTAGACAGATAATGACTGCTCACACTGGATTACTTAAGCTATGAATCAATCTGCTTGCGGACCTAGGAAGGGATCTGAGATAGCGCGAGGTTCTATATTAAAAATCGATGGCCACCATGGATGGCGGGGGCGGATAAATGCCCCGCATAAGCAAGAACCCCGCTGATGATCATGTCGGCAGTGCAGGGAATGAATTCCTCCAATGTCGGTTGACGGGATGGTCTTAAGAATTGACTTGTTGTGAATTCGATTGAGGGTTTTCAGTTGAGAGGCATTGACTCAACATTCGTTTACTCGTTATCAAGGTGGAAGACTCTTATTGACGTTGAAGTGTGATAAAAGACAGCGCTTGAAGGACGGCGAGAGCAAGCGAGAACAAGATCTTTCCAAACGCATGTGTCAAATCCGTTGGTGTATATACAAACTCAAATAGTGCTAAGGGGTCTATATGTCCCAGAATGCAACCTACCCATCCTTATGCTAACCTTTTCCAATCGTACACCGTCGTATCAATGCCATTTCAGTGTCTCGACAGTCCCTAGATCTTAGGCTGGATCGGGGTTCTGCTGAGAATAGACTATTAGGAGGCTGCTACGCCTTCTTCAGGGCTATCTTTCTTCTAGCGGTGACTGTCATTCCGTACAGAGCATCCTTGAATGCAAAGAGAAAGGCTGCAGTGATGACACTCTGCGTCACCTTGGGGCCAATACCTGGGACGAAGTTAGATCGGAACCCCATATTCAAACATATAATGCTTACCTCCGTACAGGCCCGCCCAGCCCTCTTCCTTGATGATTCTCCGGAAGGTTGACATCATGTCCTCCTTCGGTCCATCTCTCCCTGCGACGTGCATCCTGCTCTTGACTGTGATGTACGGATAAGTGATGCTTGTCGCCATCAGCTTCCCTAAAGCGCCCAGGTAGAACGCATCAGTCGGCGTGACCCTCCTCCTCTTCTCTAATGTATTCTTAAGTTGCTCAAACACAGTGTATTGTAGGATTGGGTTGATGACCAGCACCAACGCAGGCATGACACCCGCGAAAAGTCGCGTTGGCCCCTCATCCCTGATGATTGATAGGAGAGTCCCAATTGTCGAGGGGGCTTTCGCAGGCTTTGCGCCAGGTAGAACCTGTTCGTTGGATTGGGATTTTCGCGCCGTCATGCGCGTGTTCACAACCCAGATGGGATTTGTGAACAGGACAGTTAAGCTGCCAGCGATGGCTCCCGCGAAAATGGATTCGACCGTGGTGAGCTTCCTCGAGGCGCGTCCGGCCTTTATAGCAGCCTTTTCAAAAAAGGCCCTGGTCCATTCGTACCCTACACTCCATTAGTATTGACCGTAGCTCCCAATTCTCTTCCACTGACAGTAATAGTATACGAAGTTGGTAACGCTGATGCCGAACAACGCTGACTCGAGGCCGGCGTATAAGCCGACTAGACCCTCTCTTTTGACGATGCGCCTGGCAGCATCGAGGGTTGACGATTGGGCGCGTTTTGATTCGACTTGCGCGCGTGTTGAGAGAGTGATAAGAGGGTAGCTGGAGAGATGTTCAGCAAAGGCTGGAGTTTGCGACTGAGGATCCGTACGTCAGGGCCATCGAGAGCAGGCCTCCACCGGCACCAGCCAGGGCATGGGCGACATTGTCACTCTGCTGGGCGGTAGCACTAGTACGCGCGGCTTGGGTAGACTCTGCAAGCTTCTCGGCGGCTGTTTTAGAGGCTTCCGACATGGTAGAGATGGTTGCTGTGTAACAATATTTGTGATGAGGCCGAAGGAGGGGTGTTCATGGAAGGGAACAAGGAGTGGCGCGTTAATCTAGAAAAAGAAAAGTCAAATGCCGTAGAAGCTTGAGGTCTTCAACAGGACGTGCGATAACAAGAAAGGAGCCGAAAGAAGGGGCGCAATATGAGGAATGTAGGATTAGCTTGTGATTCTCAACGTCACCGGACTGAGATGCGAGAAGCAGAATGCCTTGGACCGAGGTATATCGAAAAAGGTCACGTGAATTAGAGCAAATCGCCGGAAATCGTGACCCTGTCTCGTCAGTCTCCTTTGTTCTCGACTAATCAGCAAATGCGTCTTGGGGAGTCTCGCTTTTGGGATATACGCCGAATTGCGGAGACTGGTCCACAACCACATGTCAGTGCGAGGGGAAGTTGACTTTAAGAATCGTAGCACCTCTAGTGCCAATCAAGATGTCCGATACCCTCGTGCATGTATATTTGCCGATTTCTATAGTCACTCGGAGGCCGAAATGGTTTCCTAATATACTCTCTTTGCATCCCTGTTGCCTTGTTTCATTCTTCTCCCATTCTCCACACAGCGTCTACAATTCGTTGCCTTTCCTTGTCTCACGTTCCATCTGAATTGCATTCATGCGGCCCCGGAGTTGACGTACTTAGTTAGCTCCTGGTCGCCCCAGGCTCGGACGCCGTCCTTGACCACTTTCTTCACAGTCCACTGCACGAGATACCCTAGAGGTCCCTTCCAAGAGTCCCAAGACCTGTATTCGCACCAACCAGGCTGGTCAGGAAGCTCTACGACATGCTGAACACGTTCGACGAGCAAAAGTGAGCTTGAAACAGGCAGGATCGCTTTCCAGGCAAGTATGCGGGCCTGGTGGTCTACTATGAGTATCTCAATGGGGCTCTCCTCTGGTGTTTTGCCCGGTGTAGTGGTCTGTGACGCTATCTCAGCCACTTTGCTCTCAACCGACTTCAGATCGGTGCCAGATCAGCGGAACTCACAACGAGCTTCCCTACGGATCCCGCTTTCAAGGGATAGTCCTGAAACTCCACTCTCAAACTGCTACTCCACTCATGGTAGCTGGGAAAGTCGGCCACTTTACTCCAGACCTCGTCGGCCGGAACGTGGAATCTGGCGCTGTACCCGGCTGTTCCGACGGCCTCTTTCTGAGATATGTTGGGAGTAGGCAGCACTTCGGTTCGTTTATCGGGGGTCATCTGAATGATACCAGCAAGGAGTGCTCCAATGGCTACAAGAGCCGCGAGAAGGGTCCGCGAAGGCATTGTCAAGATAGAAAGGCCACAAAGACTCAATGAGGACAGTCATTGTAGCAAAATCGTCAAGTTTGGAATGCACTGGCAATTCTACGCCGTCGAAGCTTCTTCTGACGTGAACTTGCTTCTCGCCAACCAACCGTTTTTCCGCAAGAAGGCCGACGTCATGAGCTAGATAGGTTAGCAGGCCAACCAAACTGCCTTGGACTGCACGCTATCGTGGATACGAGTCGCCGCAGTAACTGTAGCCGGTCACGCCCGTCAGGTCTGCCCAATTACAACGCCGTGCTGTGATTGGTGGGTGTTTGCTCCGTGAATAGCTATCGTGACCTGGCATAGCTGAATTCCAGCTCACTCTAGGCGTGAAAAAAGCGGCACACTCATCAAGCATTCTGTCTCGTGTGTACACCTGTCTGCCACTGCTCGAAGTGCTTAACGAAGTTCCACATGGCCCAAAATCAAGAGCCTCTACGTCGTTCACAATTTCGAAAATGGGTTGAAGCACCACAAGCTGGCAGACACGCGCACACCTGCGGCAGCTCCAGGGTGCCACCGTTTTCAGGCCCCGCGTGCAACTATCGAAACACCACTACTGCCGGGTTCTCACAGTGTCCCGAGGTGTTGCGGAATGGTGGCTGGAAGTTGGAGGCGCTCGACGCGACGAAGCGCCAGCCTTATCCCATTGGCGGAGTGGAGTGCCGTCTGCCTTCTGTCCGTGATGCGTTGTGAGCGTGTGCAGGCGTGCAACCTCTCGGGGTTCGAGTGTGGCCGTAGCCCGGCGCCGTGGCGGCGCAAAGGGCTTTGGCCAGATTGTTGACTCTCGTGAGGCCTGATGGAAACTCTTCCTCGGGCATCACACCGACAGCCTTAAGCGACGGAGACGTCACGAGGGCCCGGGGCTGAAACGGCGTGGGCCAAGATTAGCCCCGTCGCCTGTGAGCTCGCGCTTTGCCCTGCAGGCTCGCGGGCTCCAAAAGGAGACGGCTGGGAGCAAATTGGCCCCGATATAGCCACGCGGATCGCCCTGTGCGTGCCGCCGTCCGCAAATTATCACCCTCACCACCACCGTGTCTATCACCAACGACGTCGACGCGACTCTCGCCACATCGCCGCCAGCGCTGCTCGCCGCCAGCCGCATAGTAATCGCCGAGCGATCTGCGAGCCAGAGATCCCATCGAGCGCGATCGGCCCTGGGACCCAAGGGCTGTCCTACGCGCAGCGCACCGTCGGCGCGACGTCGTACCGTAGGCGCAACATTCACTCCTCCACATCCGCCCGGCTGCCTCTGCTGAGGAGCCCCGCCGCGCGGACTGCCTGAATTCCAAGGTTCCATGGCGTGCTGACTGAGGCCCATTTGCTTCGCGTCATCCCCATGGCCCTGCAGGTCGACTTCTCCACGGCGGGAGCAGAGTCGGACACTCACCTCCATCTCGCGCCGCACGCCCACTACAACCACCAGGCAAGCAACGGCAGTCCGGCTTTTGCCCCGTTTCGACATCCCGTCCCGCCGTCAATCGACCCCGGCCTCGAGCAGAGCCAGAGCAGCGGCCGCAATGGCCATGCGCAGCTCGCTGCCCATCCCTCCGCGTCACCACATCTCCTTCAAGCAGACCATGCCTCCATCAACTCCTCACACATGGCGCACCAGTACTATGGAGACCTTGCGCAACGCTCCCAGACCCCCTCGACTCCCTCCAATGCCTCGCCGCGCTTCTCTGCTCTCTCGCCCGGCCAGCAAAAGCAGATAGTCCCTGGCTTTGTGCCCGACGACCGCAGCGCCCCGTCGCGGGACGTGACCGACGAAACGATTGACGATGCCTACGCCGCCTTCATCCTGTACTGTAATCCTAGTTTCCCTGCTTCGACGAATACATCGGAGCTCACAAAAGCGTTTCGAATACCACCCAAGAGCGATGGCAAGAGTTTCAGCACCTGGTCGCTGTTTGAGCTGATACGGAAGCTGGACTTGAAGGAGATCAAGACATGGACCCAGCTGGCCCTGGATCTAGGTGTCGAACCCCCCGATATGGACAAGGGACAAAGCACGCAAAAAGTACAGCAGTATTCTGTCCGGTTAAAGGTGAGATGAACTATTCCTATATGGTATTCAAGTCCCTTGGCTGTCAAGAGGTGCTTCATCGGGCTTTCGAGATTCCTCTTCCGGACATGATGGGCACCTAGCCACCGGCCACGCCGAAGGGTATAGCTACCTACTCAGGGCCTGGCACTGTTACATAGTGGCGGCGTAGGGGAAACCTCTGCCCTATAGCGCCTAGATGTCCCCAGGCACCATGCTAGTTAGCCTATGTTTTCGTCTTGCTTCTTTTCCCCTATCTGCCGGCGTGCAGGCTTACCACACCATGAAGAGATTTCACGCCCGTCTTTGGAAACTAGAGACAGTGCCTAAATTCTCATTCGCCGGCCGGAGCTCAATTATCACTATCTTGCAGCTATTTCTTAGTTGGGAACATGGGCCGAGACTCAGACCTACACGTCGCGAATCATCCTGCACGCTCGATTCTACTTTCTTACATCTCCTTTCTCTTGCCTATCAGTCTGCCCTCAGTCAGCAACATTATCATAACGTAACTTGACTGACACGCGTTAGCGATGGATGCGTGCTATGCACATAGACGCGTTCTTTGAATTCCTCCTCGGCAAGCAACATGTTTACTATTTGCAAATACCCCCACCACATAATCCATTTCCGCCAGACGGCCGTGATGCTGTCCCATTGGAAGAAGACTTAGCTATCCGTGCCCTGGACCCCAAGTTCCGACCCAAGCGCGGACGCCGGAAGACTGAGGACCCTGACGAAGACGTGGAAACTCCCGACCATGCCACACCACCTCGAAAAAGGCCTCAACTAGACACGTCTATCCCCTTTGGAAACCTCATTAGCCAACCACAGTCAGCGTATCCCGACAGCGCTCACCCTAATGATGACATGGATAGGTTTCTGAGCGCGCATGATCCTTGGACTGCAGCTTCAGCAATCACACCTGCCTCGGCCATGACTACTGCTTCTGCTCCAAGTAGACTCAACCCCCATTCAAGGGGGTTGACACCTTACACGGCTACGCCTATGTCGGCAGGTCAGCAAATTCGGTGGCGACTGAACACTCAAGATAACCCCTCGACTCCCCATCCTATGTCTGCCACAACACCGCAGGCAGCTCATCCTCCAGATTTCCCCTTTAACGAGCCTCAGTCGGCCACCACTCCATCAAGCGCAAAATCTAGGTCGCGGAGGAGACACGGCCCTGCTGTGTCTTCGGCGTGGCCAAGTAATAGTACTTCGGCAAGTGGAAAGCTTCGTGGACGTCCTCCAAGCAATCGTTCTGTGCGCGACGGGCCGTTTGTTACATTTCCTGCCAATCCCAACACAAAGGAAGCGCCGACCATCGACATGAATAGAAATACCAGCGGCTTGACACCAATCGTTGAGCGTGCTCACTCCGATCCACCTGAGCATCACTTCCGCTTTCCACCTGCTACCCCAGCTTCCGCAGTCTCCACACAGAGCATGCAGGAACAGTCAACCAATCCCCAGGGCCGGCCATCCCGACTCCAAGTCCAAGTTCCTCCACATATAGGCGGACCAGTGCGACTAGTGACTCCAACCTTGCTAGTCAATGGAGAACAAGACCCAACGCCCTCCACAGGCCTACCTCCATCCGCCTTGAGCACCACCTCGCGTCGCGGCTCCGACAACTTCTTCGACGACGACAACGAAGACGACATAGATCGGTCCATGTTCCCGCCCTCCAGCACCCAAGCGTCTCGCACATCCCAGGACATCCACCGCCAAGCGCAGCAACAACACGCATCGGCAGCTCAACCCACCCAAACCCACTCCGACTCCCCAATCGCCAACCTCACCCATGAAACCCTCAACCGCGCCCTCGCCGCCGACCTCCTCCGCGCCCCACTCACAGGCCGCCGCAAACGCCTCCGCGGCACAGAGGCCAGGCACCTCGCCAACGCCATCCTGCAGAACCTCTACGCCTCCCACACGCCGGCCTCCACGGCCCACTCCTCGAGACCCATGTCCGACAATGCGATCCGCTTCTCCATCGCCAGCAGCCTCGGGCTATGCGCGCAAGCCGGCCTCGGCGCCGGCGGCCCGCAAGGCGGCGTCAAAAACGTCGTCGTGCAGCGCTTCCGCGTCGGCGGCGACGGGTACGACTCGCCCGTCGACGAGGAAGACGAGGAGGAGAGCCCGAGCGGGGGCCGGATCAGGGAGACGTGGGACGTGTTCTTCCAGGTCAGTATCGGGGCGATGAGCGGCGAGTTCAGCATTAAGAGTCTCGAGATCGAGATTGCGGAGACGGGGGGAGAAGGGGGGCAGGCGAGTGGCGGGGCGGAGCCGATGGATATCGAGGGGCGGGAGGATTGGAAGACGAGGTTTGAGGAGGCGCAGAGGAGACTGGGCGAGGCGAGGGAGGAGGTGGGGCGGTTGCGGGATAAAGTGCTGGATGCGGTGTTGTGAATTTCATCATAAGTTTATTATTTCAGTTCATTTATATCTGTTGCTCGATTGGTGGGTAGGATGGGAGCAAGCAATTAATTTTGCATATTTCATCGCCATAGGCCACGGCAAGGCGTGTTTTTTTTTTTGGATTGGTATCTTTCTCTACAGCAAATACCTACGTGTTTTTATTTCTTGTACAAGCATTTGCGAGCGGGCGGGCAGGCAAAGGATGGGATTGGGCGAGTTTTCTTGAATTATACCCCCCGCTGAAACGGCCGGGCTTTGGGCCGATGGGTTTGATTGGGTTTTTTTTGTGTATATTCTGTAACTAGATATGATGGGCATGGGATAATGGGATATATAAAAGGGGGTTCACGGGATAAAGCATTCTCGGGAATCAAAAACGCTGCGCTGTATGGCGGCTGAGTTCTACACACATCCAATCCTCTCTCCCCGCCCCCCGGGGACGCGAATATAATCAATTGGGTGCGGTCATATTACCCGTGGCTACAAGACTAACAAGCCTCTTTCCTAAAACAGCCGAAACCTATGAGGTCAACACAAGCGCCGATCGCTGCCCGATTCGGGCGCGCCCACATATATACTCCCCGAAACCTCAACCCCCTCGGCGAACTGCCCATCTTAGCGGCTGGAGATCCCGATGCTGTGCGTCTACATTTTCCCCGCAATTTACAAGCTCGTGTTCGGGAACGCTTAGGGAGGGCAGTCGGTGAATGTCGGGGATCGCCGACTTCGGAGTCCGAGGAGGGGGAAGGGGGGGTGGCCTGCTATAAGGACGGCGTTGTGCGTGCGTGTATGACGACGCGTTTGGGCGATGGAGCATGCTTGATCCTGGGCACTGCCTCAATGAGGCCGGGGGGTTGGGCGTTGGGTGATCGTGAGTGGTGATCGCGTAATCGGGTTCCCGAGAAGCTCCTATGGAGTCGGTGTTGAGGTTGTAGAAGGGTGGTGGCCGCGAGATGGGTTGCCGGATTGGGAGGGTTTTGGGGCCTTTGGAGGGGGTCTAAGGAGGTGGGTCCGGCGGGTTTTATACAGATGGTGCTGCTGGAGCTTCGGGTTCGGCGAGTGTGGTGGCGGGCGGAGAGGGGGGAGAGGTGTCTTTCTCCCATGGCTTCTTGCGCCGCGGCTGGGAGGCGGAGGTGCCTTGGCCTTCGAGGACGGTGTTGGGGATCTCTTTTATGCCGGGGATGGGCTGGCCCGTTGTGATGAGGTCGACGATGTGGGCGAAGGAGGTGGGGTAGGGCGCTGCGGGCTCTGGGCCGGCTGAGGTTGTTGAGGGGGCGGTTGAGGCTTCTGAGACGACTGTTGCGGCTGTGGTGGGGGCAGCTGTGCCGGTTGTAGAGGTAGGATTGGTTGCACGGTAGGCTTTGTAGGTGTTGAAGTCGATGTTGGTGTTGTATTTTCTGGTGAGAGGTTAGCTAGGCGAGTATTAGTGTAATGAGGATAAGAGGTGCTCGCCTGGAGTAGTAGAAGCAACGAGCGCGTAGTTCCAGCTCTATGGATTGCTCAGGTGAGCTGTTGCTACCCAGTATAGCACTGAGACCAGCTTGGAATTCTTGATCATCGTCCCATGGATAGCTGTCCACAGAGGCGTAGACATCACTTGTGTTTCCAGGCGTTTTCAGCACGGCAGAAGAACTCATAATGAGCAACTTGAGAAAAAGAAGTCCATGAATGGGTGCAACAGTGTCTGTACGGAGGAGAAAGAACCGCTCGTTTTACGGCAGCTAGCGCGGCAACGTTAAGCCTTGATTACAACACCCCCAGCCCCGATATCCGAAATTATTTTTGCAAAATATTGAAGCGCGAAGTCAAGGCTATATCTTGATACTTTTTTGAAGATTATTGGTTTAGAATTGAAGGTGATTTAGGCCGTTGAGTGTTGTTGTGCACGAGCTCTAAAACGGGAGGTTCTGTCTCCTTCGCACAGAGTGTCTTACAGACCAGCACTAAAGATGTGCCTCGGGCCACGTCGAGGTGTTGAAGTTGAGCTGTGAGGGGGGCTGCACGTGATGGCTCAGAGGCTAAACTGCGGGCTCTTAGCGCCCCAGCCTTTCTCGACCTCCCACAAACTCGACAGCTCTGCTCTCCATCACCAACCACCGCGCCTCGCCGTCTCCGCCAACCCGCCTCCTCTTCTCTGTTCCCTCTTCTCATATGCTCCTCACTATCTCTCTAGTCATCAATCCAAACTCATTCCTTCACAATGTCCGAGTTCATCGGGTTAGTCGCACAAGCCTGACGTCTCCAACAGCTCCAGCTAATGATGCCATTGCAGATCGCGAATATCTCTCATCTCGAAGAGCGACATTAGGTCAGTACCATAAGCGCGTCTACTCTATGTGCGCTTACTCATCATCACTACAGATATGTCGGCACTCTTCACGAAATCAACTCGGAAAACTCAACCGTCGCCCTCGAGAATGTCACCTCGTTTGGCACGGAAGGCCGTCGCAATGGCGAAGATGAGATCTCCGCTTCTGAAAATGTCTACGAGTACATAGTCTTCCGTGGCAGCGATGTGAAGGATCTCCGGATCGATGGGCCGGCGAAGGAAACGAAACCCCCACCGCCTCCTACCATGCCCAATGATCCGGCCATCCTTGGAGTAGGTCTTCCTCATTCACTTTATCGAGCCCCATCTAGATGATTAAACATACCGGATGTAAATTCAGTATACCACCGAGAGCGCAAAACCATGTGGATATTTCCGTTGCCTTCCTTCTGATACTAGACCCAAAACTCTTCTCACTTTTGACATTTGCATTAGCTGAGCCCTGCTAATATCAATGTCAAATTTAGGCCGCCCGACCGCAACCCCCACAAGGCCCTCCTCAGGGCCCTCCTCAGAACCAGGCACCGCCTCCCCAACAACAGCAACAGCGACCGCCGCAGGGCTTTCCATCACCAGGCCAATTCCCTCCCGGCTACCCACCATATGGCCCTCCCTTCCACAATCAGCGCTTCGGCCCACCAGGTGGATTTCCTCCCGGTCCCGGTGGATTTCCCGGATATCCAGGCATGCCAGGCGGTCCGGGTGGCCCAGGTGGCTATGGAGGTGGTCCACCACCATGGTATGGTCCTCCAGGTCAAGGCTTCCCACATCAACCGCCGGGTTCCGGACCGTTCTCTCCACAACCGCCCATGCCGATTGGCCCTCCAGGCCAACACAGTCAGCAACAGCAACAACAACAACAACAACAACAACAACAACCACAAGGTCCCAAAGGCGCACAGGCTGCTCCAATCGGGCCTTCGGTGAGCAAGGAGGAGAAGCCGAACATCCAGACGAAGGTCGCTGAGGCAGATGGTACCACAAAACCAGCGGAACCAAAATCACTAGCAAAGCCTGTCGCTCAGGCTACTCCGCCAGCGCCGGTAGCTGCACCAAAGAAGGCTCCAACACCACCTGTTGAATCGAAACCAGACGTTACTGCAGCACTGGCACCCGCTCAAACACTGGCTCCTCCCGCTCAACCTACTCCTACTGCCAAGGCTGCTCCCAGCGGACCCAAGTCTGGCCGCATTGTTCCAGCAGTACCAATCCCCAGCCCTCGTGTAGCAAAGGCAGCTGCTCACGCTACTCCCGCAACGCAAGCTACCACGGCTCAACCCAGCCAGGCAGCTACAAATGCTACGTTGCAGTATCAGAATGCCACGCAGGCCGCTACTGCTGCCGTTGCGGCCGCAATGGCAAAACTAGGTCCAGCTCCAGGCCAGAAGGGACAACCGGCTGCTGGCAGGCCGCAGGGCGATAGTGCTATGGACAACCTCACAAAGCAGGTCAATGCAATGCGCACGGACGAGAGCATTCGACATGGCCGACAACAAGGCACCAGCGGATATGCAGCTGGCAATCGTGGCGCACGAGCCCCTCGAGGCGGAAGAGGTGGTCACCCACATCAAGCGACTAAGATCGAGATCCCGACTACCGACTATGACTTCGCTTCTGCAAACGCAAAGTTCAACAAGCAGGATCTCGTCAAAGAAGCCATCGCCTCGGGCTCTCCCATTGGTGGTGAGGTCGCATCTCCTCCGCCTGCTGCTGAAGCAGCCACAAATGGCCACTCTGCAACCAACGGCACTGCTGAAAAAGCCGCGGAAGTTGTTATCCCAGCCTCGACATACGATAAAGGCAGCTCCTTCTTCGACAACATCTCTAGTGAACTGAAGGATAGAGAAGAAGCGATGGGACGAAGACTCGGCGGGCAAGAGTTCAGGACCGAAGAGCGCAAGAGGAATCTCGAGACTTTCGGGCAGGGCAGCGTCGACAACTACCGCGGCGGCTACAGGGGTCGCGGCCGTGGACGAGGATTCGGCCGTGGACGAGGTGGCTTCAGGGGACGTGGCGGAACCGGCGTGCCCAGAGGCAGGGGCCAGGGCGTCGACGAGGCGTGAACGTGCTAAGCTCGGTTTCTTATAGTCATCGGCACGAGGATTTGATAATGCGAAACGGAGTCTACAAATGCAAGCGTGATTTACGGCCGGGACTTGCTTTCAGGGGAAATCTTTCTGTCGAGCGAAGCCAAGCGTTTTGCTATACAGATGGGATCAGATGACGGATGGGTCTCATGCCGTCTTTTCTTTCTTTTCGGTCACCTCGTCGAGTGAGGGGAGTTTTTCTCGGAGCGATGCCCTTTTTCTTTTCCTTACTTTGCTCTCTCTCTCTCTCTCTCTCTCTCTCTCTATGGAGTGATTACCGAAACTGGGCCGGATTGGGAATTTGTTCTCTTCCCTGGGGTTTTTACCTCTTTTTTTTAAAAAAAAACTGGCTTTTTACAAAAGAAAACCCATCGGATGGGCTCTTTTCCTGGCTTTGTTTGGCGGCTTTGGGGGGGATTTGTATTTGTATTGTGTGAATGGATAAGGGGAGGTATGGAGAGGATTCGCTCCTTGGCATGGATGGGTATGAGGTCGATTGGAGGGGAAGGGATGGTGGGACCGGGACTAGGATATGTATTCTACGATGATTCGGAAAATCGAAAAATGGATGTGATGTGGGGATTGTAGATGTGTTGAGAGCTGGGTGAGGTGAAGATGTGAAATTTATTTCCGTGGGTGCTTCAATGCACTTTTCAGAGTCTGGATGAGGCTGGAAAGTCGGCATGTTCAATAATTTATAGGGACGGTAGTGTCTGTAGGTGCCTGCTTTCGTTCTTCTCCGTATATTTCAAAGAAAGCAAGAAGACAGCAGAGTGCAGTATGCAGGGACAAATGAAGGATCCTACTTAAGGCTTTTCATCATTCCTGGCCTTTAATAATACACCAACGCCCCCGGATTATCCCGATGCAAAACCCCGTAGAAAGTCGATCCTCGTCGATCCACTCAATACCCGCTGGACCTACCTTTTCTTGGGCTCGCACAACCTCATGGGTCGTAGGGAACCATGTACTCGAGGATGGTCGACTGGGGCGCATGAGTTTTCCATTCATCCCCTCGCAACCCCTTCGCCGCGCTCGGCCTACCGTCGGTACGGGCGATGAAGTGCTGGCACGTCTCCCAATTCGGATAGTCCGGCCAGAGTCCCAAACCACCCCATGCTCGCATAGGTAGTGCGTCGGCTCCAGAGTAGATAGTAAGATATCCCTTGGCAGTCGGCTAGATTGCGAAAACAGTGGCAGGCCTTCCCATGATGGCGAGATGTTGTAAGGCGGTCTCGGCGACGTTGTGCAGTCCGAGACAACATTCTTTCTGCATCAAATCGGAGAAGGACAGTGGCGCATCTGTTGTGTCGTCTTGAGCAACGTAGTCGGACGAGCTAGGATCGTTTGGGCCGGGGATACAGCGACAGTCGGAATCCGGAATGATGAAGTGGCGTGCTGGCCATTTATCAATGTCAAGCAAAGTGGAAGTAGAGCGGACAGTGTGCAAGTTTGGCAGCTGTGCGATGAACCCGTAGAATAGATTAGTGCTGCACCAGAACTCATTCTCCAAAATTCTGGTAGTGCTGGGAACTTACAAGCGCCAGCATTGCAGAATAGTCAGACGGGGATAATGTAGATCCGAAGTTATCAGTGTCATAGCAGTCATGTCCAAGACGGCAACGTTGATTTTCCCAATCTTCATAGACCTCTTCATAGTCTACCTCCTCTTCTTATAGCCGTCATTCTCAGCGCGATTAATAACATCCTCCTGTGCCTCATCTTCGCACGCATATTCGGTTTCCTTTTCATGATATTTCAGAACTTTCAATGGTGGAAGCGGGATTGCGAGCTGCTGAAGTCTGGTGCAAGAGAAACAAAGAGACTGACACTCGTCTAGTTCGTAGTATCGAGGCTGATTATTGTTATCCAGTTGACCAACTAGCAGGACGGTAAGGGTAGTAGAATGATGGATGATCGCTTCCATTGCCGGGAGTCGGGAATTGCGGTTGTCAATGTTGAGGAAAAGCTCCTCCAATCCTTCGAACGACTGCAGAAAGGCTTTGAGCTGGAGATCTCCCCTGGAGGAGAATTCCTCGCAGTATTCGAACCGCTTCAACGCTGGAGTGCGTTGAGGAGCAGTATCTGCAAGCTTGCCAAATAGTGCGCCAGCACTGCCACAGGCTATTAAGTGAAGCGATGTCAAATGTAGGAAGTTCAGGTAGGAGGATCCAGAGAAACTAAGATCGAAGTTGAATCGAGATAGGGTCAATTTGAGCCGGCGGCTGTCCAGATCATGCTTTTCCAGCGGTACCCCGTCGAAGATGTATCTCAACTTGGCTAATTCATGTCCACACATGTGAGATTGGGGAATCTCAATGTGGAGGCCGCATAGCTTTGAAGAATCCGTGATAAGATTACGGAAAGATCTCAGATACCGGTCTTCGGAGTGGTATCCAAGTATGTCCAGCGAAATTAGTTCTGGGAGTGGCGGTAACTGAAGCTTACATTCTGCGTAACAGTTCCACCTGCTTCGAGTTTCGATGAGCAGATATCGGAGAGATCCTGCTTGAGCAGCGAAGAACATGCCCGCGCCGGAATAGCATAGAATTCCGTTTATGCCGGTGATCGAGCAACGAGTGAGCAGGTTTGCAGGTAGTGCGTTGCCTAGTCGGGCAAACTGATCGATGGAACGCTTGTGAAAAGGGCCGTCCCCTCCAAAGCTATCAACTAGAATGTGATAGATTTCGAGCTTCCTAATCTCTTTCAGCCCTGGATGGTTTTGTTGTAAGTCTTGACGGTATGCCAAAGCACGACATTCGCAACAGTCCCGACTTTCTTGCTAACGAGGCACAAGTTCTTGAGATCCTTCTTGTCATCACGCTAGCTCTAGTCAGCATCCATGCACGAGTGCCGAATCGTATGTAGGTGTCTACTCACTAGATAGCCAAAGGCCATCGTCTTCAGCTCGACCGGGAGTCCTTCGAGAGTCGGAGGTAGGTCACCGTTATTGACAGAATCTTGCGGGCGCGCGTCGGAGGGCGCCATCGTAGGTGATGAAATGGATGGGTTATGCGAGTTGGTGTGGATGGAAACAGATCAAAGGCGTCAACAAACGCCGGCAAGAAGTGATTCGGATCTGGAGCACGCTCGGAAAGGAAATAGTATCTGCCGAGCTACAGTATACAGATTTCACTTCGATGGGCACCTTGGAACATTTGGTGAAGCACTCACAGCTCAATTGCGACATCTGACCTTGATCTCGAGATCTTGCAGTAGGTTTTGTGTCTACAGACTTTCAACAAGCAAGGTGCCGTACTGGCAACTGAGAAAAGACCAAACTATTTAGAATCTTCCAAGAATCGAAAATGGCATAGCAAATGGAGTCCGCGCGGTTTAGGTTATGGGCAATTCTAGCTACCCCGACCGAGCTCCCATCAGCCCACGAGTTCTCAGTGAATTGAACGCCCGGGGATGATGTCCTTCAGCTCAGGCGGAAGCCCGATGAACGTCGACAGTGCCGTCGCGGTCGCTGCGATCACCGCGGTGGAAAGGGCGGAGGATGGGTTGGAGGGTTGGAGATGAAGTGACGTTGAAGTAAACTCCATGCTTAGCATCAAGCGAGGAAGGCGCCATTCGAGGTGGCCCAGCGATTTTACCGACCGTTCAAACGATGACCCTCCACTTTGTGCAGACTTCTACAAGGGCGTTGTGGCACCTCAGACAGCGGCAAGGGGAAGTGCTTAGGTACAAGACGAGGCCTGAGGTATTCTATCTATCCACAGTCTGCTCAAAGGTGAACCCTTTTGAATACCTACATAGCAAGATTGTGCCGGAATACCACGCCCCAGAGACAGAGCTTTCTTAACTCGGACACAGCTCCTCTGAATACCGGGTCCAGTGATCATCATCATGAAGTGGCAAGGTAAGCTAGACGCAACCATCTCTGGGGCGTAGTATTCTGGCCAATCTATTAGGCTGGCAGTATTAGGTGTATGTATTCAGAGAGGCCCGCTCTCCTCACAACCTTCGTCCTACGACCTCATCCATTTCAACGCGACCGCCCTGCTTCATCGCCAGAGCTTCTCGAAGTGCATGCCTCTCGTCTCTCTAGCCATGACATCGCCATGTCGAGTCTCGGAGCGAGCCCGAGACTTCCAGCATGCGCAGAAGCCATCGACGTCGCCATGATGGCACCCACAAGCCACGAAACTCAACTCGGCATTACCGCCCACCTTCAGTCGAGTCAACGTGACAGCCCGTCATACGGCACACCCGCAGCGTGACACGGGCTCCTGGAATGCGGAGATGGTGCGTATGGTCTTGTGGCAGACATGTTGGAAGCCGGGGAAAAGTTTCGAGACGAGGTCGCACGGCATATCCGGCTGAGACGTGGTAAGACGGGTGATTTCGGGTGGCTAGGTGCGTTTGACGACGGATGGATGCGATTGTCTGTGGCTTGGCGAGGAGCTGGTTTGAGGTGGGTTCAGATGGATAGGTGTTTGACGGGAGTGTTTGGTAGGGACGTGGGTGGGTCGTGTGATTGGGGGAGGTGGGAGGGCTGTCGGCGGCTACAGGAGATGGCACCCGCAGGGCAGGCGTACGGTCGTGATTCGGTTAGCGACAGGACCCGGCGACTCGTCTTGAGGTTGAGAAATGATCTGATCTTATAAGACTGTTTTGTGCCAAAGGATGACGCCGCTTGAGTGTCTGGCGAAAAAACTGCGGAACGCTCGTGACTCATCGATCGGCTCGCAGAATTCGTCAGCTATGCGCGACGACATGCTACGGGTGTCTTTCTAAGATGTTTTGTATTTCTGATTAAGAAATCTTTGATATCTTGGCAGGATCTAAAGTTGATGCGATCTTGGGACGATGGAGAAGTCTGGAATCTTTCTGTACCTACCGATAGGGCTACGCCTATTTTCGTAACAACCCTACTAGACCTTAAATCGACAATAGGAACCGAAGGGGAACCTGATGTAGGCGTCCCCTGCAGAAGTAGACGCACCGACGCATCGCACACATTGCATGGACGGCTGAGGATGACAGCAGGACATGCCGCTAGACACGGAGAGTGCTGCGAATCGCGAACCGCCATGACTTCTGCATGCAGCTTGAATCAGACCGAGTAGAGCGAAGAAGTGGGGAGCCGCAATCAGTTTCACTGCGCAGCCTTCTTGGTGCAGGGCAACGTGGCCCGGATGGATGGCCTTGTTTGCTTTGCGGAGTGAGACATGCAGACGGCGCTGCGCGGACGGGCATGACAAGTTTCAGCGAAGAAAACTCCTCACAAAATATCGCCACGTCAAATCGAGAGGATGATGTTTGACTCTGAAGTACGCGGGCGATGAGGGTGTCGAGTTTCACTAAGGACGCAGCCCGTGGGACGGCGGAGCGATGGATCGACTGAGCATTCTGAGAATGGCCGATTCGAGACTTGGAGATGTCTGTTCGTTTCAGTTATTTTACAGTGAAATGTTGTTGGGCGCTTAATAACAAGGTCTTTGTTGACGGCGTGTGCATGCAGGCACAGGATGCCGCGCAACTCGAGGGACAGCACAGCGAATGAGGGCTGTGACAGACACGGAAACGAAACAGGGCTCGTGTTTGATGCAAACAGCAGTGATACCTGTGGGCGTGCTTCCGCGAAACAGCGTTCCGACGAAGCATCTGGCGGACATGAGAGAACAGGGACGCCGGTGGGTTGTCGCGGTCTGAGGCTCGCCGCAACACAGAGTCAGCAGAACGAGCCGCGATGATTCAGGCACGCGGTCCAGACTGTCGGTCGCGAGATTGAGGGCTGCGAGGATTGCGGGGAGCGGTGATGAGCATGTGGGCGCGCAGGGAGGCGCGCGACTTCATCGCAGCGTGCCCAGATGCTGCAAATCGACGGCGAGGATTGGGCCCAGGCTGCCTCGGCGTGCTCGGGTCGTGTGCCTGGCGGTGTGCTTCCGAGATGAGCTTGTCCCCCTGACCAGTGCTGGTCGGCATGCCGGTTGTCGATCTTGTTTGCGCCCAATCAGCAGCCGAGCCAACGCAGCTTTGCGGCATAGCGCCGCCGCTCACTCAGCGCGACTGGCCTTAATCTCATGGTCAAACCGCCGCCGGAAATTTTCTTTTACAATACGAGGCGCGCAAGAGCGGTCCTGTGGGGTGCAAGGACGACGTCCCTGCCTCCGAGGGATGTGACGACGGTGACAGCACAACAGCGAATTGTGCCTCTCCGGGAACAAAAGGCTGTCTTGCGTGCTGCGGGAGCCGCTGCCAGCTGGTGAACAACTCCAGCCGGCGCAGAGGGTGGAGGGCGCCTCCGTGGCGCCATAATACCTTGGGTGCTTGGTAGGTAAATAACAGGGGTGCTTACAGGTACCAGGTGTGTCGTCATGCCGGCGCGCGCTGATTTCGTTCTGAAACGCGGGCTGGAGTTGCCATGAATCCCATTTCACCTTGGGACTGCGCTAGCGTGCTCAACCTCTTAAAACCATCGCCTCTCCCTTTCAACCATCCTCACCACGTTCTTTGCTGATCTGTGATCCTCTCGTGAAGCCTTTGTCCTCACGCCCACGCTCTTTGTCTCCTTCTTCACCCCACACTCCTTTGTACCACCGTGCGCCAGTCGTACTCAACCACAAGTAAACACACGTAGGTGCTGACCTTTGCCTCCTCCCGACCTCTTTATCCCTCGATGGATATAATTGTTCGCCATGGTTCAGAGTCAGGTCGCAGTTTGTGACGCATCAGTGTTGACCCCCGACAGTCTTTTGAATCAACATCACCGGTGATTTGACATCCCGTACATCGACCACATACCCTCATCAAACGATCCAACCAAACCAATCCACCCAATTCAGTCAAGATGCGTTCCTCAGCCATCCTCTCCGCCGCCTTCGCTGTCGGCGCCCTTGCTAGCCCGTTCAAGCGCGAAGCTGGGGGCTATGTCGTTACCGAAGTCGACGTCGTTGAGCAGACTGTCACCGTTGTCGTCACTGCCACGGGTCCCCCTCCAGCCGTCTCTGAGGCTGCCGTGACCTTCTCCCCGATTGGCCATCACTACTCGCACTCGCACTTCCACCACCACAGCAAGCCGGCCAGCTCTTCCGCTGCCGTAGTGGAGTCTCCTTCGACACCAGCTTACACACCCCCGGCCCCCTCTACTCCTGCCTACACTCCCCCGGCTTCTTCTGCTCCTGCCTACACCCCCCCGGCTTCTTCTGCTCCTGCTTACACCCCTGAACCCTCGTCTACGCCAGCTCCTGTCTCCAGTGCTGTGTACTCGGCCCCCGCTCCCTCCAGCTCGGCTTCTTACAGTGGTGCTGTTGGCCCAGAACATCCCACCGGAACTGGGGAGGCCGAAATCACTTCCGGCGAAGACTACAAGAACATGGTTCTCTTCCACCACAACATCAATCGTGCCAACCACGGCGCTGGTGCATTGACTTGGGATGACGACCTGGCTTCGAAGGCTGCGACTTGCTCGCAATGCAACAACTGGAACCCTTTCGTGCACTGCAAGTAAGTAATTCTGCGATCCATTGTTATTACCCATGACTGACGTTCTTCTAGCTCTGGCCAAAACATGGCTGCTAGTGGCCCTAAGGCTAACGTCTCTGCTGGTATCACCGAAGGCTGGGTCAATGGCGAAGAGCCCAAATTTGCGTCGTACTATGACCAGGCGAATCCGACCGTAGACTTCGAGAGTTGGGGTCATTTCACTCAAGTCGTCTGGAAGGCCGCGACTAAGGTCGGCTGTTACACCAATGACTGCACCAATGCAGCCTCGGGTATGTGGGTGACCATCTGCAATTACGATACCGGTAAGCATAGCCCTATGAAAACCAGCGATAAATTTAGAGACTGACTTGGAAAATAGGCAATGTTGCAACAGAATACGCGGACAACGTTGGGAAGCCCATCAGCAACACTCTTGCTCATTGGACCGACTAGTTTCCTTACGACGAGCGACGACAATGCATCTCGTCCATGCCTTCTCTTTTCCGACTACGTCTTGCATTTTTGTTGAGCATCTTTGCGCGGATATGTCGGGCTTCGGGTCAGCAAAACATTCGTGGTTCATGATCGGGGTTTATGTGGATTGTTTTCCGATGTTGTTTCAATATCCTGGCTGCTGTTAGCAGATTCGGGCTTCTGTTCTCTGTCTATACTTACAAAAGGCCTCTCGTTTAGGCTGGGATTGAAGATGTTCTCTTCTACCCCTCATGCAAATGCAACGATGTTAGCATACATATTTTTCCATCGTTGATGAATACTCTTGAAGTTAACCATGTATTTCGTTCCCAGCTGACTGATCAATGGTGGAACTTTGGCAGCCATTTCATATCAGTGCTGTTGATTAGGCGTGAGACGACGTACGACCGCAGGGGTTGATCGGTCCGAGGCCGTCGTAGGCTATGCGTGGCTGAGGCAGACTTGATAGTAACGGATAGAGATGAGAGAGGTCTGAGTAAATATGCGCAACATCAAAGGTTGGTATTTCGAGAGAGCGAAGAAAGAGAATTAAACGTTGTGGGCACCGGCACGCTATATCTCTTTCTCGCTGACCAGCTAGCACTCTTACAGTAAATGACAACGGTGCGAATGAGAAGAATTGGAAGAGACGCAATCGCGACAAAGGAGGACCGAAAGGATGCATATACCATAAAAAAGGTTTGAATGAGGTGCGAAATCTACAAAGAAAGATCGAAAGTGATACACAGGTAACCCATTCCTGACCGGCCACCACTTGTCATGACAGGTTTGCATCTAACGACGGCCAACCGCCACCTTATTAAAGAACGGGAACTGAAGCTGCGCCGCAATTCACGCGTCTCAAGATGTGCTCGCCCTTTACTATACAAGCCCTACTGTTGGTGTCGAAATGCAACTTTCACACATCGGCTCGATTATGCGCCGCGCTAGGTCCACCCGTTCCGTAGGTAGGCTAACACGCGCTCAGTCCCCACATCACCACCTCCTGCGGCGCAGCAGGGTAGCCGCCACGCACCTTGCACTAACGTTGAATACCTTCTTCGATCTGAAGAAACATCTCTCTTCGACGGCAGTAGAAGGGCTTGATCATTTAGGCCAGGCGACTTTCATCAATGCTGACATTGTGACTCGACAGGAGCTTGACGGTCTTCATGGCAGGTTGGACCATCCGTCCAGTGCTGAGGCTCTCGCCTCTCCCAGCGCCACGGGTTGACGCCCGACGACGTTTCAGACGGCGGCTATACAGCAAACAACACGCAGGCGTACTGTGCTGCAACCATGTTTGGATCCTCATCTGGGCACTCGACGACCACTGTGTTATTTGTACCTCATCGTTTCCCCGGCCTCTCCTCCCAGCGCTTCACTTTCATGTTTCATTTCATACTATGAACATTCTTTTTTCTTCTTCCAATGGCAACTCACGTCGTCTCTCTCAACGCAGCCTGCCGCCGCTACCGCCATCGTCCCAGCAAGCATCAGTAACGCCGATTGATAGCCCAGTTGTGGCCTCTCCAACAAAATATGTCGACATACCAAAATGGCCCAAGACGGCTCAAGGCATCGAGCATGCAGGCGTCTTTACAGTATTCAGTCGCCTTGGCAATGTTCTTACCATTGTTGTTGCTTGTGCTTTTTTTACTTTTGGAGCGTTTGTGTTTAGGCACGATAGAGTACCAACGTCCGACGTACCGCACCTAGGCCTATTGCGAGATGCTGCCCGATATGTTAGTTCACTTCTCCTATATGCTTTATTGTTGCACTCCGTTTCTACTTCTTCGTCTTTCCATGAAGTATGTTCCTCTTCAGATGAAACACCGTCCCGGCCACCCTAAACCTTACCTATATCGCATGAGATCGCCTGCTCCTCTTTCCTCATTGGCGCCCAACAATAAAAGCTCCTCACTTCTTAGCTTTGTGCCGCTTGTGAATGCGCTGATTGGCGTTTAGGGGCCAACTGTGTTCCCTATCTTCATAGAAGCCATTATTAGCCAAGCCGTGCACGCGCTGGCTCTTTGGAGATTAGAGCACGGCGAACGAATGAAGATACTCGATCAGCTGCTCGGAAGTACCTCTATCTTCGCCACCGTAGTGACACAACTCAAATACCGAAACATTGGTCTTCTTGGGGCGTTATTGCTACTGCTCTGGTCGTTATCGCCAATCGGTGGCCAGGCCTCTTTGCGAGTACTCGATTTCGGTACTTCTACCAGCACTTACCCACAAACCATTCAATTTCTAGACAGGAACTCTAGTTTCAACCCCAGAGACTACGGGGATCACCGCCTCGAGGCAGATGGGCAGACTTCTATCGCGACCATGGATGCCCTCTATGTATCGGCTCTTCTAAGCCCTTTAACGACAAGAACTTCACCGGTGGATACCTGGGGCAACGTCAAGATTCCAATGCTGGAGCATCTCTCAAATCTGACTAAAGATGCGGAAGGTTGGCAACAGGTGGGAACCGAGGACCAGACTGTCTTTTCATCACTCATCGGGGTACCCCAGACGGCCGTGCCATTAGACCATCAAACTACTTTCAGTATGGAGACGTCATACTTTGCACTGGACTGCCCTGTGCTAGTAAAGGATGATGATCCCAGGGAACCCAGAATGAGTAAAATTGGCGCTTTCCAGAATGGCTCAGTAATCCCCAAGAGCGACTGGGTAGGTACATTGGGCTACTCATGGACTCTCGCCACCCCAAGCTTCATGTACAATAGCCGTGCCAACAGCTCCCAGCTGTCTCAAGCATACGGCAATGGCACAAACATGGCTCCCCGCAAGCTGTACTACAGCAGTGCCGACGACGGTGTCGACGACAAAGGCAATCGAATCAACACTTACGCCGAGTGCACCATGAATACGTCCTACGTCGAGGTTCGTGTCTCGTGCGACGGAAAGAAGTGCGCTGCTACACATATGCGTCCCTCCACACAGCCACCCGTCGCATCCGCCTGGACCGTCGCCGACGCAGGCCGCGAACGATTCTTCACCGACTTCGCTACCGCAGTGGGCGGCAACTCCTACGAGCCCACCGCCGTGCAGCGCTACATCTGGGGCACCGTCAACCCCTTCAATGCTACCAAATCCGGGCTCGCGCTCTACAAAAAGGACCCCAAGGTCTTCGCTATCGGCTTCGCCTAGCTGCTCAACAGCTTCTGGACCGCCGGCAGCGGCCTCTCCCTCGTCCCAGGTGGCCTGCCGGCCACGAATGGTGGCATTGTGGCCCCGCCAAGCATGTACGACGGCACAAACACCCAGACTACCAACGCCACTGTCTCCAAGTCTACGCCCGTGCTCGTCTGCAGCAGGCCCTGGCTCGCGGCACTCTTCGTGGCCACGAGCATCATGTGCCTGACTGCGGTCCTCGGCTTGGTGCTGGAGTTCACGCGCAAGACGCCGGATCTCGCAGTTAACATTTCGAGCTTGACGAGGGATAACCCGTATATACACTTATCACCTGGCGGCTCGACTCTCGACTCGGCTACGAGGGGGCGGCTGATGCAGAATGTGAGGATTAGGTTTGGTGATGTGAAGGCTGGCGAGCAGGTCGGCTATTTTGCCATGGCGTCTTGTGAGAAGGGGGCCGAGAAGGCGGTGGGCAGTGCGTCGCCGCCGGAGATGAGGGCTGAGAAGTTGAAGGGTGGGAAAGAGAGGCTGTATGCTTGATGGTGGAAAGGTTGCATGAGGGGGCTCGAGGATATGGATATTTGTATGAAGATGCTTACGACGTGACGGCCATTTACAAAAAGTTCTATGATGTATTACTAAAAGCTATTACCATATAAATCTGTATTTCATCCTTATATATTCTGCGTTCATTACGCATAGCTATGGGTCGTTGGAGGATCTCCGAACCCGCTTTGAGGCGAGAGCACGGCCTTATCGGCAGATGGCCCTGCATCATGTACGAAGTTTTGGAGGGGCACCAGACATCAGCATTCTTCGTGTAGCCTCGCACCATCTGCCATTTCTTATGCGATTACTCTCTCGCAACCCCATCTCCTCGCGAACACTATTACTCCCTTTTCGCAACCGCATTTCCTTCTTCTCCACCCAGCTGCGACCCCACCAGCACGCATCAACCCCGCCACGAACCCCTCCAACCGTCGTCTGGAGGGCATACACCACCACCTCTGCGCTCAAGATGAACGTCCAGGACCTTTCCGAGTCTGCGGGCTCCTCCAAGGACCTCAAGTTGGTCAACCGGCTTAGTGAGAGCAGAAGCCCGTACGTAAGTGCCCCTACGGCGAAACTCATCCGCGACAGCCCGCTGATCCGACGCAGGTGCGAAGCCACATGAACAACCCGGTCGCATGGCAGATGTGGGGATCGGAGGCCATCGCGCTGGCAAAGAAATCGAACAGGCTGCTATTCGTCAGCATTGGATATGCGGCATGTCATTGTATGACTATCCCCACCACCCTCGTCCTCGAGATTGCAAGGCTGCGAGATCCCTTAAATGAGTCGGAGACGCATGAAAGAAGACAGAACGCTGACGACTCTGTGGTATAGGGTGTCATGTAATGGAACGGGAGTCCTTCGAGAACCGCGATGTCGCCGCCCTCCTCAACGCTTCCTTCATCCCCATCAAACTCGACCGCGAAGAGCGACCCGATATCGATCGCATCTACATGAACTATGTGCAGGCGACAACTGGGTCTGGTGGCTGGCCTCTCAACGTCTTCCTCACGCCGGGTTTGGAGCCGATCTTTGGCGGAACGTATTGGCCCGGTCCAGGCTCCACTACTGTAATGAAAGATGGTATCGGGTTCGTGGGCATACTGGAGAAGATACGCGACGTGTGGAAGAATGAGCAGCAGCGGTGTCTAGAATCAGCAAAAGAAATCACAGCGCAGTTGAGGGAGTTTGCGCAGGAGGGCACCATAAGTCGGCAAGGAGAGGCGGAGCCCGAAGGACTGGATCTGGAGTTACTGGAAGAGGCGTATGAACATTGGGCTGCGAAGTTCGACCCTGCGCACTCTGGATTCGGAGGAGAACCAAAGTTTCCGACACCAGTAAACCTAGCTTTTTTGCTCAAGCTAGGCCAGTATCCGAGCGCGGTGGAAGATATGGTGGGACAGAAGGACTGCGATAATGCGAAAGAGATGGTGCTGAATACCTTGAAGGCTATGAACAGGGGTGGTATTCATGACCAGATTGGGAACGGGTTTGCGAGATATTCAGTGACGAGGGATTGGAGTTTGCCTCACTTCGAGAAGATGTGAGTTCTCGATCATGCTTCCAGTGGGCTCCGCTGATTCTTTTTCCAGGTTATATGATCAAGCACAACTCCTTTCCGTCTACCTAGATGCCTACCTAATAAGCAAGGATGCTGAGCTGCTCGATGCCGTATACGACATCGCAACTTACCTCACCTCGCCGCCCATGCAATCCTCTACCGGCGGCTTCTTCTCCGCAGAAGACGCGGACTCATTCTACCGGCCCAACGACAAAGAAAAGCGCGAAGGCGCCTTCTACGTCTGGACACTCAAGGAGTTCCAATCGATCCTCGGCGACCGCGACGCAGAAGTGCTGGCTAGGTACTACAACGTGCAGGAAAACGGCAACGTGGAACCCGAGCACGATGCCCACGACGAATTCATCAACCAGAACGTTCTTGCTATCAGCAGCACCCCGGAAGCTCTCGGAAAGGAGTTTGGCCTCTCGAACGAAGACGTCCTCAAAACTCTCAAAGACGGCCGGGAGAAACTACGCGCACATCGCGAGAAAGAGCGTCCACGGCCGAGTCTGGATGACAAGATTGTTGTTGCGTGGAATGGTCTCGCGATCGCTGCCCTAGCGAGGACGAGTAATGTGATAGGGGGGTTAGATAAAGAGAGGTCTAGCAGGTATCTGAAGGCAGCGACAGACGCGGCTGCGTTCATCAAGAAAGAGCTCTGGAACGAGAAGGACGGAACCATGAAGCGTGTATATCGCGAAGGGCCAGGCGACGCGCCAGCTTTTGCAGACGACTACGCGTTCCTAATAAAGGGGCTCATCGAGCTATACGAAGCAACATTCGATGATGCGTATCTGGAGTGGGCGGATCGGTTGCAGCGTATGTCCCACCCTTTCACAATCGTACCCTTCCTGGCTCTCAAATTCCCAAGCTCCGTATAAAGCGACGTGGCTAACATACGCCAGAAACCCAAATCTCCCTCTTTTGGGACACCGCCCACCTCGCCTTCTTCTCCACCGCCGCGCACCAAACCGACCTCATCCTCCGCCTGAAAGACGGCATGGACAGCGCCGAGCCCTCCACCAACGGTATTTCGGCACAGAACCTCGACCGCCTCGCTTTGCTACTCGATGACGACACCTACTCTACCCGCGCGCGCCAGACGTGCGACGCGTTTGAGGCGGAGGTCATGCAACATCCTTTCCTCTTCGCGAGCCTGCTCGACTCGGTGGTAGTCGGCAGGCTAGGGCTGAAGAGTGTAGCGCTGACGGGTGAGGGTGAGAGGGTGGAGAAGTGGCTACAATCTTGGAGAGAAAAAGCAGGTGGTGTGGTAAGTAGAGTCGGCGGCGGAGCGAGGAGCGAGTGGCTGAGGAAGCGGAATAAGTTGGTCGGCAGCTTGGATGTGAAGAAAGAGAGCGTTATGGTGTGTGAGGGGGGCCGGTGTACGGAGGAGCTGGGGACAGGGATGGGGGAGATGGCGAAGGCGTTGGGGGAGCTTAGGTGAGGTAAGTCGGTATATCAGGTCTGTGTGGTGGAGTTCAATTGATGGTGATTCTATGTCGACACTTGGTTCTTGAGGAGTTGGTGGAAGATTTGTAGATCTGATCTTGGTGAGAGATGGGCACTTCTTCGAACTTCAAACTTCCCTTGTCCCTTATAATTTCTAAACAGAAGCCTGTGCAACACCTGTTCGCCGCTGTCTGAGACACTTCGATACGTTCTCCAAGCCTAGATGCGATGTAAACCTCCAGAGCGTGCGAATCTGAACACCTCCAAAAGCTCTAATCGGCACTCGTTACTACAGTCTAGAGTTTCTTAGCATATCATCAGTGTCCAGCAAAATCATGCTAACCTGGGCCGGAATTGCAGGCACAGACTTTCGTCCTGCTGCTATATCAACCCACCCAATCTCGGAACGGAACTTCCCCTGCTACTAGATCACGTGGATCACATGACCGTCCACCGGCCTGCGTTCCTCCGCTCCGACAAAACTTCTCCTGAGTATAAGAAAACCGGTTCCGACGGGCCTGAACTTCTTTCTTCAGAGGTTGGGGGAGAAGGGGACATCAAATACGTTGTACCAAGAACCAATGGTGTTTCGGGACTCCGTGGGGTGTGCAAAATCCGCGGCTGTAATCGCAAATGGGTGGCTTTGCTCGGCAAATTGCAGCCTGTAACATCCACATGTGGTAGAGGAGGTGTTCGGAGTCTGCGATGGGTGGGCTCCGTGGCACTGGAAGGGGTGATGGTGGTGAGGAGTATCATGCTTGGTGAGGGAGTGGGGGAGTTTGAAGGGATGATGAGAGGAAGGATTTCGACGTCGAGGAGTGGAGTAATAGACGGGGGGAGGTGGTGCTCAGTATCATTGTGGGATGGGGAAGGGGTGCCGGGCCCCTGCCGACACTCCTCCAGCCATTTGAAATATTGATCTAGGTTTTGACCCAGTCTTCTACTTTTCCCCGTGAAGGACAATCCCTCTTTCGTCCTCACTTTGAGTGATGCACCGCTTTCCATTTTACTCAACGTCTTTGAATGCTGTTAAAACTCCCCCTAAACCCCTCGCCTATGACATCCAGGAAACGAGAAGAGCGAGCTTTTATATCCCCTCAGCAGAAGAAAACGCACCAATGACTCAGCCGCCCTCGTGACTTCCATCACTCGAGCCCGGACATCCCAGCATCTCCTTGGCCCGTGCCCCGTGTCTCGTGTGTCTCTCTGATAAGCCGCGCGGTTGCCGTCGCAGCTACAAGCCACATCCGGTGTAGTTTAGTTGGCCATAACGCCTACTGCAGAGCCTGCGTCGGAGGGAAGTTCGGCTGCTTTTGCTTATTGGCTCAGGTAACCCATGTTCGACCTGAGCGCTGGACACCTCTTCTTTTAGGTTTCTGCTTTCTGTTTCTTTTTTGCGGCGGGAAAGGGTCGGAAAGGGTGACTGCGTAAGCGGGAATGCGCTTATTTATCGTTGTGGGGAGTGCTCCCGGAGAGCATTCTTCTTTGGGAGTCTGGATAAGATGTGAGGTTGGGAAGAACGCGAGTGGGGAAGAATTAAAAGAATGGAACAGGCCTAAGTTGCTTCCGGTAACGGTACTAAAAGTTTTAGGAAAAGGGGAGTCGCTGAGATGGGTGCTGAGCAGAACGCTAAAGCGCATGTTCCAGTACCGTATATCGGTGCAAGCTCAAATGTAGCACAGGGGTGGCCCTATAGTATGGTAGCGTCGAGAATGCAGTCCAAATCTTCTTCATGTTGTTGTTTGGAGTCGTCGAAAGAAGGTTCCGGCTGAGGCGTGATGGCAGGGGTGGAGTATTGGAACGGAGGGAGCAGCTGGCCGCCTTTCAACAACCTCACTTCATCGCCTTTAACCTGTCCTCTACATCTACTTCCCTTTTTGCATCGTCTACATCTGTCTTTTTACAGCTTTGACATCCAACTCGTCCTCTACGACAAGCTTGCCTTGCAGCGCACTATCCCTACAATGTCAGATGGATGGACACCACTGAATGGCCCGCAGCTTAGTCCGACGAAGATGCAGATCCGATGCTCTATCCAGACACAGAGAGCGATTATGATGTAATGGAGTACATCGATGCTGACGGTGACTTGATTCGGATACCCTTGGACTTTGTCGCTCAAGAGCATGGACTCTGCTGCAAGTGCGGACACGGAGGAGCTCAGCCCTAGTCCTAGACTAGTGGCGAAGGAATGGAAAGCGCTACGCGGAATCAGCACAATATTGAAGGAATTACAGTTTACATGTCAAGTCCTGAGCTATGAAGGGTCTGAGTCGGCATGTCGCGAGATCTAACACGAGACCGAGTGGAAGATGGCGGATGGGACTCGGAGATCGGAATACCGCCGATGGAGTATATATCGAGGCTCGGAGAAGGAATGTTGGAGGAATATGTCAAAGCGCTGTGAGAACGGGTGCTGTATTGAGGGTCTCCGAGTAGCTATTATATTAGCCAATTTCTCTGATCACATCCCCAAATGAATGAACCAGACAGACATCGCAGTAAATGAGTATACCAATTTCTAAGTGTTGATATTGCCATCAAGTACATGAAGATGCTATTCCCGTCTCGAAATAATCCGGTGTGGTTTAGTTGGTTATAATACATATTTTAACACCGCTTGGCTCACCCCTTGCGGTACTAAAAGTTGAGACCCAAGTTCGATCCTTGGCGCCGGACGATGGAAAACTCCTTTTTTTGACCTTCTGAGTTAGTGAGTTGGATGAGACGACAGTCCCACCGAGTTTAGGCTTACAGGCTGTACATTTCCCATTGCCCCTCCAAGAGAAATCCGAATTGTAGGGGAAGAAGATGTAGAAGAGGTAAGAAAGAGCACTACGCGCCGTGATGAGTATAACAGCTGGCTTCAGATATTATCCAATTGAAGCTTGACTACACGATATAGATCTTATGGCGGCGTGAACCGAACAAGAGTAAAATAGGAATTGATAGACGAGAACAGCTACCGGAGGTTCCTCGCATGGCCAACAAACCGAGCGTCAACTCACGCCCTAGTTCTCACTCTCGGGTATCTCGAAACGTCCAGCCATCCCAAATTCAAACCCAGCGTAAATTCCCAATGCATAACCACAAATCCGAAATCATCCTAACCCAGCCAGTCCAGCCATCTCGGTTTCTGCGGTACCATGGCCTCTGGCGAATCACCTACCAGTCCCGCTTTCACCGGAAATATGCGCGCAAAGTAGTAGCATATAACGGCCACCCATATTGCGGAGTAGAGATTCACAACCGTGATTCGTCGCCAGAGCCATATGGTGAAGAAGTGTATGATGCCGTGCGTGTTGTACTGAACGAAGGGATCCCGTGGGGGGGTAGGTATAGTGGTTTCGGAACCAGATTCTGGATCGGCAGTGGCTGTGTTCGTGTTTGCGTTGGCTTGCGAGGAAATCGAGTTTCTTGATCTGCCAGAAGAAGGCTGTTGAGGTTTCGGCCGAAGGAGTGTTTGGCGCAGTATATGATAGACCCATTTTCCTCCTAGGCGAGCTAGAAGGAAACCAACTGCCGCGCAAGAAATGATGACAGCCCCATAGGCAGGATGTAAGATATTCGACAGGACGACGAGCCATGTCAGGGGACCAAGGAAGCCGAGCGTTGCGGTGATGATGGCGATGGATTTATTCCATGGATATTCGGCCGATCCCGGATACGGTCTAAATACTTGGGATGACAGTGAGAGTGGCGTTTGACTTTGGGGGCTAATAGAACCCAATGGTATGGAGGTTGTATTGGGTTTCGGACCTAGCTCAGATGGAAAAGTGAAGGGATTGTTCCCCGGATCAACGTATTTGATGACATCGAGAAGGTTCTCCGGAGGTACGTTTCGCAGAGAATTATGACGCAAAGGAAAGATGTAACTCCAAGTCAGGAACTCCAGAATGATGTAGCTAGTGGAGTAAGCAAGAGCAAGATAGCAGCTCAGTCGGACGCCACTATTTATAGAAGCTTTGACCATGGCGATAATCTTGATGAATGCTACTAGGAACAGTCCTGCTCCTAGTACACGTTCTTGTGATAGAGGTTCCAACCTCGGAGCAAGCTTTGAGTTTAGGTAATCCCGAATACGGTCATCTAGAGTATCGGAATCGTCATCAGTTGGGTCGGTAGCCTCAACCTCTGCGGTAGTCTCAGCATCCTCCGTAACTTCAGCATCCCCAACGTCGGCTAGATCCTCAGAGCCCTCTGCGTCTTCTACACTTTCGGCGTCTTCTGCGTGTTCTCCTTCCTCTGCGGCGTCTGCATCGTTGACACCGTCGTTGACTGACGCTTCCCTATGATCGCTCGAAGTCTCGTCCAAATCTTGGTCCGAAGCATTAGCTACGTCTACGACAATTAGCAATTGGGGACTTTGGAGTGTGATACGGATTGAGCCAACCTGGAACATCTGCCACTTCGTCAGCAGGAAACATCGCCTCGAGGTCCTTTCTCCACCATAGGTCCCCCTGCCCAATTCCATCTCTTACTGCAAAGACGGCAGCAATGCTTTCGTCCCATCGATAGCCTTTCCATAACGCCTTCGTGAGTAGAGATAGTACTGCTAGCGTCTCTACCAGGCCCAGCTCAGGAGAAAAGCGATAGAAATTTGAACGTCGGTATAGAACTAGAGATCCCGGCAACTGTACTACACATGCAACTGCAGGCACAAGAACGAGCCATAATGCAAAACCAGCAGATATCAAGTTCGCAGGCCCACAGTCGTCTATCTCGATAATATCCGGCTCCCGGTAAAGCGACGCGTTGTAGTTGCTAACATACGCGCCGTTGACAACCCAAAGGCTGAACGAAAAACTCCATACCATATTGATAGGTGACTAGAAATGAAGAAAGAAAGAATGAAGCAACGCGATGAGGTGGGTACAAGGCTACGATGCGCCATTATCAATCATCCAGAAGAACAGACTTGTTTGGTGGCTGTGCCCATGGCAAGGCGTCTTTAGCGGCTTCGTACGGGCAGGAGAGCATGCGAACCTCGTACAAGGCAATGAGGCTGTGCGATGCCAGAGGCCGCATCTTTAAGCACTCTGCAGACACCATGAGCACCGCATTCCCTTCGTTGATGGAGAGTTGGAGCTGAAGAATGAAGTTCAGTTTCGCTCACCCCGCCTTGCCTTTCCTGGCTTGGCTCCTTTTTGTCACCACCATCTCAACCACAACTGTGGAATATTATTCGCACGATACACACCTTTCTCTAAGATCCCCCCCATTTGGTTCTTCTTCGTTCCAACCTGTCTATTACGATCCTCCTGTCTTAGAGCTTGAACAACCCACAGAACCACCACCCCAAAACGCCACTGTTCAAAGATGCCACGCCCAAGAGCTATCCCAGGGCAACGCCTTATGGATGCTGCTCATCCTAGGTGTAGGCTGCGTCGTCCACATGCCGGGCTCCCTAACTTGGCTCGGCCATAAAGGCCTCTACCGCCTGGTCCCCGAGTTCGGAATCATGGAAGCCGTCGCCCTCTTCATCCTGGTGCTAAAAGGCATATTCTACCACCACCAGAGCATCCGTCGCTCTATCCGAGCATCTCTCGCCCTGCGTAATGCACTCGGCGAAGGAGAGAGCTGGTGGCTAGTGGACGCCCCATCAAACGCCGCACCAATCACCACAGAAAGCTTCAACGTAGCCCTCAACGACCAAGAAATGCACCTGGCGCGTCTAAACATGACCCCACAAGAGGCCTTAGAACACCTCGACCCCTTCCTCACCTCCCTCCGCGACTTCAACGTCTCCCGCCTCCTCGGCTCCATCCTCACAACCCTCACCCTCGTCAAAGCATCCGCCGCCACGGGCACCATTCGCACAACCGTGCTAGCATGCAGCTACTACTTATCCTTCTTCATCATCGACGCCCTCGCCTGGCTCTGCCTCTCCCCCGGCCCGCCCCCCTCGAAAGGCGAGCGCGAACGTGAAGCCTACGCCGTAGCCCGCCTCATGGCCGCGCTCGACCCCTTCCGCGAAGCCCTCCAGCAAAAAAGCACCTCCATCAGCAATCCCGGCCCCTGGCGGCGCCTGGACAACCAGGCCTATGAAGAGTACATCGCCGCGTACGGCACGACCTTCAGCATCCAAGGCTGGCCAGAGCCGTGGACGAGCTGGCCACGCATCGCGCGCACGGTGTTCGTAACAACGGCCCTCGTAGCCGCCGCTATCGCGGTGCTCATCTCGACATTCTGGCCCGTCTCGGTGCCGATATTCCTCGTATTTAACTTCTCCGCTATCCAGAAGGGGAAGTGGACGTTTATCTATCTGAACTCGCTGATATGGCTCTTTTGGGTGGGGGTTGCTAGTGCGCTGTTTCTTTGTTCCACCTTCCTGGTCTCGAAGGTGCGCAGCAAGACGTTTAGCGAGGTGGTTGCGGAGATGAATGAGAAGTTTGTGCCGCGGAGCTGGGCAGGTTTGAACTTCGCGCTGGCGGGGTATGGGATGTTGAAGGTGGCGTTGATTGTGAGGTTGTATTTTCATGATTACTCGGGCGCGAATACGATGAAACCTGGGTGGGTGGATTGGTTGGGGTAGATGCAGCATTCTCCTAGTATACATCCAATACAATCATACGCTCACGTATAGCACGATACGATATAACGATTTTACAGTTTAATTCAATTCAAAGATTAAAATCTACCCCCAAATTTTATCTTTCTGTTTCTCAACGCCCATTTCTCCGAGTTACCCACTCGAGCTCGAGCGCTCTCGGTCCAGTGTATCCTGCATAAAGAGGGGGTATACGAGCCGGGTCAACCAGCCAGCTCGTCCGCATACGTCGTTAACCTTCGTAAAGAGTGCCAGACCACACATTAATTCATCCCCCCAGCGTCTCTTACCCACCACTACGACTACGTTACAAAAGAAATTATACAAAAGGTATAGCCAGTTATACCAAAGCCCGGCCTCTATCAGCCTGCAGGCTGATCTTCGGCCTCGCTGACCCACCGCCGTAACTACTTCGTGGGCTACTCGTGAGAATGAAGTCTGGAATCGGCGGCGTCATCTCCCTGCTCGGTGGGCTGGGCGTTCGTGATGATGAGCCCGTTGGGAAGCTCTTCGAGTGTGCTAGCGGACTTGGGCTCGCTGCGAGGCTATTGCTCCGCATGCGAGCTGGGCTGTTGGTGCGGCTGTCGCTTCGGAGGCGACCCGGGCTCGTGGCGCGGTTGTTGCTCATGCTGCTGTTCGAGCGCATACGCGGGGGACAAGTAATAATCGACCCACTCATCGGCGATGCGTGGACGATTGTGCCAGGTGTTGCGGCGGGCGCTGGCGTAGGAGAGTCGGTTCGGAAGAGAGGATGGATGTGAGCCTCGCTGACAGCTGGACTTGGTGGGCGAGAATAATCTGTGTATATTTTGGGCGGAAGCGATAGAGCAGGTGAGGATCGGCCAGAAGGTGAATCTACGAAGGGGCCGTCGAGGGCGTGGGCGGGAGATGCAGGCCGCGAGCCTGGTATTGTTTCCAAGCCAAAAGGAATTGCTGCCATGATGGCGTTTTGGGTTTGTGGGTCCACGCTTGAGGTGTCCCATGCGTCAAAACCATCGTTTTGGATGGCCTCGAAAGATTGGCCGTCCGAATGGACGCTGCGAGAGTCCCGGCCTTGTGATATTGAGGATCGGATGAGTTTTGTGCGAGATGTGACAGGGCGGACGACTTGTTGGAGGGACTCCCGCCATGACCTGAGTGATTGCGAAGAGCGTGTAGAGAATGTGGGAGACGGCAAAGACCCAAGAGACTCTTTGTGAGCATGTAGTGGGGCCAGAGTTTGCATATCCGTCGAAGGTGGCTGCTGATGCATTTCGGGCATGACGGAATCGCGGGGATCTTCCCGACGTTGTTGAACAAAGGTATTGGATGTGTTGGAAGAGACGCGTTTGAAGACAAGGGTGAAAGAGTACAGAGCCATCTGAGTGATGCATGAAGTGGCCCATACGGCAAACTTGGCTGGAAGTCGATCCGTCCAATTTCTCGTCGTCTTTCGCGAGACTTCGTCATGGTTCTGCTTGATGACAATAAGAGTGATCAAAGACATAATCAAGGAAACAGCCGACAATGTGATGCATGTCAGTGCTAGGGTCTGCTTTAATCGTTTCGAGTTGGGCCAAATGCCGTCTTTTTTCCATGCATACTGCATCAAGAAAAGCCCCACACAACATAATGAAACGACGTCCAATGAGGCAGCAGCAATGCCCAAACCGCGAAACGAGAGACCCGCGACAGCCAATGAGGCAGCATCGAGAATGGTGTAAACGGTGGAGGCCGCAGTCACCACCCAGGTCACAACTCCAAGGACAGAAAGAAATAGACGTCCAGATCCGAATTTCCTGTGGCCCGCCATGATAGCGAAAGATTTACAAACGAGGGTCGTAGAGAGACGTGAAAGCGTGACGGTGGAGCTGATTTGTATCGGGATACGTGGGAGATGCTTTTGCTGTATGGGGGTCTCGAAAGACGGACGCACAGGTGCGAAACTGGCACGTCCTGCAGCGACCAAAAGAAACGAACGTATGCTATCAGGCTAATAATAAAACGAATGTGTACGGCTCCCCAATCCAGTTCCTACAACAACAATCTTCGGACCATGGCACTAAAGTCCACCAAATGGAAGAAAAGTAGGTGGGTAGCGGCGAGGGAATCAGGAGAGAAGCGGCATCAATGCCCGCTCGGCGGGTTGCTGACAGAGTAACAGGGCCGAGGTCAGGTGCAGAGCCAACTGGCTGGTTGGCTGGACGCGTGAAAGGGCGAGACCAGACTTGTTGGTATATGTGTGATGATATATAGCCAACGCGGTCGAGTGCTGCGGGGCTAGGAAGACGGTTTCACGCTCTCGGGACGCAGCTGTGGCTTGTGCAAGTAGCCTATGCCGGGGAGTGTTTCCTGGCGATATGGCAATCCAGGCTGGCGGTGTCGAGCGGTGCAGCGGTGAATCAAACGTGTGAAGTTGGGTGGGAGAATGTAAACGCAGAAGTAGTGACGGGTAAAGAGAATGGGGCAACGGGGGAAGACGGATGAGCGAACAGGCAGCGGAGGCTGTGGGGAGCCTCGATATTAAACCCGGCCTCTTAAGAGGCTGACTTACGAGATGTTGTAGGCATGGACCTGCAGCACGCGCTGGACATGGTGGAGCAAGCATGGATGCCCCCGATGCGCGACATGGAGTGGCTCGCCGGATCAGGAGCGCTGCCACCTGCACGCCGACGCTGCACGCTGATGCTTCCAGAGATATGCTCACTGGATCTGGTTGATTCTAACTTGGACAGGATGCCTGGACATGTGTTTGAGGCGCGGTCGTCCAGACGGTGCGCATAGGAGATGAATGGTGCTATTCTGAGACGGGGGCAGCGCGCGAGGCCTTCTAGAAGGTCTGCTCGCGACAACAAGCCCAGCGCGACGCAGAACACAAGGCGAAACTATGACCAATGATCAGCCCGGCATCCTGTCGGCTCAAACGATCAGCCCCGGGAAGCTTTCGTTTGCACGGGGGAGGCCTCTTCACGCTCCACGCGGGGACACTCCTTCATTTCAGCACGCGTTGTTATTGTATTGTCGTCAACGCTAGCCGTTGGACCCGCCGTCAGCAACGGCGCTGAAGTTTATCGTATCCAGCAGAATTTCCCGCGCGGCCCGTGAAGGATTCCGGCCGCGAAGTATTGGCTGCCGCGTCCACCTCGCACAGCATGGGCTGCAGAGTCGGTCTGTAGGACAGGTTGCAGAGCGTCGTACAGGAAGCTGAAGTGCATATGCCCTGGCAGGACTGACGCCATTGCTGTGTGCGAGTCGGCGCCGTCTGCACCCTCACATGAGGCCGCTGACAACTGCCGTAAGAAATTCTCAGCCTGGGGGCGGTCGCATTCTGCGCAGCCCTGTCGGCGGGCCTCACGGCGCTCTATGTAGGATGGTGCGGCGGCGTCGAAATGAAGTGTCGACTTGCCCAGGATCCCCTGAGAGGGACTTGAAACACCAGCCACAGTCTCAGCGTCACCTGACACCTCGCACGAGCCACAGATCGGGTCTGTCCAGCAGCTGGAGCTGGCGTGCCAACCTATGGGACCGTGTGGCGGTGCGAAGTGACAGTGGAGTTCGAACAGACCGACTGACAAGATACTGACACGTACAAAGCCAAACCAGACTAGAAACTGCTTGACAGAAGAGTTTAGCATTTTGGAGGTCCAACGCACCTTTTCGAGAGCGACAGTGCCATCAGAACTTCTTGGCCAGTCCGATAGATCGAGTTGTACTACAAGTCAGCTGCGAGTCGCTACTGGCTTAGACCGAAATGACGGCCAACATGTTGTCCAGCGAGCGTATTGGTCAGTATAGATTCCTCGCCTCGTGTGCCAAGAGCTGTTCAGAAGTCCGTCGTCTGCGGTTCGTGGATCGGGGTTCTAGGTAGCATTTCTCTGCCTGAGGCATCCGGATCAACTCCAACGCCGATCCGCGATTTTGGCGGGCAGGCGGCGGCGGTGACGAGCAGCAATTCTGCCTGCCACCTTTGCCTTCCACACTTCACTCACTCGCCCAGGGCCCACGATTCACAGCCTGCTCCTCTGACTAGGTAGCCATATTCCATCGCCGTTGGCAGCCTGCCACCATAAAATCTCCCCCTCCAGGTCCTGAGTCCTCGCAACTCCACCAGCTCCCCGCTCCGCCACACCACCACCTCACCCAAACCGCAACCCCACCACCGCAACCATGAAGCTCACCTTCAAGGTACCGCCATCGCGATCTGATTATACGCGTCGTGCTGACAAAGGGCCGCAGGATTTGAAGCAGCAAAAGTTCGTCATCGAAGCTGAACCTTCGGAAACAGTGCGCATTCACGACTCCGCCTCACGGTTTCACCGTTAACATACTTCCTGTAGATTGCCGATGTCAAGGCGAAGATCTCCGCAGAGAAGGGCTGGGACGCAGCGTTGCAGAAGCTGATCTATTCCGGTGTGTGGAGCGGAGCTCCTCCGTCAACCATGTGGCGTCATTCTCACAGTGCACAGGCAAGATTCTACAAGACAGCAACACAGTCGAGTCCTATAGCATCGAAGAGAAGGGCTTCGTCGTGTGCATGGTGTCTAAGGTTCGTTCCGCTGCTCTTCTACTCAAGCAAGTTGCTCACGTCCCTAGCCCAAAGCATCTGCAGCATCGTCAAGTAAGGCGGCACCGTCTACACCAGCTCCCGCAGCAGCCCAAACTCCCGCAGCTCCCGCAGCACCGGCACCAGCCTCATCCTCTGCCGCCCAGAATGCTCCCGCGACCCCGTCACCCGCCCCGAGCAACCAGCAGACCAATACCGAAGGCATTCGGTTCAACGATCCGTCAGCCTTGACAATGGGGAGTGAGCGGGATGCTGCCATCGCCAATATGGAGAGCATGGGATTCGCTAGGGCTGATATTGACCGTGCTATGCGGGCTGCATTCTTCAACCCTGACAGGGCGGTCGAGTACCTCCTAACTGTAAGACATCTCTCTTTTTGGTCTAGACTTGTGCTAACAATCAAACAAGGGCATCCCGGAATCAGCACTTCAAGAGTCGCAAGCGCAAGCTTCGCCGAGACCGCCTCGGAGTGGCCCAACATCACCGCCTCCGGCGACCGGTGGCAACACCGCTGCGACTCCTGCGACTGGGGGAGACGAACCCGTAAATCTATTCGAGGCCGCTGCGCAGGCAGGACAAGGCGGCCGCGGATCTGGTACTGCTCGGGCTGCTCCAACGGGGGCGCGGGCTAGCGCTGAGGCTGGAGCTACGGCTGCCCAAGCCCTCGGTGGAAGCAGCCTCGAGTTCCTTCGCAACAACCCCCAATTCCAGCAGCTTCGTCAAGTGGTTCAGCAACAGCCCCAAATGCTAGAGCCGATTCTGCAGCAAGTAGGGGCCGGAAACCCTCAGTTGGCGCAGCTCATTGCTACCCATCCAGAGCAATTCCTCCAGCTACTCGCTGAAGATGCCGACGAGGACGCCCCGCTCCCCCCTGGAGCACAGGCCATCAGTGTGACAGAGGAGGAACGGGATGCAATTGACCGAGTAAGTTTACTTTACCCTATCTCACTTTTTTCGATCCCTAATATCTCTAGCTATGCCGACTCGGTTTCGAGCGCGATCTCGTGATCCAGGCCTATTTTGCTTGTGACAAGAACGAAGAACTGGCCGCAAACTTCCTATTCGACCAGCCCGAGGACCCAGATGAGCAATGATCGCTTCGATTGTCAACAACTCTCGTTGATTGATTTTCATGCCCCCCTCACGATCGAGCACGAACGACATGAAACGGTCCTTCTCTTCCAGTGGCGCTGCAATCATTTTGCTTCCATTAGGCGGGGCTAACTCTCTCATCGCTGCGGCATGGACATCCTCCTCTTTTCCCATTGGTTATATCTTTGCTTAATGGTGGTAAGATACCTTGCTCCGGATTCTACCTTTCCTGAGAGCAGAATCGGGAATGGAACGGAATGGGGGTATTTGAGTGGGTTGTAGATAGCTCTCGGCTCTTAGGGGGATTGCAATAAAACTACTTCATTGTCGATTATGAATGCTTATGACCAGACGTGAATCTTGCCGTGCTGAAATTTATGTGCCATTCAACCTTTCGAGAGCGTGCTGGGGCATCTCAAGCGGTGGCACATATGTATACACGGACCAACACCTGAGGACTGGAAATGATATCCGCGATTTGGAAAATACATTGGGGCACCTCAAGCGGTGTCAAAGAAGTGTACAAAAACTAATTCCTGTGCACCATGTTTTGAGGCTTTCTTCTGGCAGTCACTGAGTACAGAAGTTCGGGATGTTTCCGGGGATACATTGATGCGTCCAGAGATCCTCCACCTCGTCCTCACTGCTGGCAAAATGACGTCGGAATACGTCTGATCTTGGAACTGGAAATTTGGTGGTTGCTTCTAAGGGCAGAATTGCGGTGTCGGATCATTGGTTTGGTAAACAGTCGTGCCTGCAAAGAGAAATTCTTTAAAAAAAAATTATTGACGAGTGCGGGAATCGAACCCGCACCTAGCCAAACAACACAAAAAAGAAAACACAAGACCTAAGGTTAGCATATTGGAGATACGGGGCCGACGCCACTAGGGCAAGGTTCCTGCTGGTTAGTACAAGTAGGGTCAATTTTGCTCGAAATATATAGATGGGTTGGTGTGAGGAGCGGGTTTTTGTTCTTGTTTTGGGAAGGGCACGTGGATGAGGAGACGGCTCCATTGCCTGGGGTGCTTCGATGGATTTTCAGAAAACTGGAAGAGGTGCTCGAGATATAAGATCGCTATCGCTAGCAATTAGGCATGAACTTGACGGTAGCTAGGAATACAAGACTAGGACAAAAGTTTCCCAACACCTGTTTAACACCGCTTGTAGTGTGTTAATGTGTATACATAGTATTATAGCCCTGGAGTTAGGGGCCACATTATCGATCTATGCACATCTCCTGTTACTGCCCGAGGCTGCTCGGTAAGGTTTCGCGGCTGTCAAAGGGATAGATTTAAGTGTGATTTGGATGGCTGGAAGTGTATTGAGACGCCACGAATGATATTAGAATGATGGAAGAAAGGTTAAGCCCTAGCACGATACTCGCCATAGAAATCCGTACACTCGTTTACCATTGCGTGAGGAGCTTCATAGTATTTTCACCATTCGGAAAAAGCGAGAAGTTTGTCATTTTGGACAAGCAGAAGACTTGTGACGCTACCCTAGACAGCGTTAACAGGTGTACGCAGATTCGAAGTGTATTCGCTGCCATCAATGGAGTGAGCGCCTAACCGTCGGAAGGGCAAGTATGGTTTTCACGAAGTTGTTGGGGTGTAGAACGGGGGTAGATTCGCATAGTTTAAATTGAAAGATGGATGCACCTACTAATTTGAATGGGAAGGCTTTTGGATATATGAAGGAAAGAAGGTCCTACGTTCGTAGGATGTGGAAAGGAAGCCGGGGTAGTGGAATCGATATGTAGTGTGTGAACTTTTGAGGTTGAAAGGAGATCAAGACAATTGCTTTGAGAAGACGTGCAAGGGGAAGAGGCTGGGGAGTTGCAAAGAAGCAAGCAAGTATGAGAGTTTTAGCCATAAAGATTTCAAAGATCCAAAGCCCGGATGACCTCAGGTAGTAATCAAGTCGCAAATATCGAAGGGCCATCCGAGAGGCCAAAGAGCAGGCGGTAGGTGTTAGAGAGCCTGTGAGCTTATAGTGACTACCACAATTAGCATGTAGTCGATGATTAAGGAAGATTGTAGCATCTCGTCGTCTTTGAGTGCGAAAGAAGCTTCGGAGATAAAGAGCGGGAGCCAACTATGTCGCAGGGTTTTAGTGGCAGCCGTGCTCTGTTTCATGGCTTTTCGAATGCGGAGGAGCACATCCGGACTCGTCCACTTCAGTTCCGGCCAGGTGTGTTGACAGTATTCGTAGAGCCGGATTGAATCTTGCTTTCTGAATTCTACCTTGAGGTCTAGGAAGGGACTAACCGCGCGGTGCTCTTCCAGCCTTGCTTTGAGTTCTGGGTCCTTCTCTTTTAGCACCTGAATTATCTTGTCCATACAGCACTCTCCCTGCGAAGTCTCATCCTCAGGCTCTGATTCACCGTCCTTGTCTTGCGAAGGAGTGAAGCGACTCGCTTCCTGGTCGTCCCCGGCTGGGACTTGCTCTCCATCCGGTCTCACAGACTGCGCCAGGACTTTCTGATTCCACAAAGTTTTCCTATCATTCAGGTTTATAGAGCTATCGCGGTACTGAGGTAGATAAAAGACCCATTCTGAATGGACCTCGTAAGGCTTCTTTAGGGACGTGAGGTCGTTGGACGTCGGAATCAAGGCATAGAGCTTCACCATCTGAGGCCTGGCTTTGAGTATAGGGGCGACGACCATATAGGCAAGGCTCTTGTCGTCCCAGGGTAGTACGTTCTCCGGGAGGAAAGTTCCAGCAGGCCTCCCTTTCTTGACGATGAGAGTTCTATATCGGTCAGGGTAAAGCCGAGACATCCAGCCCACCAGCAGATACTGCTTTGAGCCTTGCCCGGGCGCACTCCTCTCGCGATTGTTCAGCTGAATCGACGGTCTCTCGTTCAGAAGACGGGGCCGCCATGAATATTTCTCTAAATAGCCGCCGAGAGCCGTAATGAGGACACCCTGCTCTCGGTGCTCTTGCGGGAGAGCCATCGCATGACCGAAGATGTTGAAGGCATAGTCTTCGAGCTGAAAATCTGGCTCCGCCTTCCGCTTTGCGGTGTTGAGAGACATGGTGGACATGGCCATGTAAAGTGCTTGTGTTCGAGACTGGACTTGATGTCGGAGAGTGGGCTGCAGGTTGGTGGTTGGAGGTGTATGGAGGTGAGGCGAAGGAAGTGGAGGTGGATGAGCTTAGGCCGCAGCAGACCAACCACCTCACTTGACCTACACCGCCACTGGGGCTGTAGTGAGAGATAATAGGAATGAAAAGACTCCAGGTTATGATGCTATTCATCATCGACCGTCGATTCTCTGTGAGGTCTGGAGATATGTACTGTGTCTCGTCACAGATATCCGCACACTTCTCTGCCACCGCTTGTGGTGGCTCATGGTATTTTCAGGCTTCCGCTTCAGACGGAAGTCCCGCCTTTTGAATAGCTGATAAACTGGTAAAGCCACCCCAGACAGCGGCAGGCCAGTGTACACAGATCGGAAGTGTGCTCCGCCCACTCTAGATTCCCTGAAATATTATAAGGCGTTTTAGGCGATAGCAGAAGGGTGTGCGAATATCTATGACCACGCACTGTAGAAGAGGTTGGATGCAAATGTGAAATGCTACAGGAGCCAGGGGACCAATGGGACCCTCCACTAGGCCAAGAGTCTGTGTACACGCACCTACCGCTGTCTGAAGTACCTCAACATATCTTGGAAGATCTGCATGAAACGTAAATCCACCGTTTTGCAGGGTCTGTAAGCTTGCCGGGCCACCTCAGACGGCAACGGGGGAACCAAGGATAATTTTGCAGACGCCAGGATAGTTGAGTAGAAAACAATAACTAAGAGACCCGCGATGACCACCTGTAGCTCCTTAACGTCATCGGACTTATTAAGGTAATCGACCATATCGAACTCTGGTATTTGACACAAACTCGAGCTTAGCGGGGAGATAGGTGTTGGAATGTGAAGCCCCAAACGACTTAGATCTAACAAGCTGTTTGATACAGCGGAAACAAATCCATTTGCAGCCTATATTAGATGAATTAGCCACCCTTCTAAGAAAGCAGGCTAGGGATTTCCGTGGGAAAAAAATAGGAGTATACGCCATATTGTGGAATTGAGCATAATTACTGGCTGTCGCGGCTTGGTATCGGAGATAGATATGGAAGCTCTTGGATAGTTCAGGGAGAGGAGTCGACAAGGAATTCACCATGTGCCCAACAGCGACTTATAAATACCCCTAAATAACCTTCTCAAACCACAGCCTTGCTAAGAGCAACAACCGCAAACCCAGCAGACCCACCAGGGCCACCTCACGCCCTCAGCTCCATAACTCACAACATCGCACCAACTTGGCTCAGCTCGGGCTCAGCCGGAGAAGAAATGGTCGTTTTCTGCTTTCCGTTCGTTCTTGTAGATGTTACCTTCATCACCATATGGCTCTGGATGAGCGTAAACGACGGATACCTAGTCAACCCTTGGACGGCGATCGGTCGACGGATTCCAGGGAGTACTCGTCAGCCACGCTATGCCCAGGCCGGCTCCATCGACACAGAAAACCGGGCAAACCCCGCTGATAGATCGAATCCGGAGAAATGAGCCGGACCAGGTGGCCGATATGGCGGAGGATCTTCAGGTGGTGGATCGAGTAGCTGGGGTGTGCCCGGCTCGTGGAGATCGTAGTCGGTCGCTACTTTGCAAGACAACCGGTCGGCTATACTACAACTTGAGTCTCTGTTACCTGGATCTTATAGATATATGCTAAGTCTTGAGTATTACTACTAGGCTGGATTTGTCTTGAAGGTGGATGGTCAGGGATTCGGAGTTTACTATCGACTGGATATAAGTAGGCAAGGGGTCAGGTGGCTCGGGTAGTCATCTAGCACCCTAAGGAATAGGTTCGTCGGGCATCGGAGTGGGGACATTCTTCTAGAACTCACTAGATCATCTGAGTATTGCTTGCTGTTAGCATAACAAACATAACGGGGCCATTATAGGCTTGATATAAACCACTCACTGACCACCCACTGACCACTTCCTGTATCAATCTCTGATTCCGGCTCACAACCTGCAGTCATGATGGCCAAGACTCGCCCAATGCAATCCACCCAGGATAGCGCAGACATTCAAACCCGACTCGATGATACCCGCAAGAAAATGAGGTTCATCCAAATCGCAATACGCCACACTCAAAAAGTTCAGCACGCCCAAGAGCTCAATCTATTGGCTCTGTTAACATTCATACTCCTCATCCTCTGGTTTTTGGTAGTCAGTTTACCCCAAGCAGCTCGATGGCGTAAACGAGTGATTTATATCATCGTTGGTGCGGTATTTGTTATGGCTATCGGGACCTTTGAGAGACTCGCAATAGCTGGAAACGTCGCGAGAAGGTAGAAAATGCTACGGTTATTGGAAGCAATAGCCGCCTTTAGGGGTCGTTCGAACCGCGAACCTTTCTATATGCATACGGTTTGAAAATAGCAAGTCGATGGCCCCTTGTTGGACACTAGATGAGCCCAAGCCGTGGCTCTGGAGGCGAAGGAAATGAAATCATATTCGACTTCCACACCACGTTCCCGAAAATGCCAAGTGATCTGATGCAAGCCACAAGCCTAGATGTTTAGAAGTCATGAAAGGATTCAGTTGAATAGCGCGGCGTACTGTCATAAATGGACAACCAGAGCGCACCTACGTCTTAGTCCCACTTGTTCGCCTTTCGGAGGACCTGCTTTCATTAGCGCACGAAACCTAGCGAAGGGCATTGACAAGAGGCTGAATTATAGACGACTCATCGTGCGCACTTTTCCCAGCCACCAACTAACTGGCAGCTTGACCGAATCCTGACTCACCTGCGCGATATCGTTGAAACAAAGCAATCAAATACGATGGAGGACTCAGGATACAATTTGACAACGGTTGGCTAGTGAGAGAAATTGTGTGTGAACTGCGCCGCACTGCAGATATCCTAGGAGTCATCCGTACCCTTGTAGCATTCAGGGTGTTCTTGACCCTGAACCCAATCCTCCACCGATATATACGATACTTCATGTACTTGCGGGTCCTGCTTTGGGTGCTCATGATGGGGCAATTGAGATTTATGCCGGCAAGGAAATGTTTGGATTTAGAGGATCTGAGGGACGCAATTGAGAACGAGGCGAGAATGGACTTTATAGAGAAGAAGGTGGCAGTCCAGAATATGGTGGAGATAAAGAAGATAATGACGAAGGAGAACTTGACGGAAACGGAGATGAAGATGGCGATAGAGATGCAGGAATTAACATTAACTGAGATGAAGATGGCGATGGAGAATATGACAGCGACGGAGAGAATACGATGGATATCTAGTTGAAGTCGGAGCGAATCAACCGCCTTATACAGTATCTCGTCATGAATATCCACGAACTTTACTGCCAGTTCATGTAGAGGTGATTGAGGTACTAGATGGCTAGGGGAATATATTAGGGTTCCGGGCTGTGTATGTCCCTCTACCGCTGCTGGGGCGACGTCGCGAGTTTCTGTTCCTACAATATACTGAACTTCATATGGTTCTGACCTCTGAAATCACTACAGACAGCTACAATATAAGGCATTGTGCTCTCCCTACCAGATGACAAGTAAGGCCGTTTTTCGACTTGAAAAAGTGTGACAAAAGAAAACTTAGTTGAGTAAAAAAGGGTATACCAGTCGCAAAACTCCTGCCCAAATTTCCAGCTTTCTCATCCCTTAGACTCCAGTCTCTTGGCGCCCGAGCTCCCATTACTCATAGAAATCATTCCGCTTTTCACAAAGTGCCTACTGCTCGAATGCCAACTAGGCAAGCCCTCCGGATCTTCATCTTCATTCTTACATCCTCTCCTGCACCCGCCGCCCTGCTTCCACGCTGTCTCTGCCCATTTCATGCATCTCGAGTACTCCCTGCACCTCCCATCCCTCTTCTTCTTATTCTGTGCAAACTCAAACAGCGTTCGTCGATCGACCATTCGTTTGAGTGTAATAATAGCCTTCGCACAGAAATCATCCACACCAAGCCTCTTCATAGCCTCGGCCGTCGTCTCGAAGCCCTCCAAATGATATAAAATTTCGTCTTCATCATCCAGCCATCTCTCCTTTGCGCTCTCTCCAAGTGATTTTGCTAACGCCTCATCCACCTCTTCAAAACTCGTGTACCCGTTCAAATCATCCTCTACGAGCTCCCTGTCCGCGCACGCGGTCCCAAAAAGTACGATATCCTTCAGCTCAACAAGCAACTCAAAGGTCATACGTCGCGGAGCCGGATCCTGCCGGAAAAGCGCAGTGATAGACGGCAGAAACTTGCGCACGATCTCACCACCCGTATGTAGATTCTTTCCACGCGCATACGGCGCGTTATCCATCATCGCGCACTCTACTCTGCTCATCTGACGCGATATGCCGGCTGCAATATGGCGGATCTGGATGTAGGGGTTCGAGGACGCGGAGTTTTGGAGAGATGGGGGAAGTTCTGCGATTCATATTCGCGTCAGTCTTCAGCTTCAATAATACACAAGCCCTATTCCACGAACCTTCAAATCCCACTTCTCCAACGAGCCTAACGACGCACTCGGCGATCTCCCTCTCCCTCTCTTTCGCCTGCTTCTCCTGCTCCCTCAGACTGCGCCAGGGCACGATCAGCCCGATCTGGCTCGCTTTGACGGTTCCCTCTACACCTCCAGACTTTCCTACTCCTCCAAGTTTCCCAATGATCCCATTTGTGTTTGCGGCAGGTGTTACGCCCGTTCCTCGTGGGTATTGGAACGTCACGACTAGCCCATCCTGTCCTGGTCCGGCTCGTAGGTTCTTCCAGACGGAGACGACGGATGCGCAGCTGAAGATGTGTTCGTACATTGTGATGGCGATAAAGATAAGCGCATTGTTGGAGCCGCGATGAGGCGCGCGGAGCGTTCAAATGAAGGTAAGATATGTTCGTGTAAAGAAAGGAAGGGTCTGGGTAAAGGCATGCTGATGTTTGTTTACTTTCTGGACCGTGCGAGCGATGTGGAGGGGTTCGCGATGAGCGAATCAGCAGTGATGAGGACATCATATATATTTTCGAGAATGCAACTCCAATGTTCCCGAATTTGAAAATCGAGGTAAGGCTATGGTATTGTGGAGAGGATATTGACACTGATTTGGGGCGTTTGATTGCTCAAGTTGACTCGAAGTCTAAATATTGGACTGGCTCCGATACATCTCAACCTTGCTCTGATTCCAGAGTCTAATCTACGAGCCCTGTCAATAGCATGCTAAAACCGAATTCAAATCGCACGGACTGGCTCCTGTTTATACATCTTGACAAACTATAAAAGATCCCCAATTCTACGGTCTAATCTGGGGCGTCGGGCAATCGACACTGTGCGAGTAGTCGGAATCAGGCCTTGGGAGCACATTGATTTACGAAGTCAAGTCTATCATAAAAACTATTTCAAAATGCATCAAGGCGAGGACCAATTCAACACACAAAGCAAACATTTGCATTGCTATCTACACGATGAGAACTATCCTCGTTCCCTATGTACCATCCATTAAAGAGCTGGCAAAAGCCGCCCTTCTAACAAAGCATCGCAGACTCCGATTGTTGTACACCGCAATGCAGAAAGCCAGAACCCAGGGATACGTACCCATCTTCTCGACCCCCAATCCCGTGAACTAAGACGCCACCCACCGTAACGGGACCACTGGGCCACTGGTATTCCCATTCAAAGACAGCAACCCCGTAAATTAAAAGAACCACCGCCAGCAAAGCAAGAAAAGGAAAGCAAGTAGAGAAAAAACATAGCCCGTAGAGCCCGTGGGCATAAGCCCTATCTAGGGTAGCCCGGTGACGTATCACGCCGCCCAAAAACTGATCCGAGTAAAACATCGAAGATCCCAACGCCAGTGGCGAGTAAGAATGATGTTTTCTACTCATACATGTGCCGCCCGACCGTCATAATAACCATTACCATTACCGTTCATATTGCTTCGTTGACATTCTCCAGGAACCCCTCTAAGAGTACCGCCATGTCTCACCAGCCGGAGTCGACATTGGGAGCTGCGGCACCGGCATGGGCAACTGCGGCCTCTGCGGAGGGGTGTACTCGGGCTGCTTCTGTGGGAGTGGTGGAGGTACCTGAGACGGATGTGGAGGGCTCCTCGACGTGTCGCTAATCGGGCTCGGAATCGGCCTAGGCGGCTCCTGCATAGGGCCACCGTTTGCATTTTGTCCTACCCAGCTAGGTCGTCGTGGTGGTTGAGACTGGGGTCCGTTTGCAGTTTCAGCAGGAGCACTATTCGGCGCGCCAGATGGCGACGCCTGGTCCTTACCCAGCCTATCGAGAAGGATTTTCAATCGAGGCAATTCCTGAGCTTGCTGGGAGGGAGCACGTGCTATGTCTTGTTGAAATTGCTGTGGAGTCTGAAACTGCAACCCAGGCCGAGGAGCTAGAGGTGCAGGGGGTGCAGCTTGCGTCGCTGGCGATCCGGCACTGCCGAAGTTAAGTACTTTGGATTCCATATTCAAGCTCGGGGGTCGATAAAGAGTGGGCTGCGAAGGCTGCGAGGAAGGTCCGATGGGTTGGGACGGGGGCTTAGAATGGGTTGACTGAATCGGCTTCCATTCAGACGAGTGTCCGTTCTGGGAACTGTTAAGGTGAGACGTTAGTATATTTCGAGGCGAGAAGCAATCAGGAAAGAAGGGATACCTCATATCATAGTTGGCGTAGCTACTCTGATAAGGGACGGGCAATGACGGACGAGAAGACGGGGAGTAGGGATTGGTCGCATACGTAGGTTGGGGTCTCGATGACGCTGCTGCACTGGAGCCCATCATGTTGGCCACGGGAGCCACACTGCGCGGTGGTGGTTGCTGTAGCCCAGCGGTTTGGGTAGGTGGTTGCGGATAGTAATTCTGGTAATGAGAGTACTGTGGTATCGTTGAAGGCGCAGTTTGGTAATAAGAGTTGTGAGGGGAATGACTGGACCGTGGGAATTGGTTGCCTCGCACTTCTTGCACTGGGCGTGCACCTGAAACGAAAGTAGAGCTAGGCGAGAAGTGTGAGTGATATTGAGGAGTCGGAGAAGGCTGAGGATAGCTATTGTTGTACGGGTAGCCATATTGAGGAGCCGTAGCCCTGCTATCGTAAGGTACTGGGCCGGTTGGCGGGTACCTGTACTGATCCGAGGGGTAGTTGTAATTAGTCGGCGGAACAGCATTACCATACTGGTCTGACCTCGGCTTGTATTGGTACGGCCTGACGGGTCCCCGATTCTGGAGATTCTGGGGCTGGGTCTGTGCCTGAGGCGCGGGCTTGACGGGATACGAAGCAGGGTAAGAACGTCGTGGAGCTGCCGGCGGTGGAAGGGCTGGTGCTGGTTTGACCGTGTCCAAGAAGTTTGCCTTCGTATTTTGTCGCGGTTTCGCCAGATCCTCAGTGTACTGCGCCCTAGCCTCTGTCGAAGTTGCACCAAGGTAATACCACAGTTGGTTCTCCTTGTCCAGGTCGACCTTGGCTTGGCACGGATGGCGAACATCCTGAGTAACGAATTCTGCCCATTTCTGCTCCGCATTGGCATCGTGGAATGGGTCACCCATCTCAGGGATACCGTCTGTCCGATTAGCGATGTTAAGTGAGGCATCGTTCTCCTTGAGATGAACAGGAATAGGTTTCGCATTGGCAGAAGGTTTCGGTCGCTGCGAGTCCGCTGGATCCAGATGGAGGAGGTACTTCCACTCAATCTCTACGCGGTCCCCTTCAGGCAGCACGTCGATGACGACAGTCCATTCGGCGGGCCGGTTCTCCACGACAACGCCAGCAAAGATCTGACTCTGATCCGTGAAACAATACTGCACTTGGACGACATCCTTCGGCTTGAGGCTTCTCGCATATTCCTGAATGAGTTTGTCGTTCTCCAGGGTATCGCCATCGACAAGTTTCGCACTCCTCTTCTTCGGCCGGTGGAACCTGCATCGGAAATCGTATCCGTCATAGTAGTATTCAGTGCCCTCTTCATCGAATGTGGGCATCGGACCGATATCGACCTGAATACCAGCTGCAGGAGCGCAAGTAGCGTGGAAGGCTCTCGTACACTTCTTCGCGGAACATTGGAAAACCGCACCGCGCTTAGAGCGACAATAGTTGCACCGTAACTCTAGACGAGCTTTGTTGATTTTCGAGACACCGCAGACCGTTGGGCTTGGGCCTTCGCTAAGGAAAGTCTCCGGCGTGTATTCGGCGCAGAGCTTGTGAGCTTTCAGGCCATTATCGGTAGGGAGGAGCTCGTCGAATTCAACGTCGTTGGGACACAGAATACAAGGTGGTTCTTTCCGTGGTCCTTTGAGGAGGATCTTGATGCGCTTCACTACCTTCTTGGGGGGGTCTCCTTTCTTGTCGGCTGCTGTAGGCCGCTTCCTCTTGCGTGACGGCGCCTTTGGCTTTCCGGCGACGCTTGCGGGCGGGCTTGGAAGGTTGTTCAGGCCATCGTCAATGTCCTCATCGTCGTCATCGGTCTCTTCGTAATACTCTGGTGTTGGTTCGCCTCTGAGTTTACGCTCGATCTCGGCCACATCGACCCAGACACTGTCGGATTCACATTCGCATTTCTTCGCAATTCTTCCGTAGTTCAACCAAGCTTCGTTAGCAAAATTGACAGACTCCGCACAGTTGTAGCCAAGGTTGTATCCGGAATGGTACCCGTAGGGGTAAGTGATGACGAATTCGCCTTCGTAATGGACTAGCCGGTTCACCTTGATATTGAACTGCTTTTCCAACTGAGCGGGTGAGATAAGATATGTCTTGTGCCGAAGAAACTGAGAGCAGTTCTTTGCATCATTTGGCCATATACCTAGTAAAAGATCAGCGTAGGCAAATCAAAACGGAGCACGAACACTTACTTTTCATGGCAGCCTCAAATCGTCTCGCATCTTCTTGAGAGATGCTGTACCATTGCTTCGGAGCTCCAAAGTGGATGTAGTTGATGCTGTAGAGATCGACATCTTCCAGATGCCACGCGAAAGTAGCCTTCCACATTCCCAAGTAAAGATATGCAGTATTGACTCCGGGGACCTTAGTACCGAGAACGTCGAGCAAGTTCTCTAATTTGGCCACATTCCAGCTCTTCGTCCGATCATCGAATAGCGATCCAGGCATGTCAGCTCCATACATGGGTTGGCCATAATTGATCGTCCTCCAATAATTGTCTTCAAGCTCATGGCATCGCTCCGGGGTAAATTGGTCCACAGTCTCTAGCTGGTAGTTGAAGTTTTTGAAGGCTTCTTCATCAACCACGGTGGTCATCTCGTTTTGGTTGTTCCTCCTCCGAGACGAAACTGTCCGAGGCTGGCGTCCTTTGGGCTTAGACGGAGTGGTCTCTTCCTTGATTTTAACTTCTTTCTTCGTCTTTTTGGGTTCCTCCTCCCTTGATGGGGAAGTTGGGGTTGGTGGGACCGTAATTTCAGCCTCTTTATCGGAACCATCTTCTTCCTGTTGCTTGAGCGGCTTCTTTCGAGGCCGTCCTGGTCCACGCTTGGGCGAGTCGGATGGCGTAGAAGTAGGCGATGGACTAGATGCTAGGTTGGTCCGGCTAACTCGACGAGCCGCAGCGGTCTCTTGTCCACGTCGTCGTTCTCCGCGCTTGGCCGGCGGTTGATGATGGTGTTCCATTGTCAACGACTTCCATTCAGGCAAATTGTATGAGCGCTGCTTCTCCATGTTTTGCTGGGTATATATTCCATGCTGGCCAGCAAATTCTTGTGTGATCGGATTCTTGACTCTGATAGATTTGACAGCTTCCTTTAGGTCAGGAAGGGAGCCTCGCCTGTAATTGATCCTAGGTCAGTCATTGTTTAATATAGATTGGGGTAGCTTGCACTGACCATTCTTTGGGCGGAATAACTTTGACGATGCCGGACTTCATCCCATGTTTATCAATCCGATCAATGAACTTCTTGAAGCTTTGAAATTGATCCATAGTCTGTCATAATTCATAATTAGCATATGCCCAGTTATGCGACTCGAGTCTGGCAGCCCCAGAGGCCGCCAAGCAAGATATCGCGTGCCTCGAAATGTGAATGCGACCTACCGGCTTGAACACAGGTATCTTCCCACCCTCAAAGTAATGATCGGGCTCGATATCCTCCTCATCCTCCTCATCTGAAAGCTCAGAGAGCTCGGACGACGACCGCCCCCTCTTGTCCATGTCCTCACTCGTCGGTGGCGTCAGGGCCGGCTTGGAGGTCGGGAGGTCGTCGTGGTGTTCATCGTGCGCGGGCGGCACTTCGGTCGAGGCGATGACCTCCGCCGCCGGAGCTTCCATGGCGACTTGTAGCTTCTCGCTCGTCGTGGGTGTTGATGCAGAAGCTGCGATGTTGATTGGGGGGTTGGGGGGCCCGAGGTGTCCTGGGCACGATCGCGCGGGGCGAAATCAACAACGACAACCTTCCTACTTGTGTCGCATCGATAATGGGCGATTCCGATGGTTCGTCGGATGCGGTTTGAGGGTCAGCAGTGAGGTTGTTCAGGAATGCTGGTCGTGGAGGCCCTGGAGTCTGGAAGTTGAGGTTCAATGTCGGCAAAGGCGCTAGTCTTTTATAGGTTAGTTTCGATCCGAGGGATGTCACTCCATAATCGTGCCACTCCAGCCCAAAAGATACCCCGGCTCCAGGCCTGTCACTCTTCAGCCGGTATTGCGGAGGGACCCCTGTGGTTTCAAATGTATGTGTAGAGGTTTCAAGAAGCTGCCAAACAAATACAGCTTCTGTAGATATTACAAACTCCCTTTCGCAGTTTTTGTGTTCATCAATGCTGCAATTCTCCGTCCTATTTGGACGCCCTAAAAATACGCTTCATAACATCTTCAGAAACATGTGCGAGAGGTGATCATTCTGCTTTGACAGTCTCAATGGCGCCCGAGAAAGAGGCACATAGGTGCACATACAAGACGTGTAATTCATCGCTCTAGATTTTCGAATTCGTAGAAGAACACACTACATTCATCATGACCGTCACGTGGATCTACTTCGACCTCCCTATCACAACCCTCTACACCATCCGGCTCGCGTTGCGGCTCCATGCATCCTCAGACGCCCCGATTGGAGGGGTCTCTACCCTCCTCCGCCTCGTCCACAACCCCAAAACTCCCCTCATCGCCCTCACCGCCCCCTTCAAACCCATCACCCTCAATAAAACCGTGTCTGGTAGCATCGCAACCCCTCTCACGGCCCAAGAACCGTTCGGAGAACGCCAGACACGTACCAGCGCGGAGTCGCCACCGATCACCCCGTACCTGCGTCGGGAGAAGGAAGCATGCTGTGCATGGCCCGAGGAAAAACAAAAGCCCACGCTTGCCTCCACATTCTCGGCTATCTCTCTTTCAGCCCTACCACTCAGAGCCGCATCCCCACGCAGACCAGGTAAGCGGAAGTTGGTCATCCCTCTTGGCTTGGGCCGGGCACCCCCCGGGCACACCGGTGCGACGGACGCGCAGGAGCTGCTGTGACGAGAGCGGCTGGTGCCCGGGCTGAAACTTCTACTCACAGTCTAGGGATGGGATGAGAGCGGACGACGTAGTGACTAATTCGGCGTGTGGGTAGGTGGGTTGCAGCACACGCTTCACTGATTCATGAGGGTGCGGATTTTCATCTGCCACTGCGCGGAGTGGCGTAAGGAGGTAAAAGGTCTGGCATAATCACCAACCTACATCTTGATCAGTTTTTTGAAGCGGGGTGAAGCCCGTCAAGCAGTGTCGAGGTGTACAAAGACAGTTCCCCACAACACTTGCAGAAGAAGCCACTCGCAGAAGCCACTCGCAGAAGAAGCCACCCGCAAAAGAAGCCACTCGCAAAAGAAGCAAGAGAGCAAAACGAATGACACATGAGTTCACGATTTTAGAGCCAGCATCCTGAGCCACCGAAACCCCCTAATAGCCACAGAGAATTACAAAGAAGCCTAGGCAGCTGACTGATATATTTTGAGAACCCACGGCTCCATTGCTATGCAGATATGATTTCGACGAAAGACCACATGCAAAGTGCATAGCCCTTTCTTTTTTGTGCGCAACCGCTCAAAATGCTTGGACATGGTGGGAAGCAGAAGAAGAAACCACAAAACCTATCGGAAACCCAACTGACGACCCCTTCCACATGCGCCACAATTCGGGTCGATGAACCTAGTCAACCAGATGCGATCCCCCCCTTTCCGCCGATAGCGTGGGAGAGGCAAGCTTCGAAGTGACTGACTTACTGTGGCGCGCCGCCACGTTCTCCGCCCCTGAATCCACCACGACCGCGTCCGCCGCGAAAGCCTCCCTCTCCACGGCCACGTCCTCGGCCCCGGCCTTCTCCTCCTCGTCCACCACGTCCGCGATATCCGCCACCACCGCGGCCCTCGCCTTGAAATCCTCCTCGGCCCCTGCCACGGTGTTGGACCTCGTGGAATCCGTCGTTGCCGTTCGCAGGAGCTGCTGGGGTAGCGTCCGGGGTGTCATCAGCCCAGCTCTGCGTGCTGTTGTTCGGTGCCGCTACTGCCGGTGATTCAGTCTCGGCAGGGTCGCGGGGAATCATCTCGAACGACTCGGTGAGAGGGTCGTCCGAAACAGCGGAGGCCTGCTTGTCCCACTGCTCGTCCGCAGCCGCATTAGCAGCACCAGCATCAATGCTAGATGCAGCTGGCGCGTTAGGAGTATCGAGCACCTCAGTTTCGCCGTTTGTAATAGTGCCCGAAGTGTCCAGCTCCGTCAATCCCGCGTGCGCAATTGTAGGGTCGGTCGATATAGGGTGGGTGGCCTCCGAATCCGCCGCTGCAGCCTGCGACTGTGCAACGTCCTCGACCCACGCCTCTTCGGCTGCGAAAGGAGCCTCGTCGAGAGCGGCCTGTTTGATTTCGGCGTCTGTACAGGCAATTAGCATGAGAACTCGTTGACTGTTCAGGGTCGTCGACACTCTCCCAAAATCTAAGAAAGGTGCTTACAGGTGACATTCAATGCCGCACCCTCGGTGGAGGGAACATTGTCTTCAGTGCCTTCAATCAGCTTCTCGGCCGCCGAGACTGCTGATGCATCACCACCATACACCAGAAGCAACGCGCCCTCAAATGCCTTGGTGACATCAGTGTCGTCGTCCTCGAGCTGGCGCCTGGCAGCAGCCGCGCGTAGGAATCGTGAGAGGGTCAAGAAGCGGTCCTTGAACGCCTTGTGCGCCTCGGCCGCCGCTTCCGCCTTCAGGGTCTCGCGTAGCTTCTCCAATTCCTCCTTGTGTGCAGATTGTAGAGCCTCCTTCTCTGCTGCCACCTTTTGCTTGTATTCGGCGTCGAACTTCTTGAACTGGGTAAGCTGCTCTTCGTACTGAGCGAGCTGAGCTTGGAGGCCGGGTTTCTTCAGCGCCTGTGCCTTTTGGTCGTTGTTGATTTTGCGGGAAGCAACCAGATCGTCGAGGGATACGTCGGGGTTTTCTGCGATTACAGAGTCCACCTTTTGCATCAGATTCTGGAGACCTGACTGTTAGCTTGGGGTCACGCCAGGATAGAAGCGGCAAAGAGACATACCAGTTTTTTTTGGGTGCTTCGGATAGATCTATAAGTCCAACTCAATCAGTGACCGTGTCCTTCCTGAGCTTATTTGATGAGGAAGCTTACCGTTGGAGGTCCTTGACATATTGGCTCTCCACGTTCGCGTCGGTTCCATTGAGCTTCTCCGCGGCCGGTGAAGAAGAGCTGATTTCCGAGGTCGTCTTTCCAGGCGCGGTCGCGGGTGTAGCTGCTGCAGCCTTGGCCTTCTTCTTGCGAGCACTCTTTGACTCAGCACCTGCTTGAGTTGGCGGGTTGGAAACGATGTCAGACATTGTTAGGTGAAGGGGCGCGTTGTTTGGGGAGCTTAGAAGTAGGGCTTGGGTGTACTGTAGGTAGAGTTCGAGGATTGCAGGAGTGAGAGTCGATACGGCTGAAATTTGTTTGGAGAGACTCCCGATCTTGATCTCGTGTCGCGCCAAGCCACTAGCATGGAAGGCACCAGATCACCTGCCAGGCTGTCCTCCCTGCCTAGGTAGATTTCACCCACCAAGACCTTCAAGCGCAGCCGTTGTATTGTCTGCCCTCCCATCTTCCTTGGAGTACAGGCATAAGGTAGGTAAACCGAAATATTAGGAATGCCACTGGACATGCACCCCATCGAGCTCCTCGAAGCAACTTCTAGATTCCAGACGAGACGTAAAAAGTCACCAACAAGAAGCATTCAGGAGGGAGCTTAGGTGAGAAAGGATGGGTATGGTTAGGCCACGCTCATATTTGGGCATTTGATTAATCAAAGGCACGGAAAAAGTCGAAGTCTAGATTAATCATTTCAATCATTTCCATGTGTCTAATTCTGATAGAAGAGTCTGCAAGGGTATAATGCGCGGATGCAATGACGACTCTTCATGAACGTAAAAGAAAGGTGAAGCTCCGCACCAAGATGGTCCTATACGCCGATCAACTCACGCGCGATACATGAGAAAGTCAACATCGACTCTCAGTAGGAAGTTGCATCACACTGCCCAGGGTACTTCCTACTTGTGACAGGATTAGGGATAAATCCTTTCTCAATCCCATCCATGAAACCCCAAGCGCCCGTCCCTTTAAAGTTCCAGTAGAACCAGCCTTTCGTATTAGCCTCCCAGACATCCAGTTGAGCTTCGATATATCGACGGACCTGGTCGATCACCAAGTCGTTCCATTCTTCAACGGGTGTCGTAGCTATGCATTGGCACCCGTCAGTGTCGCATGTTTCTCCAGCAGTGGTCGTGCCATTGCTATCCACACAGATTTTTGTCGCGCCAGACCATTCGCCGACGTAGACTGGGATATGGGAGCGTTGGGCGGCCTCGAAGTTGTAGCGCCAATTACACGCTTGGATGATGTGCTGCGGTTGGTCCATAGCCATTTCTTTGAGTTTGTAGAGTTGGTATAAATGTGAGTCGATAGCGAAATCAGAATGGTGTTCTGAAGGGTCTTCGTTAAGGTCCTCGATAACGTCTTTTACTACATCGACCCATGTGGCGGAGCCCTTGAACCCATCCTGCACGACGATCTGGAGATTTTTGTTCTCTATGGTGTCTCGAACTTCTTCACACGCTTGCTGTGTCCACTCCTTCGTGATCAAGAGCTCGTTCTTTCCCCAGAGGGTTGGTTCGTTGAGGAGCTCGATCCCAGACACTACGTCCGCATACTTGTTGCTCCCGTATTTCTGGGCTATCTTTTTCAGGACTGTGATAGTACGGTCAAGGTTCTTTGGCGTTTGCCAGTGGACGCTGCCCTTCTGACCAGAATGATCGAAGCCGTTTTGCGAGCCTGGGGCGCCGTGAAGATCCACCCAGACCTTCATATCATTGACCCTAGCCCATTGAACCGCGCGGTCAAGATATGCATCAGCTCCTTTGAGGTATGGGGTGTTTTTGTTATCGTACGCCCAGAAGCCGACGGGTATACGGATACTGGGTCCATTGTCAGCATCAGATTGCATGGCAAACTCAATATAACTAACGCATTAATCCCATAACTGGCCAGCTCAGAGACATGATCCTCGGTAAAGTAACTTTCCCAGTGCTCCTTAAGCCTGCTGTTTGCATCGTCTGTTTGGTCGAATGTGAACTGATCGATGGCATCGGTACCATCAAACAAGTCTGGAGCCATCCATTTCTCCAAGATCAGCCAACCGCCAATATTTACGCCTCGTAGAAATTCCGGGCCTTCAGCGATTGGATCGGAGACCCGGGCCCTGTACGAGGAATGCCGGTGCCCGGCTGAGGCGGGAACATGCGGTTGATATAGTTGTGTAACTTGATGATAGATTTCAGAGCGATTGAACGATGTCAGAGCAGTTTTTTCAAAGTCTTCATACCTCTTGAAGCCTTTCTGGGTGTCTTTTTGTCTGCCCCAGAGAGTGGGAAAGGCCGCAACGGGCAGAGCAAACAAGGTTTCGATCAGCGCCAGGATCAGGATCGCTGGAGTTGATCTCATGTTGGCGATTGAGAGGAGGTCTACAGCGCTAGGGTATTAGCATGTATACATTTTCCATCCAAACTCAGTCTAGGACACTCCAATGCATTGTTGATTGCTGGATACTGCCTCTGAAAGTAGCCCAAGCAGGTAGCTAACTGAATACGAGTCCTCATATCCTAGCCCGGCTTTCCTCTTAACGAAAATGACATACATTCCGCTTAGAGACTTGATTGCTTATCGAAGCACTCCAAACCGTGATGAGCAGGTGGAAGGAATGACTGTCATTGGGGTGCAGCTGTGATCCTTTGTGCTTATGGACTCAATGCGCGTTAGGCTTTGCGACGAGATGTTGTGTGAGAGATTCGAAAACGATGTCCTGTGCTGGCATAGAGAGTGGCGCTCTGCGAATGGGGTGTAGTTCGTAGTGCTGACCAGTTCGCCAAGAAGTAGTACACGACAGTCAATTTTGAAGGTAATGAAGGGGAGACATTTCTTTTGGGCAAGTAATCGCAACCCATTTGAATACGGTCTCATGACACGCTATGCAAGATCTAGAAGTGAAATATTCACGGATACGTTTATAAATAACACCTCTGTAAAAGTGGAGCAAGGAAATTGGGGAAGGCATTTGACTACATTCTCTGTGACGAACGCAATCTGCAGCGCTCGTAAGATTGTTGTGAAAATGAGCAAGGAACTAACCTGAGAATGCGACATTGTGGATTTTGATGATATCCAAAAGGTCTTCCATGTTGGATTGTAGCTGAAACAATAACTAGATTTCGCCTGTTCGATCGTTCCGCCCACACGCCTGGTCCTGTGACTGCCAGCTTAGCACACGCCTGGTTGGATAGAGTGCAGCAAGCCAGATAAGGGAAGGTATATAGTGCTCAAGCAATGCTTTCACCTGTGGATCCGTCATCTATGTAGATGGTTGCATTCGAGCTCGAGGTCATGGCGAGAAGCACTCCGGAGCGTTAGCACAGTGAACTGCTCTCACAAAGTTTGCACGGCGGCAGTCTGCTCCAGACCATCAATATACCTCCTGACTTGCCACTTCGTTCCTTGTGCAAGTCTCCCTAACTAGATGTGCAGTCTCGCATTTGAGTAACGTCACTGGCGCCTCCAAGGGAGACAACACAGCCCTTAGAGCCGTCTGAGGACAGACTGTCTCTATCAATCGGCCGTCGCTCCAGCGCTGGGACAGACATGGCGCCAAAGAATTCCGTGGGCATCGGCTGTGGACGGGTTGAGAGTGCGATTGTCACAAGGCCCTGTCTCAGCAGGCAGGTCACGAGATGGGCGCTCTCAAACAAGACGCCAAAGGAACGGGCGGGGCGAGACAGGACAAATGTGACGGCGTCGCTGGCCCCTCCCGCATCAACGAGGTGTGGCATTGGAATGAGCCTCCGAGGAGCGTGAAGCACAGGGTCTGCCAGACCTCGGTGCACCAATATTGAGCCGTGACTCTGGCCGCAGCTGTGCAGTCTGCGACGACGGGCAACAATTGGTGGAGAGGCATGGCAGAACGGGCGTCGCAATCCAGCGCAACCTTTTCGCCAGCCAGGCTCCGGTGACGTAGAGCGGCAGTCTATTCCAACTCCGACTGAGGCGGCCCAGAGAGCGATCAGGCCTGTTAAAAATGTCGTTTCCGAAGCTTAGTCACGTATCAGGACCTCAAGCGGTGCTAGCCAGCGTCCACAAGGCCCGAGTGGGTGTGTATCAAAGCATAGGAAGCCTTACAAAGTTAGCATCGGCCCCAGACTCTCCTGGACTGCCACTTTCTGGCCATGGAAAATGCCGGCCAGCAAGGAGAGGGTTCCCACGGCCCGTGGACCACTCACGCCGCAGCAAGCCGACCCCTCTCCCTCTAGCGCTGTGCTGCCGACTTCACGTGCGAGAGCCAGTCGGCTGTGATTTGATGCCGGTCTCTCGACGCTTTTCTGCCTGCCCGGCCCGTGCGCAGCTTGGCACAGCTCCCAGCCTTTTCCCACGCCCACCTTTCCGCGTGACTTCTCTCCTCACCTGACATCGAAGACCAACACCTCCAGCACTTGCCGTCAGATATCACGTTGCGGCCTGCTCAATTATATTGCTTCCGCTGCTGCTGCACACACATCGGCCTGAGCACTCCGGCCTCCGCCTCTTCCCTCTCCTTTTTGTTGCCGGTTCTCACGAGCTGAGCGCCCGCGAATCCATACATCAATCGGCAGTCACGGGAAACACTGCGGCAAGAGCGCACCGGTAAGTCAACCTCAACTCCATCGCATCGCATCGCATCGCATCGCATCGCGCGTTATCACCACATCGCCCCGTTTGCTCCACCGCTGCCCGTCGCCACGCCCTCGACGGCCTCTGCGACATCACGCCCGCTGCTCGTCCGCCATGGAGCTGGAGTCTTCGGCGCATCCGCGCGTCGAAGCCCGCCGCGCTCTCGTCGTCTCCGCCTGCTGGCCCCGTCGTGTCGTCGCGCACCAGCGAGGAACGTTACGGAGCGCGAGCGGCGCTGTCGTGCACTGCTCGCGTCCCAGCGGCAGAGGGCACGATACGACTCCTCTTCCAGCAATGACAGCTTGGTCCCACAGCAATGGAGCAATCGACTACGCCAATCGGGCGCTTGTCTGCATTGCCGTTACACTTGACAATCGCCCTTTGTACACGTGCTGACGTTCCAGTTTGATCCTCTGCAGCTGCGGCGCGCAATCCGAGAACCGCTTCCCACGCCCGGCCTCCGCCTGATTGCTGTTCCCGAGGCGCACTGCTTCCGGGACTCTGCGTGAACTGTTGGGCAGAGCGTCGACCCCGAGCTTCATTCACCCGCCGTCCCAGGTTTGCGTCTTCGAATCAGGCCCTGGTACTGCCACGACCATCTCCTTCTCCACCACCCGCCGCCTCACTGGTCCAGCCTTAATAGTCTGCCCACCACCCGCTGCGTCACGGTTTCCTACATCCCAATCCCGTGCCACCTCGCAACACAGCACCCTATAATCGCCATTGGGCTTTGCTCTTAGTGCGCAGCAGCCATCGAATAAGACCGACGCCCTCCACGCGAAGTGACGGGATCCTTCTTTCTACTTCAACGTTACAGACATGGCCGACACAGCTGGCTATCCCACCCACGACGCCAAGGCGCTCGACTCAGTTCACAACAACAAGCGCAAGCGCGAATCACGCGGAGATCACGCTTCTAGGCCTGCTCCCGGAGACTCTTCTAGGGCCACCAACTCATCAGCTGGTGCAGCGGATCTGACCGACCAAACCACCGCTGCTTTCCTCGCAGCTCACAACGCCGCCGCCGACGACAGCATGCAGAACTCCTCCCTCGACTTCGGCCTCCAGCAGAATGGTGGCGCGAGCTCGTCAAACGCTGGAGATACCGCTGCCGCTGCACTTGCCCACTATTCCATGACAGTCCCGCAAGCCACGGAGCTTTCCTTCCAAGCCACAGGATCCGCGGGAGATGGAACGTCTTTCATGGGCGATCATGGGGTCCATCAACAGCAACAGCATGGTATGCCCGACACCAGCATGGATGTTTTGCAGACACCTTCTAAATATGAAGATCCAGGCAACTCCGCTGCTAATGATTCGCCGCCAAACGCAGGCGGCCACAAGCCCACGGTCGGCTCCGACGAATGGCACAAGGTGCGGAGAGACAATCACAAGGAGGGTACGTGCCCCCGATTACAATATATCCTATGTAAGTATGCGCCATAGCTAATCACGTGAACAGTTGAGCGTCGTCGTCGCGAAACCATCAATGAAGGCATCAACGAACTCGCGAAGATCGTTCCTGGCTGCGAGAAGAACAAGGGCTCTATCCTTCAACGTGCCGTTCAGTTCATCACCCAGCTGAAGGAGAACGAGTCTCAGAACATCGAAAAGTGGACCCTTGAGAAGCTCTTGACCGAGCAAGCTATCACCGAGCTGAGTGGCAGCTGCGAGAAGTTCAAGGGTGAAATGCAACGTGCCTGGGATGAGGTCGAGATCTACAAGCGCGCATGTCGCAATGCCGGCATCGTCCCTCCAGAGATAAAGGAGCGAGAGAACGCCGAGCAGAATGGCGAGTAGCGCTCTCCCATTTCTGGTTACGAATCTGTGAGGCTGTTCCGTCAGCACTATTCTACCGGCGAGTATTTCACCCCGTCGATGGTACCCTTGTGACTTTCTCTCCTGTTCTTTCATATCTGCGAATGCTGGCGGCTGGATTCTCCGAGCTGACTGCACGATTTGCTTCACGATGCGAGGATTGTTTACGACAACATTTCATGTTCGGTCATTCATTGAAGATCCCTTTACTCTGGTATCCTGCTTCATGGGCTGCTTGGGCAGTGTTGTTGACTGTCTACTCTATCGAAACAGAGTAATAGTTACATTGAAAAGGTCTTGATGTCACTGCGGGGAGGGGCTTTTTTGTTAGCCGCAGCACGCGGTCAGGGGGGTTTGACATGGCGGCATCGTCTTAGAGGCTGGAGGCGGGCGGGCTACATTGTCTTTCTCTTCCTCATGCGGCCATTCCCTTTTACACATATTGAGAGCTGGGTGGTTGGGATAACGAATCATCTTTTATGTTTCTAGCCTACTGCGAATAGTCACTGTGTGAGGTTTGCATAGCAGCTTGTGCCGTGATATAATAATGACTGACGCCGATGCTTGGACAGTAGCAGTGGAACTGCTGAATCTGAACAGGTCATGATCATGATACTGATGGACATGTTTAATGGCAGGCGAGAAGCGGATAGTTCCCAAGCGTAGCTAGTCCTAAGCTGCAGAGTGTTGTATGCAGTGCGACGCGAATCCTTGTGCTGCGCTGGGAAGGGGAAAGGCTAAGGCAGCCTAAGGTGCTATAGTCTTCGCGATGGCCAGGTGCATCTTTTTTGCTTAATTGTCTCCACTTCGTACTGCTACCTTTGTAGCGCGGCCTCGCATCGGAAGAACGATACGCCGTTCCTGTTGAGATGGCGGAGAACATACACCCCCTCCTTCAGTGCTATACTATCGAATGCGCCTAGTTAGACTCGCCCGTTTCTACTGACCTTTTAACCGCAATATTTGACCATTCCACTTCATACGCACCAGCGTCATTCCAGACCAGCGGACACCCCTACGTCCATACCGACTTCGACCCACCGTACCTGCAAGCATCCGAGCACTAAAGGCCTCACCTCGACCACCGATTGAAATGGCCGTTTACTGAGTTGCACGCCGACAATGGTGGACTCATCGAAGCTTCCGTCACACGTCAAATTACCACTTTTGGAACGTCAAGAATTTGGTGGATGTCAACACAATGGAGTCGAACATTCCTCCAGAGGCACCAGAGGTGCCACCAGTTCTAGATGAAGCAGAGTTTCTGACGCAGGACTCACCAGCTCCAGGCCTAGAACTAGACAACCAAGAAGGTGGTCCCACCTCCGCTTTGGACACAGCTGAGCTCTTCCTGGACGATAGCGCTCGACCAGCACCATCTCAGAATGGAGCTCAGAGGCCTATACCCCCTCGGCCAAATCTACGTCGCGAAAACTCCGTACCGTCCCCAGCGCCGCTACATCTCCCTCCGCCAGCTCCGCCAGCTCCGCCCCCAGATGCTCTCAACACTACCGACTCATTGTCCCTTGTCCAACTCAGAAGGCTAGTTGACAACATGCCAAGGGTCGAGCCTACACCATACGCGTTTACCTATGAAGATGCATCTACGTTCGAAGAAGAGCTGGAAGAATGGTTTTCGTACGGTGTGGAGGAGCAGGCTATGATACTGAAGTCCCAGTCGTCGTTTGCGCAAGAGTGGGGATCATACAATGGCCTCGTGTTTATAAACGGATCAGCTTACGAAGAAGGAAACCTAGATTGGGCTACCACGAGCGTCGAGCAGAAAGAGGAGTTCATCCAGAAAATTTTGGCTGGCATCAAGCAATCGGATCCGAACGCAAGACTGCAAAACCTGGAGACAGTAGTGTATCTACTCTTGGGGTGCTGGTACGAAACAGCTGGTCACACATTAGCAGAACACCGAGAAGACAACGACCAAGACGGGGACACGGCTTCCAAAAGCAAGGCCCCCAATGACAAATTTCCTCTCTCAGCTCTTCAAATCGAATGGATCTATAAGAATGTTCAGACGGTGTTAGATTGTGGCGGCCTTCAAGTGATTTTTGATGCCTTGCGGAAAGCTTTTCTACGGGAATGGTATGTGATATTATACCATGTCTTACAGTGCAGAGACTGATTTTATCTGTAGTGGACTATCCTCGCCAGAGGATGAACCATTTCGTGAGGGCAAAGAGGCCGAGCGCCGAGAACTATGGTGCACGATGACCGCGATGTATACTTTCTTGGAAGTCGCTCGCATCAAAGAGAAAGTGGATGGCGAATTGATCATGCGGGAAGCAATCGGTGAGATCTTTTTGCTATCGTTCTATTGACTTCTAAACGCTAACCTATGGCATCCAGCTAACCTCAAACCTGGCCTCCTCATGACACTTGTAGACTTGATTGCGAGGCTTCGGTGGGACGAAACTATCGTCTTGCCCTTGGCTAAGGTTTGCTTACTTACGTGGAAATCTATTTTGGTTGCTTTCGGGGGGCTCTCGGAAGTCAATAAAGCGAAAGCTTCATTCCGAGAAACGGATCTCAACGAGGCTGATGTGCGCGGTCAGCCTCTGATTACAGCTTCGCCTCTAGACTATCATTTGTTTCGCCAGGAGATCAGCTCCAAATACCCAGCTTACAACCCACCCCCGCCACTTTTCCCGTTGGAGCCGGAGAACAACTCCATCCTCCCGCCGATCAAAAATCACCCTAGCAAAGTTGCAGGCTCCCACGTTTTTGGGTCCGGCTTAGCAAGTTTTGACGGCAATGGGACGTCCATATTTCACCAACCAGTACATATCGCAACTCCAGCACCTTCCCCGCCGCCCTCTCCGGCCGGCGCTGGTAAGGGCGGGAAGAAGCAAAACTACCAGACCAACCAACTCTTTCCGTTTCTTTACCCGCCTCTAGATGAAAGTAGCAATAATCTGGGAGGGAAAGGCTCCACAGATTTGCAAGATCTGCTTGTAGGGAGGAAGTGGGAAGGATCCGACATCCCGGCTTCGATTTTAGAAGCTGCTGAGCTTTTTGCTAAGAGAATGAGAGCGACGCGAGCGATGAAGCAATTGTGGGAAGAGAGAGTCCAATTCATGAAATACGAACGAGGCTGGGCTGGCCCAGATGAAAACATTGATGTCGATGCCCTAGACATATCTTCTGCGCCAACGGCCGGACCGGAAGAAGCAAACAGTAAGACTAAGGAACCTCCTCCTCCTGGGAGTATCGAAGACCGGATGGATTCTGTTGAACGTTTCTACGTGAGTCGCTTGTTTCGATCAACTGATTAACCGCTAATCTTCTTTCAGGTCGAAGCACTGCCCCATCTACAGTCTTTGATCATCGTTTTGATCAAGGTCATTCTTTCTCACGTTACTGCCCTGGTCACCCAGGCAAATGGACAGAACGGATTACAAAGCGGGTTTCAATTTCAAGATAACCAAAATGGGGGCTCATCAGCGAAGCCTGACAGCAACGGCGTGAACGGGCAGCACGACGGCAGCTCATCCAACGAAGAGCTCGACACAATACGGACACATGAGATTCTTGACAAAGCTGTGTCTGGAACCCTTATCCTAATTCTCAAATGGTTCAAAGTCTCACGTAAGTCTTCTTCAAAAAAACTTCTTCTATGAGTAAGAAGCTTACGCGACACACACAGACATTCTCAAATTCGAATACATAACCCAGCTCCTTGTAGACTCAAGCTACATCCCTCTTATACTAAAGCTTTTACAGCTTCAGGAGATTGAGCGGGTAGTCAATTTCAAGTGTGATCGAGACGACTTGAAGTACGTTGTCCAAAGTCTGATCTCCCCGAAAGGTACTAATTCAGATCAGTTTCTTCCATTTCTGCCGTGAACACTCCCGCACTGGTATTCAAGATCCACAGAACACCGAAAGCAAGGAAATCGATTCGGATTCTGATGACGCAGCACCTCCCCCGATTAGGCTTCGCCGTGATGAGACAGCAAAGCAAGACCATGAACCAGAGACGCCTGCGGAGTCCCGCCCGCAGGTTCCGCCGGAGGTCGACGAACTAGGATTCCCTACCAGTGAGCTTCCAAGTGAGCCCATTACCAACTTCTCATGGAGAGCATTCTTCAGTGGCATCAACTATTTGCGCATAATGCAGAAGGTGTGCAAAAACAAGGCGCATCGTAACTTGATGCTTGTGTCGTACAAATCCTCGCAGTTTCTACGCAAAAGTCTCAAAGTTCCACAACCCGAGCTAAGGCTTTACACGCTCAAACTTTTCAAGAACCAGGTTCCCTACTGTGGTCGTAAATGGCGCCAGTCCAACATGCGCGTCATCACAGCTGTGTACCTGCACTGTAGACCGGAACTTCGGGACGACTGGCTTGCTGGCAGCGACGTTGATGCTGAGGTGGATGAGAGTGTGCCTCTGGAGCAGGCTTTGAGGGCTTTGACGCATTGGCATAATCTGAAAAGGTACCCAGAGGGCATGGGCGCGAGGAGTGGGGTCTTGGAGGAAGATCAAGACTTTTTCAGACGCGAGCTTGAGAAAATGGATTGGGGCGAGGAAGGTCTAGATGAAGGGCAGATGGAGCAACAGGATTGGGGTATGCACGGCGAGGGATGGTAGATTCTCCATGAGGTAGATTGGCGGCCTAGTTGATGACGGAGTCTCTGCCTCGTTGACCGAATGATACCTATGATTACTGGGAAGGGCGAAAGACTAGCGCATGATATTTGCAATGAAATCCATCCTAGGTTAGATAAATTCACCTCTTTGCTTCTGCACCTTGAGTGGAATTGCAAAAAGCTGTCTTCGTTGATGGCGGTTCACCTGCATCTCAGAACGCCACCCCTGCCACTTCCGAGTCCTCCGCCCGAATCTCCAAGCCAAGATAAGTCCAACTCGTGCCTTTGACCCCATCGCCGCGTACCAACCCCCATCTCGCTACTTCTCCCTAATTCTTTTGTAATCCTTGATCCTCACCAACTTTCCCATCGTCTCTCTTTCACAGCCTTCGTCTCAGGCTGGTGCAACCCTCTCTAGCCGCTATCTCCCCCCGGGTTACCACCAGGCTACGATGTTCTGTCTTCGAAGCTGGATACCCATACTTTTCTTCCTGTATGTCCCCGTTTTCCTTGCCACGATTTACTACATATACTGATTCTCGGAGGCATAGAACAAGTGCGTCCCCCGTCTACCTCGTCCTCTTCGTCTCGGCGACCTACTTCCTCAACCGCCCCTGCGTCTACTGCTCCCTCCTCCTCGCCATACTCGTGGTCTCCCTCTTCGACTTCCATACCGCATGGTTCGAGCCGCAGCTGCCGGCCGAAGATGCCTCCTCGGACCCCAGAAACACAACAATGCCGCTCAGAGACCCGCTTGTAGAGACGGCTTCGATTCTCGCGTCGGCGGTTAACAGTACGGCTACGACGGTTATCAAGGCGGCGGCGGATACGCTGCGCAAGAAGGCGCCACCAGTGCCGCAAATTAGTGGAGGAGCGGGATTCGAGTGGGCGAAGGGCTTGGTGGGGAAGAAGGAGTGGCGGATACCGTGTCTGGATGTTCTTGTGCGGATCTGAATATACAGGAGCATCGAGATCATGGCGCCTTATTAATGCGAGGAGGTGAATGCTCGGAACCTCTGACTCGTTCTATAGGACGAATCCCTTGGCTTTCAAGAGTTGGGACAGAATGGGAAGTCTGATTTGATTATCGCCAGGGCACTCTCTCTACAACAACCCTCTGGACACAACGCACTCCTCATGCGACAACCGACTGGTGTCCGTGACATTGGGATTTCGTTCATCTCTTAGGGGCATATTGCTAGATGATTGCACGGCACGCGCATTTCAGCGGCGCGAGGGGACCAGATGAGCATCGGCGGCGTCACGGTTTTATTCTTTGGGTCTTGAACGTATGGAAACGGCTCTGCAGGAATTCGCCTGTAACCAGGCTGCAGATGGAGGATAATGGGCAGACGGGAAGGGTGTATTAACAGGCGCTACATATCCGCTTCCTTCGATACCATTGGCAAACTTTGCTCTCTTCGTAAAATAACGCGCGAAATAGAATTACGCTCAGCTTCCTCTTTAGATACGAATCCTGCTCGGCTGAATGCTGTTTAGGCATTCGCTCGAATGCCCTTCGTAGTAAATTCGCTCGCACCTCCCGTGCCAGGTTGCATCACCGCAGATAAACTGCGGGGAGGGCCGCTTGGTGGTGGGGGTCTCCAGCGTTCTGTTTGTCACGCCGAAGCAACCCGTTGACGGTAGGAACAGCACGCCACGCTTTATATAACTGGTTCGGACCTCGTTCCTGCCTCAAGTGACTCAAACCTGGCCTTTCTATTGTTCTTGTCGAGGTGTTGTTCTCGCGTCCGCATTGGAAACAAAGCACAGAGGAGTCCCGCCATCGCCCCTCTCAGACGTCTAGGCAGCCAGACTTTCAGGCAACCCGTGTTGCGCCAGCTCCGTTTCTCGCCCTCACGTAGCTGTAGTTCGATTGATGTTAAGGCGAGGTTCTACACTGCTGTAGCCAACCCAACATCCATCACCATGGCGTCCGACAGAGATATCCTGCCCGACACGTGAGTGAAGAAGCTGTAGCACTTACGAGCACGAAGCTGACAGAGGATTGTAAACAGGGTCAAGCCGTCCCACTACTCCATTTCCCTGTATGACCTCGAGCTCGGCGGGGAATGGAGCTATCAAGGCACCGTAGCAATCGACCTCGAGATCAAGAAGAGCACCAAAGAAATCGTTCTCAACTCCCTCCAGCTCAAGATACACAGCGCCGAGCTCAAGACCGAGAATACAAAGACGGAACAGAATTTCAAGGCCTCAGACATTACCTACGATGCTCACAAGCAGCGGGTGACGTTGGCATTTGGGGAAGAGCCGCCGGCCACCTCCAAGGCAACTCTTGTGGTCAAGTTCCAGGGGACCATGAACAACGTATGTGCTATTGGAAGCTTGGGACGAAGATAAAAATGTTACTGACTTCAACTGGTAGCTCATGGCTGGCTTCTACCGCTCGAGGTATAAGCCCACGGGATCGGTGGCCAAGTCCGTGCCCCAGGTGGATGACTTCCACTACATGTTCAGCACCCAATTCGAGTCCTGCGATGCCCGTAGAGCCTTCCCTTGCTTTGACGAGCCGAATTTGAAGGCTACCTTTGATGTAGACCTTGAGATACCCAAGGACCAAGTTGCCTTGAGCAACATGCCGGAGAAAAAAAAGAAGGAGACCAAGGAGGGCTGGCACGTTGTTTCGTTCGAACGTACCCCGATCATGAGCACCTACCTTCTGGCCTGGGCTGTTGGAGACTTCGAGTACGTCGAGGACCGTACTGACCGCAAGTACAACGGGGCGCGGATTCCAGTTCGTGTCTACACCACGAGGGGACTGAGACATCAGGGCCAGTTTGCTCTCGAGAATGCGAAGAAGATTGTTGATCTCTTTTCGGATGTTTGTCTTGTCACTTCCACCCCCTTTGTTACTCGACTGACTTAACTAGATCTTCAAAATCGACTATCCGCTTCCAAAAGTGGATCTTATCGCAGTTCATGAGTTCGTAAGTTATTTTCAACTCTGTTTCTATGCTACACGCAGTTTGTTGTTCCCCCCCACAATGCCATTTAGTCTCTAAGCCCTTTTCAGACATCTATATGTACCCCCGTTGAAGTCTAGATGAGCATTAGCGACTGACCGGTGGTTTCTAGTCTCACGGTGCTATGGAGAACTGGGGTTTGATCACCTACCGGTAAGTGTTGAGGTCGTAGTAATACACAGACAGCAACTGATCCCGAACAGAACTACGGCAGTGCTCTTCGATGAAGCCGAATCAGCTCAGGGCTACAAGAATCGAGTTGCGTACGTCGTGGCTCACGAACTTGCCCATCAGTGGTTCGGAAATCTTGTGACGATGGATTGGTGGAATGAAGTCAGTAGACGTGCACGCATTGCATTGTGTCACGTAGCTAACTTCGGACTAGCTCTGGTTGAACGAAGGGTTTGCAACGTGGGTCGGATGGTATGCTATCGACCGCTTGTATCCCGGTAAGTTGACCCGACGATATCTCATCTGGCCGTACAAATCTAACCGTGATTCTAGAATGGAACGTATGGGGACAGTTTGTCGTACGTGCACGATCTCGAGGTACCTCGCACATATCATATTTTGCTAACAGTCACACTCTAACCTAGTCCGAGGGTGTACAATCAGCCTTCCAACTAGACTCGCTCCGAACTTCTCACCCAATCGAAGTTCCCGTTAAGGACGCTCTTGAAGTTGACCAGATCTTCGACGCTATTAGTTACCTTAAGGGTAGCTCGGTCATCCGAATGCTGAGCGCGCATCTCACAGATAAAGTGTTCCTTGCTGGAGTTACGGACTACCTCAACGCACACAAGTACGGAAATGCGACGACGAACGATCTGTGGTCCGCCTTGAGCAGGGCTTCTGGACAAGATGTGAACCATTTCATGGATCTGTGGATTCGCAAGATTGGATTCCCAGTCCTGACCGTTGCAGAGGAGCCGGGCCAGATCTCTGTCAAACAAGAGAGGTTCTTGCTTACAGGAGACGTGAAACCAGAGGAGGATGAGACCACTTGGTGGCTTCCTTTGGGACTAACGACGGGCGCGCCAGGCCAGGAGATAAAGAAACACAGCGTCAAAGCTCTCACAGCGAAGACGGAGACGATTAGGGGTGTTGATGACAACTATTATAAGCTCAATGCCAACCAGAACGGCTTCTATCGGACTAATTATCCGCCAGCGCGACTGGTCAAGCTTGGTGAGTTGAAGGCTAAATTGAGTGTTGAGGACAAGGTATGTTCTTCTAAGGAAACTCTTGTAAGGTATACTAATCGATTTGGAGGTTGGTCTTATTGGAGATGCATATGCTCTGGGAGTTTCTGGCTATGCGAAGACTACAGGTTTCCTCGCCCTAATCGAGCGCTTCGGGGATGAAACCGATTACCTCGTCTGGTCTCAGATCACCGGCAATCTGGTGAACATTCAGAGCGTCTTCTCAGATGTCGGAGATGTCCACAAGGGCTTGAAGAAGTTCGCTCTTAAGCTGCTCACTCCGGCCGCCGAGAAGGTCGGATGGGAAGCCAAGAAGGGGGAAACCTACCTTCAGGGTCAACTGCGTGTCCTTCTTATTGGAGCTGCCGCTGCCGCCGGACATGAAGGGCAAGTTCACCGTTATCCCATTACAATATATCCTATACTAACTCTCCAGTAGCATCATCAAAGAGAGTCTTCGCCGCTTCGAACTCGCCTCCTCAGGCAAAGACCCCAAAGCAATCCCTCCTTCACTCCGCGGCGCCGTCTTCCGTACCGCTGTCACCGAGGGCGGCCGAGCGGCCTACGAAGCCCTCGTCAAGGAATACACCACGACAACCTCCATCGACGGCAAAGAAATCTGCCTCCAGTCCCTCGGCCGCGTGCAGACGCCCGAGCTCGCCCAAGAGTTCCTCACCTTCCTTTTCTCGTCCTCGGTCGCCGTGCAGGACAAGCACTCGGGCGCTATCGCGTTGGCCAACAACGCAAATGTGCGCTACGAGCTGTGGAAGTACATCCGCGAGAACTGGGACCAGACGGTGTTCCCGCTGCTCAGCGGCAACATGGTGGTGCTGGAGCGGTTCTTGCGCGCGGGCTTGGCGAAGTTTGCGAGCTTTGAGGTTGCGGAGGAGATTCGGGAGTTCTTTAAGGATAAGGACCAGAGGGGGTATGATCGCGGCCTTGCGGTTGTGAATGATACGATTCTGGGGCAGGCAACGTATCGGAAGAGGGATGAGGAGGTTATTAGGGAGTGGTTGAAGGCGAATGGGTATTTGGAGTAGGCGGTGCCCGGACGACCTCGATGAGGTGTGTGATGGGGGCCGTAGGGCGATAGCTTCGCTGGCCTTGAGAACTGAAAGGGTTATTTCGTGAAATTGTCTGGAGCGGTAGCTTCGCTATTCGTTTCAGAACGGATATTCGTGTGGAATTGAGTTATCCGTCTAGGATGAATACTCTACATGAATACCATCATCTACCCTGCTCATCTGCAAATTGTTTGCGTGAATTGTGCTAATCCTTTGCGGACCTCTTGACTTCTTGATATACAGCCAAGCATCCAATCCTCCAATGCGAACATATCCAGCACGTCTCCAACTCTTTGAAGACGCCCTAAACGCCTTGCTATGCAGAGCGCGAATCCCCGATCGCGATGCCATCGCCGAGTCATAAAAACGTGACTCCACTCCTCCGAAAAAAAATAAAAAAAAAAAAAAAATTACTCCAGTAACCTGCCCGAACCGATGAAAAACATGGGTATTCCTCCCTCACAGATTTGAAAACACCAAAGCAAACTCCGGAATCCAGAGACCCATTTCGCGATGCAGCTCGTAAGCCTTTTCCTCCTCTCCTGCCTCCTCGGACTTCCAACGGTTCGAGATCGATAAGTGCGCTGTCAAACAGCTGTCCAGACCCCGTTAGCGCCATGCAGGGCAACCGCTTTTCGCTTTCCACCAGGCTGACATGCGCCATCTCCGTCATTCGTGCGACCGCATTTCTGGGAAAGCTGGATGGGGAATTGGGAAAGGCGATGATTTGGGGATTTGGGAATGCAACCCCCCTCCCAAATGATCCCGCTCCGTTTCGAATACAAGAGGTTTCTACTTACAGAGTGATGACTGCATCATAAATCCCTCCACTCCCCGGGTTTCGTCGAGCTCGTTGGCGCGGAAGTTGGGGCCGAGGACGACGAGGGGGTGGGGGCGGGCGTCCAGGCTTTGCCGGCCATGAGGTCGGTCGTGTGCATGGGCAGCTGGGGGATGGTGCTGGTCGGGGAGGCGGTGGTGGACAATCGGTGGAGGTGGATTTGGGGGAGAGCGAGCGCGCTGGTGAGGGTGGTGGTTGTGAGGAGGAGGGCTGGTGTTGAGAGTTTCATCTTGAATTGTTTTTGGGCTTGGTTGGAGACTGTAGAGTGGCGGGTGATGGGTATAGTCTGAAGGGCGCCGGGGTTGTTGTAGGCAGTGCGCGCTACTGTGGGGGCGGCTGCGGTTCTTTGTCTCTTTGAGACTTGAAAGCGATGGGAGGATAGAAGCTGTAACTGGAACGATGGCGGAATTCGAGGAAAAGTGACAGCAATGGGGTTGTTGGAGCAGTATGGAGGCCTGATCGGAGAGATACCCGTCGTGTCGAGTTGTTTCCTCGGAACGAACTGACAGAAGCGCACTTGTTCGAGGAGAAGCGAGGGGAAAAATGAAGACTCAACCTTGGTCAGGCTCCAGAGCAGCGGGCACTGGCTTCAGATATAGCTGGTGCTGGAGTGCTGGAGCCATGGGTGCGAGCGTGGAAAGAGGTAAGGGAGCCTCACCAATTGAGCACGCTGCGACCACGCTGCAGCTGATTGGCGCATGTTGGCATGATCATCCTGTGCCTACTGCAGCTCCGAAGGCGAGGCGTCTTGGCTACATAGCTTGGCGATGCATCAATGTCTTGGTGTTTGTTTTGTGTTCCAAGGTTTGTTCGTACTCCACTAGTTCTATTCTACTCCACCATCTTCAATGTCGTGAAGCTCAGCACAGCAACTTCCTCCCACCACCGCTCTCTAAACGCGCAAACAATCCACAATCCACAATGCTCTCCCTCCCCCTCATAACACCCCGCGATGTGAGTCCCGCCCCAACACCGCCTCCCTCGCGTGTTTCAGCATAAAATTACATGTGCATCGGCCCGCCCTCAGCCCCTCGCGTTCAGAAATATTACACACACATCCACATTTAGAATCTTCAGACCTCAAACCTTTAACCGCTTCAATCCACAGGACTCCACCCTCTGGCCCTCCCACCCCTCTTCGCGCCTCCCCTCCCTCGACAACCCCCTCCCAGCATCGACAGACGCAAACAACGCGCCCCTACCGCACCACCAGCAACACCGCCGCCCGCACTCGCACCACACCCATGCCGGTTCGACGCGGAGCACCCTCGCCTCCTTAGCCGCGGATGAGAACTCGATTCTGCAGCGCAAGCAAAATGTGAGACGCTTCGGCGCGGGCTGGATCCGTCCCCCCGGCGTGCCGAAGACGTACCAGGCGACTATGGACGAGGCGGCCGAGCGCGAGGAGCAGGAGATACTCGCGCGGCGGGAGCAGGCGCTCGCCGACATGGCTGCGCTGCAAGAAGCGGAGGAGCTGGCGGCGCAGCGGGAGGCGGGCGAAGAAGAGGGAGAAGAAGAAGGAGAGGAGGAGCGGGATTTGGACGACGAAGTGCCTGAGGCGGAGGCGGAGGATAGCGATGAGGTACAGAGCACGAGCGAGCTTGGGAGCGAGGATGGGCTTGAGCAGACGGAGGCGGAGATGACGTTTAACGAGGACTCGTTTATTGAGGGGAGTATGGTGCAGGCGGATGTTGAGCAGATGCTGGAGTTGGAGGAGGCAGACATGGCGGGCGTGTTGCAGGATGAGCGGGATTTGGATGATGATGTGCCTGAGGCGGGCAGCTATCAGCATACGGATACGGAGCTGGAGGATGAGAGCTCGGAGATGGAGGAGATGAGCTTTGAGCTAAGGAGGGATGGCGTCAATAGGCCACCGAGGGGGAGTAGGATGGCGGCGAGGGGGGGAGCTGCTGCGAGGACGAGTATGTTTAGTGAAGATGGGAGCTCCATGATGGGCGGGAGCTCGTTTGTGGGCAGCTCTCCTGCTGCGGCGAGGGGGCCTGGGCTGGGAAATGCGTTTAGGAATCGGCTGATGAGGCCGCCTGCGCCGAGAGGAGGTTGAAGGTATGGGCAAGTTGGGTAACATAGAACAGCCTCTGAAGACAGCATCTAGGTAGGTTGTTGAGCATGGATATGCGAGTCATCTCCAGCGCCGAGTCAAGAAGCGACACGTTCTTGAGTTAGATAGAGGTGCTAGTAACCTTTCGACGATGAAAGCATCCGCGGCGTATCGCTAACAGTAGGTAGTGTGTGGTACTATATCATGCTCAGGTAGAGTCTACTACAAGCACGCCTTCTCGTACTAAGTCCTCTCTCTTCAATCTTGGTTCTTCTTTCTTCTGAAGGAATTAAGCCGCTTTTTCAGCTCGGCTCGATGTCCATTCGTTATAAAAACAGGAGTACCAGACAGAGAAGACTCGTTATTTTCTATGGTCATGTCTACATGAGCGCTTCCCTTGCGATCTTGAAAAGTGACATTCCCTAATCTTCCCTCCAGTTTCCGTAAGACCTGGCCCAACGACATTAAAAGAAATGAACAGAAAACCGGCGGAGCAGTTGAATGAGCGTGTATAGTGAGGCTACTCGTTAAGCCAGACTACCTTGTTTGTGCATCGTAAAGTCGAGCGGCAATGTCAGCGGTGTGGCCCAAGTAAGCTCATTCCCTCATTCTTTTTCCAGCCCTCCGCAAAACAAGCCAAAATAAAAACCCAGAAACACCATCACCATCATCATTACCGCATATCGCCCAAAACCAAAGGGAAAATAACGAATTCCAAGGAGCAAAACACCACCCTCCTCGGTGGAGGGTGTAGAAAGACTTTAATGTTTTCTCCGTGCCCAAGCCATGCTCTCCAAACAGAGCTACATGCCGTAAGGACAATTCCCGAAAGTACTGGGGTCCACATTTAAACCACCCAGCCAGCGCTCACTGGGGGGCTCGAATGCGGTCCTGGTGGTCAGACGAGTTGGCGGCGTCGGTCGATTCGATCGGTGCGGGGCGTGGCTCGACTCGGAGGGAGAGGAGACCGATTGAGCTGCTGGTCGAGTTAGTTGGGTGGTCCGCGAAATTTTGGAAATATATGGTATGAGCGAGGAAGGTCGCCGTCACACTTGGTTACCCGTGACGCGGGAGCTGAGGGATCTTCGGGAGACCGAGGCCGAGGTGAGCTGGGAGGGCTGGAGGGTAGGAGAGGCATCTCACCTCGTCGAAATCACTTGTGCGTGGGCTTTTTGAGGTGTTTTGCAACTTTTCGGGATTCTCGTGATCGTTTACTTTCGTTCACCTCCGCTTAGCGCCCGCTCTATGAGCTCTCACCTTATTTCACCTCACTATCTCATTTCACCTCACTATCTCATTTCACCTCACTGTCTCATTTCACCTCACTATAACAGCTTGTACTCTACCATTTAAGAGGCTTCAGTGTAATTTAAGGAGTATAGGCGTCGTTTATTTTCATTCACCCCGTTCTGCATCCACCTCTGAGGCCGCTCACCTCTTCTCACCTCTCCCTCTTACGCGTCTCGGCCGACCTCTTTGCAGAGCTTCGGCAGCGCCCACCCAACATGGTTGTGGAGCTTGTCGAAATAGTAACGTAGCTTGTTGTCTAATGATTGGAGGGGGCGGGCAACGCGATTTCTGTGCATGCACCTCACTCACATCGCAGTGACAGAATGTTAGAATCTCCGATCTGAAGCATCACAAACACCCAATTGAGATGACTGTCGCATACATCAAAGGAGCAGAAGGGTGATGATACATATATACACCTCAAGCCAATCCTCGAGAGCAGAAAAGCCGCCGCTCAACCCACCCGCTCGCTCGACACCACCGTATCCACATTCAACTGATTTAAAGCCAACAGGTGAAGTCGCTACCACCTACTAATACACCCCTACCCATCCATACTACTAATATTCCTCCCCGAGCACCTTCTTCAACACCCCACTCTCCTTCTCATACTTCTCAACCTTCGCCTGACTCGCCTGCAACTTCCCCAACAGCCACTGCACCCGCGGCGTCAACTGCCACGGCTGGTTCTTCAACTTCGACATCAACAACAGCTCATTCTCATACTTATCGATATTCGCATTCTCAATCTTGATTAGCTCCGTCGCCACCGCCAGGTCCAGCTTGCTCCGCAAGACCGCATCCTCCGTCAGCCGCTTGAAGGCGGGGAAGTACACCGGCTTGCCCGGCTTGATCGCCGCAGGACGGCCGTTCGGCCCGCTAACAATACTGATAAGCTCCGCCTGCTCGAGCGCCTGCAGTACGGCCTCGCCGCCGCTCTTGTACGTGTCGGAGAGGAGGATCTCGTTGTAGCGCAGCTCCTCGTTGTTGGCGAGTTTCTTGATTAGGAACCAGGCTTGCTCCACGCTCCATCTACGTGGCGAGTCTGTCGATTCTTCCGTGCCGAAGATGTACATTTTCAGGATTTCGGAGGCGGATTGCTCGATGATCTCGCGCACGGCTTTGTAGGGTGTTTCGCCGGTCTTGATGCGGCGGGCTAGGAACTCGAGGTCTGTAAGGCGGCCCCCGAGGGACTCGATGCAGGAGTCTAGCTCGGCGAGATCAGTGCGGCGCTGGGACGGGGTGAGCTTCTTGGATCCATCTTCGGGTTCGGGTTCATCGTCGGCGTCAGAGTCGATGTGATTGATAACGAATCTCTTGGCGACTTCGGGACTGGAGTCGGAGAGGGAGATTTGGCGGAAGACACGATCGGGTAAAGCCTTGCTGAGGGATTTGGAGAAGGAGACGTCGTTTGTGAGGAAGATTACGTGGGCGATGTTGTTAGTAGTGAGAGTTGCGGCCCTGATGGGATGTCAGTAACTTATAATATGGATACGAGAAGAGCTCCTACCATTCAGCAATCTTATCGTAGACAATCCCGCTCTCTTGGCTCTTGTGCAGGAAATTATCGATGACGACAACAGGGCGACGCTCAGGATGTGCCTCTAGATAGTCGTCATCTCCTAAATGAGCATCTTTGTCGTCCTTACTACGACCTTCTAATGCAATCTGTCTTAAGGCTGTTGCGGTGTTGTTCCATATCTTCGCCAATTGAGTGTCCAGAGTTTCCGAGAAGCCCGTTTTCATGCCAGTGGCACCTTGCGCCGCAAGATCAATCATACCGCTGATGCTGTTCATCCAAGAGAAGACGGGCCTGTATCCGACTTCGGCGGCTGCAGCGCAGATCGTGGCACTATCTCCTCGAGCTTCTTGGATGGGCTTGCAGTCGATGAGCAGTTTGTACTTCTTGTTCTTCAAGGCTTGATCGATCACCAATTCCTTCTTTCCAGAACCACGCGGACCCTGGACGATGATGAATGTGTCAGCGGTCTCTATTAGCCATGTCTTGATTTGTTCGATGTTGCTTCGTCGGTCATCCCAAATAGCTTCCATGCCAGCGTCATCATCTTGCTTATTGTGAAGTCTCAAGATGTCCTGCCGTCCTTATTAGCATGCTTTGGTCTCTTATCAACAAGAGATCAAACGAACCGTAGCTTGCGTTTTGAACCAGCGATAGATTCTGTTGTCTGCGATGTGGAAAGACCTCGTGATATGTGCCTTGATGAAGAACGTTCGGATACTAGTATTGTTAGACAGTTCATCAAACGTAACATAAGCAACTCACGGATCGAATATGGCAATCGTTACACTGGCAACGATAGCAGCGACGGCCGGGATGACGACCCGTGGATGGTTGACGAGCCAATCCCAGAACCAATGCCCCTTACGCTTCTGCTCATACGTGAGTCTAATGATAGTTCCAGCTTTCCCTCCTCCTTCAGCATCGGATACTAAATACCCATGCATGCAGTTCTTGGCCATGATCGCTCGTCTCGGTGCCGTGAAGTCCAAATACGCAAATTTCGGTAGCACTTTCGAATCCTGAGGCTGCGGTATGATATCTGAGAGTTTTCCGTATGGCCTAAAGTGCGCATAAAGCTGCTCCTGTGAGAGCTCGACCGCTTCTTCTCCCGGTTTCGATGGCAGAAATTCAACCTTCAATCTCGACGTAGGGAGTCGATAAAGATCCTCCACCCAGGGTCGGCCTCTGACAAGATTCACTCGCATTCGAACGAACGGGTTCCACCATGGTTTGATTGGCTTCTCCTTCAGGTAGTCCTTCAAAGCGCGTTCTATCACGTCAGATGACGTTGTCTCATCGTGGGTGAACTTCACAAATTCACCGCCTTCTTTCAGCCGCGGAAGAACTTCGACGACGTTGACAGGTACCTTGTCTTTCATCGCTTTCTCGATGAGATTGAGAGGATCGCCGGCTGTCAAACCGGGCGTCGTCAAGGTATTCAGAAGGCCGGGTATCCTGTCCTCGGGAGAGAAAGGTACGCGGAGAAGCCATTGAAGACGAAGCGGGAAAACGTCTTGAACATGCTGTCAGGAAAGAAGTAGAGGTAGAGGGAGAAATGAGGGAAAGTAATGAAACGCACTGTCAAAGAATAAGATGCCCTCATTGGGAGCAGTGCTAATGTGCCCGGATTTCCCTTCTCCGGCTTGCAGTGTAGCTCGCCGTACTCCTCGATCTTTCGAGTTTACGGCGGATATTGGTAGAGTTCTAATGCGAAGTAAGCATTCGTTTTTAATATACGGATCCATCGCGTGATACCTTCTTCTCAGCGTTCCCTGCAGACTGGCAAACGCGTTCTTCTGAAGGCCAATGGCGATGCCTGCCCGCATTGGCTGTATCCGTCGAGCGGTAGAGTTAAACAGCATCATATTCGAAAGCTACGCCATTGTTCCTCTGGATAGTGAGAGAATGACCGAGGTGGTTGTTGAAGGTATCCTTGTTTCTTAGATCTGGGATCTGACGCAACTCCACGAACGCACGTGCCCTGGCGCTCGGGCCATTTCCCGTCCGCACTGCTATGGCAATTGTGATGTATGAGGAGTTTACTCGTGAATCTAATGCTAGACTGGGTTCACAGGTCTTAGGGCTACCTCGACTTTAATCACGACCTCACACGTGGCCGGGCTACAATACGAGCTGAGTACCTTCAGTACATTCATCTTTATCTACGCAGGGCCTATATACTCCAGCCCATCATCCAACTACCCCTATGATACAATTCCGAACTCCTCGTTCCTAGTCTGAATGATTCCCAAGATATACCGAAACAGATGTGCCACCGGCACCCCAACAATCTGAGGTACCTATGCAATGATCCCATGCCTACGCCGCTAACACCAATGGGCTATGCAAGACTTGTTTCTTCCCATCATTTTCAGCGCTTTCGTATGTCCCCTGCGATCGCGCGTCTAGATCAGCCCGCTCAGCCCGTTCGAGGCGTAAGCCATCGGTTTGATGTCTGGATGCGGCACAGCCTCGAATTGATTGAATTTGAGCTTCAATTCCGGCCCGATGTTGATGAAGGCGCCCTTGTTGCCGGTATTATCGCAATAATGAGGAGCGCTGAAGACGGTAACACATCGTCCATCATGCTCAACTTCGTAGCCCTCCATTCGGACCTCGTGACTGCGGATGACGGTCTCAAGACCATTGGCCTCGCAGAAGCGCTTCGTGACATCCGGCCCGAACTGCATACCCACACCACGCTTGCTGGGGCCACGTCCGGGATTGGGCTGCGGGTCTGTCCAGAGCATCTCCATCATGAGACCAGACTGGCCTGGCTGGCGTTGCTTGTGGCGGTTTAGCTTGCGGACGTCGTCGAGTGAGACGGCGTCGTCGGAGAAGAGACCGCCATGGAGGACAAAGTGCTTCTTGCCGATGAGAGTCGCAAGGGGTAGGGCAGAAAAAGATTCGGAGAAAACCTTGAAGACGCGCTCGTTGTACTTGGCGCGGCATTCGCCTTCGAAGCCGTACATGCGGTTCATGTCATCTGTCTCGTGGTTGCCGCGGTTCAGGAAGAAACTTGTCGGATACAACCATTTGTAGGCGTATAGGAGCAGGCAAACTTCAGTGGACCAGGAGCCACGGTCCACAAAGTCGCCGTTGAACAAGTAGCCATTGGTTTCGCTCGGGAATCCATTGAGCTTGAAAATGTTGAGCAAGTCGAAGAATTGGCCTAGTGAGAGAAGTCAGCAACAGTCTCATCCCACTTGGGAGAAAACGAGACCAACCATGAGTATCTCCACAGACTGTGATAGTCTTCCCTTGTTCCACTTCGACCTCAACCATCGTCGGCTCATCATACACAATCTTCTTGACCGCTAATATGATCTGGAAGACGTATTTCCTCGCCAGCTTCTTCCCATTCTTGAACCTGTCTATCATGTCCTCAACAAACTCGGGCGTTATCTGCTCCTCAAGCTTCACACCATCATAGTTCTGCTCCAGCGCCATATGCTCCAGATCCAAGCCCTCAGCCGCGCTCGGTGCGTCCTCAATCTCAATAGCTTTGAGGAACGCATCGCGTTTGACCACCTTGTCGCACTCGACCATACGCATGCGAGCGGCCGAATCCTTGGGAGCCTTCTTGACTACGAGCTTCCAGTCTCGCAGTGCATCGGAGTGGTGTAGTATGGCTGTATTGGCCGACGCCCTTCTATAGTATGCCTAATTCCGAACACACATGTAAGCACCCGCAATCAGTACTCGAAACCTCAAGTCCTGCGCACCTTCACATTCTCCGGGTCTAACGCAATGGCACTGTCCGCATCTGCAATAGCCAGCCCATACATCTCAGTCTTGATATATGCCTGGCAAACACACATTAGCAGTGCTCGCGTGTTGGCGGGGCCGGAGGCGACAAACCTGGGCGCGGTTCGTATAGAACGAGGGATCCTCGGAGTATGCATCGATGGCCTTGGAGTAGTAGTCGATGGCCTCGATCCAGTCCTGCTTCTTGAAGGCATCATTGCCCTGATTCTTGAAGGCCACAGCCTCTTCCTTCGACGCAACCATGGTGCCTCAGGGGGTGACTGCGAGGTGAAGTCCTCCTTCTCAGATTCCAACTCTTGACGGGGCAGGGTTAGACACGGAAGGACTCCAGACGGTTGCAAGTGAAGCAGTTCGGGAGCGTCGGGCGGGTTCAAGGCAGCACCTCTCACAGTTACTTGGCTCGCGTCGATTGCGATCCCGGCGATTCTCGAAGCTTTTCTCGCCCGCAAATCACCGCGCGCCGACACCCTTGTAACGCCACGCCGAACCAAAACACCCCTACCAACAGCAAAACCCCGTACTGAGCGCCGAACACGGTAAGCTCAGCGCCGCCTCCCTTGTCTCGCTGCGAACAAAGGGTATAGCGCGCTTTGAGAAACAATGGAGAACAATCCGGCCGACCACGACGACCTCCACCCTCCCTCTCCTCAGCATACCAATCGCGCCCTCCCAGAAACTCCGCCCAAGCGCATCGCGAATCCAGCCCTCGAGAACCTCTTTGACTCCCCGCCCGACAAAGAAGCACAAGCAGCTGCCGACGCGCAAGCAGCTGCAGACGCACAAGCAGCCGCCGACGCCGCCTTCTTCGAACGTACGAGCTCCACCCAAAAAAAACACACCAACATCCTCCCCTCCATCGAGCGCTCCTCCTCCCACCCCCCCAAAGTCCCCCGCAACAAGCGCCGCGCCCGCAAGAAGTCCGTCCAATTCGCGCCCTCGCAAGCTGCCGCCCGCCACGCCGCCGAAGAAATGGCGCACTCCGCCTTCGTCGGCCCGCGCGACTACAAGAACCTGCGCGCCTGCATGGTCTGCGGCATCGTGCAGACGTCCGCCAAGTTCATGAGCGCGGGGTGCCCGAACTGCGAGGCGTTCCTCGAGCTGACGGGGTCCGGGGATGCCATCAATGAGTGCACGAGCCAGGTGTTTGATGGGCTGATGACCGTCACGGATACGAAGACGAGCTGGGTCGCGCGGTATCAGCGGCTGGAGGGGTACATTGCGGGCGTTTATGCCGTGCAGGTGGAGGGGGTCTTGCCGGAAGAGGTGATCGCAGCGGTGGAGGCTGCGGGCGTGAATTATGTGCCGTAAGTGTGGCAGAAAGATAAGAATGGATGGAGATACTAATTCGTGAATAGTCGAGATGGTAGCGCCCAAGAGGCCATTGCGAGGGACTAGAAATCGCATTGGATTTGGCGAGGTCTTAGAAAGCACTTGGATGGTTGGATGGCCATGCTGAGTGACTTCGACCACTCCTGATCTCAGGCAGCTGAGATAGATTTGAGATACTTTAGCGGGTGGTGTTTTGGAGTTCAAAATCTGCGCCTAAATCGGCTCTCTAGGTTGGATAGCTGATTTGAAGGGTAGTTTCCGACCGTGAAAGTAGGGAAGCCTAAATCAGGACCTCTTTGCCACTCAGGGGCTCTCCAAGTGCGGTATAGAATAGTTTCGAAATACAACTCTGATTTCAATAACAACTTAGAGTGGCGGGTTGAACATCCACCCTGTGTATACCTATCTACCACCACCGGAGGTGGCCTGACAAAGTAGCAGGCCTTCCAGAACGACAGGTGTCTCTCTCAATCAGATCGCTAGAAAGTTTTGAAGCACTTCAAGCATCATTAGAGCAGAGAACAGTGCCAGCATAACTAATTAGGAGGTTCAAGAATATTCGGCCAAGTCTCATGAGTAAGGGGCCACAGCAATTTCTAGTCCACCACTGATCATACAATTGTAATGATCATGATTTAGGCGAGCAATGCACCGGTTGGGACGGAGTATATTGTCGAAAGAATCATGGGAAAGCGGCACGCAGGGCATGAAAAAGGCGGCACTCTGCATGTGCGCATGTATACCACTGCTTGGGGTACTTCAATGCATTTTCAGAAATATAAACGGGATAGAAACTCTTTGCTCTGGGCTATGTAGAAACTTACTGAAGCACTTCAAGCAGTGGTAGACAGGTGCGCCTATAAAACAACGTGGTTGATGAGTGTCCACAGAAAGTGGTAGTCCAGGAATACGTGAGGTATATACACAATATTTCTGTGCTTGTGTACGCTTCTTTAGCACTGCTTGTGGTCCTCCAGTACGCTATTGTTATTCACGAATTACCGACTTTGGCAAGACTGATAGCTCTCTGGGCCACCTCAGACAGTGTTAAACTGCTTGAGTGTGACACTTTTCCCAGCCCAGCGTGAGTGGGAGGATATCACATCGTAGAGATGGTGAGTCAAACGTAGCTCCCTCAGTGTGGTCCGCGAAATACAAGCACTTCATAAGTCCTGGCTCAATATATCCAATACAAGGATTGAGACCATGCAATCCATGTTGTATGCCCTGCTTTAGCTTGATAAGAGGTTTAGCCGTGATGATGCATGATAGCGTGTAGAGCTATCAGTTGAAATCTCTATACGCCTATGAGAAGGCGTATAGATACGAGTGAGACGCTGTACCACTAAGCCAAACGGGCCAGACGGTGATTTTGGGGCTGTGAATTCTCCAGCGCGTACGAGTTTGATCATTAAGTTCAGTAACCCTTTAATGCTCATGCAAACCTATGCGGCATGCGCGAATAATCTAGTCCACCACTAATTGGACAGTTGCATAATCGCGATGCCTCTGAATAGGCAAGCAACACATCATTTCAGACGAAACAAGTAGTCAAAGGATTGTCAGGGGAAAACGGGAGTAAATCGTGAAATAGAGACGCCCCGGGGAACTCAAACACTGTAAATATCTGGGTCCAATACATCCAATATGAGAGCTGTTCCTCTCGATATCATACCTCTGATTCTTCGTTACTGATCTGACCAATCAGCTTTGTGACATGCAAGCTGGCACCGCCGTCACCGCCCCGGCCACATACCGGTCCGAGGCGGCCCACCTTGCATTCCATAGCCACCAGTCACCTGTAAAACCGAATGATATTCCTTCTACCCCTCTCCATTACGATCGATAACTCCTGCTCATTTATAGTACTTCATACTACGCATAATTTTCCACAGCCCCAAAATCACCGTCTGGCCCGTTTGGCTTAGTGGTACAGCGTCTCACTCGTATCTATACGCCTATGAGAAGATCCTCGGTTCGATTCCGAGAATGGGCACTTGATATTGGCGCTAGCAGAATGCTAGCGTCGCTTTTTTGGCGGTCCTGGGTTCGATTCCGGGGTGTGGATGACTTGGAGGTTCTTTTTGCAACCACAATGGCATTTTTAGCGTCTCTTGCGCTCTGAAGCACGGGATTTAAGCTTCAAATGCGTCTTAAGCATGTAGGAAAGCATTAGGGGGTTGCGTCTTTATTTTGATATTATTTTAAATTTTTTGAGAGGAGGGTGGTGGTGAGCGCGGGGGTTTTCGCGAGCGGGACTTCATCGTTGCAACACCATAACATTATGAACTGGTATGTTTGAGCACACGGATTGAACGTGTTACGACTCTATTGTTGTGTCTGACTTTGGGTTTGATCAAGTATTGATGGAATTGTAGACATTCGATGCTGCTTCCGGCCCATGTCAAGTAGCATAACTACCACCTATAGACGCACCTACGCCAACAACTCGCCCTCAGCTCTCACGTCCCAATCACCCAATCACTCCCCACCTCTCCCACTCCACCTCAGCACCCTCTCATTCCTCCATTCCCACGGCGACCGCGGATTGGCATGCGCGCGAATCCGCATACGCTGTCTCGTCATCGGTTCCAGTCCCCATCCCAACCCCCACACATGCCCATGCCACCAGAGATACCTCAGCAGCCCCGCAAGGAGCACTCCGCCCACTGCTGCCATCGCCAGTACGCTCCCCTCGTGAAAGGTAGTAGGACCACCATAGAGCGCTGCGCCACAGCCAAACCCACATGCGAACATGAGTTTTAGGTCGAAAAACGTGGTGAAGCGCGGCGCTCCGAATAGCGTAACGAAGAGCTCGACATAGATGTGATTATCTAGGATGAAGTCGGCGCAGAGGTAGAAAAGTGTGGTGGAAATGAGCATGCTGAGTGGTTCAGGGCGTCGACAGATCTTTTCGGGGGTCCAGGGTGCCGTAGGCGTGGGGGGTGGTTGGGACATGATATCTCAGGTAATGACTAGCTTGAGAGATTCGTAGTAGTCCGAACAATGTAAAAGGCGTAGGTGTCGAAGGCTGTCAGTCCAACTTCTTATCCGTAGATAAAAAGTGCAACCGTTTCGGGGCGGCCTAGAGCATATTTGTACGCTCCATCTCCAACCACTTCAAAGAAGAATTATCAAGTACTTTGTGCTCACCCACGGCAGACCGTCGCCATGTCTTAGATGTGCGCATTGTGGGGATGAAAGGCGGCACCAAGACATTCGAAACACCCACGTACCTAGGCTTTTCGTGAGCAAAAAAGTGGCAGTCTACGAATTTGTGGTTTTTATCCCAAAACTTCCGCTCTAGGCTGGTGTACACTTGGCTAGCACCGCTTGAGGCACCCTGGTATGTTATTAAGAAGTCGAAGACGAGAGTTTGGACGAGCCTGATAGCTTTCGGGGCCACCTCAGATGGAGTCAGGATAGACCGCCACTTCAAGTTGAACGAAACCTCCCACTTCTCTTACCCCATCCAGTACACGAGCACCTCTTTCAACACCAAAACAGCATCCCCAAAGCCATGTGGACTCACACTTGTTCTCAGAATTAAAGTTGAACTCGATGAATTACCCAAAGACCTAATTACCAAACGCCACGCCAAAATGCCCAAGATCCACTCTCATGAGCATCAAAATGCTCGAATCGTAATGCATAATGCATATAAGTAGGTGTCCCAAGAACGCGCACGCTTCTGGAACCAAGAACTAGACAAAAGGGGGAAAAGCCAGGCTCGAAAGTGTGAACAAAGAAAAGAAAAGGAGGAAGAAACTGAAAATACAAGCTTGGAATAGAAGTATGTAAAGTAAAGCAATATACAAAATGAGGAGGCGTGTTGGTAACATTCCTACGCGCAAGTTCGACTCATACGGTACAAGCGTTCTTTGCGGACTGAAAGTAAGCAAAGTCGGTGTGTATGTCGAGCTTGAGCTTCTGCAAAGCGCGGCGCGGAATGTAGCCATACGTTGATGTGTCCTAGCCCTTTCTAACCACCAACATGGCAGATAGGTAGTCGGCTATCCCAATGTCATACGTAAAGTTGCTACCCAAGAGATAGCCGCGCTTCATCCACAAGTATTGATTGATTGTATTCTTTCATCGCCAGTACACGGAGCTTAGAAGATCTCCTCACCATAGCCATCCCATCCATCATCCTCCCTCGACTTGTTGTTTCCCTTCACGCCCTTTGGGAAGGTAGGAAGCGGCGGAACACTGTCACCATCTGGGGCAACCGTAACGACCTCATCCGGGCTCTCGTTCCTCCCATGGCTTGCCGGAGAAAGAGAGCGGTGGCTCTCTTTGCGCCTAAGCTTGTTTGTGGAAGTTGAGCGTGATTGGCGGTCTCGAGGACGTGCGGATGGGGTGGCTGTAGCGGTAGGACGAGATGGCTCGTCTTTGAGGGGGAGTTTGGTGATGGTAACAGTCTCTTCCGTCTCGATAGTGCCCTCGTCCATGACCTTGGCAGTGACAATGCTAGTGGACTCGTTGAAAACAGTGTTCTTCTTAGTGAGACGTCCGGTGCCTCCTTGCTTCTTGGGAGTCGAGTTCATCTTCTCTTTGCCCTTAGGGCTGGTCTTCTGTGCAGCCTTGCCGCTGGCTCGGCGCTTCTTAGCAGCCTGCGCAGCCTCCCACTCTTCATCGTCATTTTCCTCACTCTCAGGTTTGTAGCGAACGTCATCGCGGTCCCCGCTCTTGCGCTTCTTCGTCACCTTGCGCTTTGGTGCAGCTCCGACTCCGTTTGGCTTGACCAAAGTCTCGAAGTCATCGGTCCAGATGTCGGCTGTGACGATTGAGCTCTGGGGAACCTCGACGGCTTCAGTGAGCTTCTCGACTTCGACATTTTGTGAGACAGGCACAGCAGTTTCTTCTTTCTTAGACTCCCCGTTTCCATGCAGTTGCTCAGGAAACAAGAGCCGCTCAGACGGTAAAGAGGGCAGCGCTCCGGGTGTGAAGGGAGTGAAAGACTTCTTCAGCGGAGAGATACTACGAGACCGAGGGTCGGGCGTCTGATTGTCCGCCAAACCCGTGGGGAAGGCGGGGACGGGAGGGGCTAGAGTTTGCTGAAGCTCGCGACGAGCTTGTTCAAGCTTCGCTTCAAGATCGCTGACGCGTTTGCTCAGCTTTTGCTGCTTCTGCATATCCTTCTTCGACTGTTGTTTGCGGATTGTCCGATCTTGGTCGAATGCTGCCTTTGCGGGAGATTGAGAATAACTGGGAGTGCGCGGACTGTTCAGCTGGGCCTCGGACCTGACTCGCTTGAGGTCAGCAAGAGACGGTGTCTTGAAATGAAATGGTGATTTTCTGGTCACGGAAGCGCTGGAGGCGGATGCCTCAGACCGTGGAACGTGAAGGGAATCACCGTTCTCCAAAGACGGTCGAGCATCGTCCATCTCGATACCTGAATCACGGGGCTTGGTTTCTGCATCAGTTTTTTCTGAGGTGACAGATCCACGAACGAAGGTTTTGGTAGGTTTCAAAAGGCCCGCTGCTTTGAGCTCCGCATAGGCTTGCTCAGCCTTAGCCTTTCGGTCGTCCAGATCAGTACCAAGCTTCGAAGCCTCCTCTGAAGCGACTTCCTCTTCGGCCTCTTTGTAGGAATTTTGGAGCTTGTACCATATGTTCGCGGGGTTGAAGGACGCTGCGATAGACCGGCCGAACCTGAACAGTCCAGATCGCTTGCTCTCGGCTGTATTTATACTAGCGACGGATTCGTTGGGGGCATGCTGAGGCTTCTTGACAGGCGAGCTTGAGGCCCTGGTATGAGGTCGCGCGGTGGCTGGCCGGTTCGCGTCTTCTTCATAGTCGGCCATCAACTGATCCACAGACAGACCTTGCGAGCTTCCTTGGAATAGTCTAGTAAAGACACTGGGGGGTTTGTTGCTGGTCTTGTCGTTCATGCTGCCCTCGAGAAACTTAGATGAACGCATGGAGGACGACGAGGCTTGGCGTAGTTGGGTGAGTGGGGGTGGAGGTTGGAGAGCCATCAGACGGGGCTCCGCAGGCAGTGGCCAATTCTTCGAGCGGCGTCTCTTGGACGGAGGTGTGTCGACTCCATTGTAAGGTTCACCATTGAGATCCTCTTCGTATCCTCTCTTTCGCGTAGTCTCTACATCTAGCATGTCCTCATCGTGGTCGGGCTGGCCTGCACTGCGGGAGGCAAGGGGCGTCATGTCGGGGTCGGCACTCTGGGGAAACAAGGTCAGTAGTGGCCGGGCTGCATGAATGTTGGGCAAGCTGCATACCTGAGTGCGGGCTTTTCCTTTGGACTTCACCATCATGAGAGGTAGCCTCGAGGGGGCAGGCCGTGGGCGTCGGTGAGCTGAGGTGGGAATGTTTTGTAGCTCCGGAAATGGATCCAGGGGTTGATGCAGGCGCTAAATATGCACACAAAAGAGAATCGTGCAGTCGTGAATTCATACGGGGGCACGCATGCCAGCGCAATCGAGAGGCAACCAAGTTGTGGTGATAGAGGATGTGTCGACGGGTTTTGGTGAGAGGCAAAAGCTGGGGCGGCCGTTGTCAAAACAACGTCGCGCTGTCACATGGATCAAGGGTCTCATATTCACCAATCAGAGCAGAATTCGCCCTCGGGGTCATTTGTTGCAAGTGAATCGAAGACTGTCCCGAGCGCGTGTACCTCGCGTTCTTGCACTCTTGACAGGACGTGTGGACTTCTAGGAGGTAGGACGTTGAAGTATCCCGAGCAGTGCGAGGCGATTAACTACTCCAAAGCCGCCTGTCTCATAGTTACAACGTTGTGACCTATAGTCCAGAACCTCAATATCATAAGGAAGGAATAAGTACGCAACAAGATAAAGCGATGACAAGGATATGAAAGCCTGTATAGATGACGCTTTCAAGTATATTGCGTTCCATCCAGATTTCTGATAGAACGCTCCCGGATAGTGTTGTTTTAAGCTTGCGACACACCCTAGTGTTCCTGGGGCGAAAGGGGCAATTTACCAACACAGCATTGTTCCGAGCCAGGACCGGCTTCCGAGCGACGAGTGAGTGGAGGCCATGTAGGCGAACCGTGAGGCTGGGTCTGGATATTTATGGCTCCTGTTTTGTGCGTCCAAGTCTTATCACATGCTGCGAGGGTCAGGGATACGAGAACTCCTACACATGTGGGTTTGGTGCCGAAAAACCCGTACATGGTAGATCACTAGTTTCATCCAGGGGTAAAGCGCAGTCTGTGAAAAAGACAAGAAAAGTTCTCCTATTGTTTTCATCATATCTAGCAGGGTACAGCAAACAGCCATCCACACCGCGCTACGACCAAAAAGTGAGTCTAAGCCCGCCCTGCATCCATTCTACCTCCCTTCCCTTCCCTGGTTCCCCCACACGCACTGTTGCCAATACCAATACCCAGCTCTCTCGCTATTCCTAAAACTGACACGAACGTAAGATCCTGCGAACGCAGTCCACCGTAACAAAAAACAGAGAGGCGTGAAGACAAAAAATAGAATCGAAAACGTTGTAATGCCGTGTGGCTGTGTGTCCAACTTGCCCATTCTTTCCCACCTGAAAACATATCCTTCAATATTCCCATTCAAATCTCCCGTGTAGACCTACAAAAAATGACCAAAACTAAACAACAAAAAAGGAGATTATCTGGTGGTCGGTAGATGGGTTTCTCGTAGACACAAGGAAATAGTGTAAGCATCAAGCTTGCGACCGCCCAAAGGATGGGGAAGAACAGAAACGACAAATAACGCCGGTCTCTTCCAAAAGAAACAATTAAAAAGAAGAGCAGTGCAGTTGTGACTGGCATAAAAACCGTTCACATATCTCGCTGTCGTTGTCGGAATAGAGTACTCTCAATACCAGCGCGCGTTGTTCCAAGATTGATAAGACCAAACACCGAGCCCAACATTACTAAATCAAGCGCATACATCGAAACCCCTCTCAAGTCGAGAAAGGTTTCGCCGCGAGTCACGCGAGATCCGGCACACGGCGCTGGCGGTGTGTTCCGTCAGCCCGACGGTACATCATAGCGTTCTCGTCGATCTCCTCAATGTCAGGGCTATCGTCGTTGTTATCGTATCCGTAAGGTGGTGCAGTAATGTTTGGTCGCTCCCCGTGCTGCAGTCGTGCGTCTAAGTGCTTGGTGTCGAAGGTGCTTGAGAATGACCGTTTTGTTCCTGCTGCTGATTGGGGCTGGCTGGCAAACTTGGGTGGGTAACCATGATCCGAGCTGGCTGACATTGAACCGGGAGCTGACAGAGGACCACCTGACAAAGGACCGCCCGACATCGGACCACCGCTTAGCTGGTAGGAAGGAGACACGGGCTCAACCCTTTCCGCTGGAGGCTGTAACGTCTGCAGTGTTTTGATGTGAGGAAGCGAGTGACCATTGGGCATATGAATCGCACCAGGAGTCGCAGGAGGACCGTGATGCGAAGACTGGATTGGCTGATTACTAGGAGTAGGAGTAAGTTGTGGCCGGTTGTAAGTACTATCCAGAGTGCCGAAAGGAACCATTGGGTTTGGAGCAGCGTACTGCTGAGTGGTGGTTGCAGTCATCGAAGGACGTCGGTATTCGGTTGGCGTTCCTGAGTAATCAGTGCTCTCCTGGCGCATGGGTGCAGGCTGCTCGTAGTGAGGCTGAGAATAGGACTGGCTCGGGTAGCCGTACGGTTGAGGCATGTGCATTGCAGGTTGGCTCGGGTAGCTGTGATGCGGCTGGTGAGATTGGTGCTGGTATGGCGTCTGTGGCGGTTGCATCATCGAGCTTTGCTGTGGCGGCGCATATTGATTCTGATACTGCTGGCTAGGGGCCCCTCCATACTGCATCGGAGGAGGGTAGCCGTTGTTCTGGGGTTGAGGAGTGGCCATGTGCGGGAAGCTGTTCTGCTGATATCCTTGGGCCATATCCTGGAGAGAAGGACGACGCGCAGGAGGGGCGAACGAGGCGTTGCTCGCGTTAGAAACGGATCTTGGACGGTCACCAGCATCAATCAAAGGCTGAGGTGTGGCCATGTTCTGCTGTCCGTAGGCATCTGGCGTCGCAGTTCGTCGGGTGGCATCGTAACCGGCCTCCTCGTCGTACTCGTCCCAATCCTTGGACGACTTGTTTTCACGCCTCCTCATGCGAACGTCACGACGGATGCGAACACGGCAACCTTGCTCGGCGACCATGCGGCTAAGCGCAGTGCTTTCAGTCAGGCCTGGGAACTTCTTGGCCGAGAAGACGGTGAACGGCGATGACTTGACTTCCAATCGGTGGGAAACGTGGGCGTCGACCTGAGGAGGAGGAACCGTGCCACGGTCTTCAGCGTCCATGTCTTTGGCATCCTTCAATTCTTCATAGAGGGCGAAGCTCAAGCGGTATTTTCCTTCATGGCGAACCGACAGGTCGGGGAAGATGAAATAGCCAGCGGGAGTGGGCCGATCCAGATACGCCATGCCGGCGACGGGCGTGCCGGTGAGGACAGCAAACTGCGTGGAGGCAGCTGACACGCGACCTTGGGCCACCTGTCTGGCGTTCTCCAGAGTCGCGAACAGGAAGAAGTTGGCGCTGTAGGAGATGGTCACCTCGGTCATGTTGTTGCCTTCGCCTTCAAAGACGCGCAATTCCACGATTGGAGGCGGGTCGACCGGACGACGATCCGCAGAGGCTGCATGAATTAGTCGCGATGTCTCATCACGCGTGAATCGACGTACATTTGGCACCCGAGCCACAGGCTCTGGCGCGCTCGGGCTGCTGGATCACCTGCATGCGATAGGTGATCTTCTTGCCCTCCTTGGTCATCCTCGACGACTGACTGTTCGTCTCATTCGCAACGGGTATAATGGTCGCCATGGTGGATAAATGGGACGCAAGTTGGATAGAGATATTGGGGTCAAGTGCTGGGATGGCTGGAGAAATCTGGTTAGCGATGCTTGCCAACGCCGCGGTGGATGGTGACAGTGGTAGAGTTCGGTCCCAGAGGGGTGTCGTCCCAAGCGTGTTGACCACGGCGGGTCCGAGGAGGCTAGTCACCCAGCGTCCAGAGTTGAGGGGGCGGACCAATACAATTGTTCGCTTTGGCCGCTAAACTCAACGTCGCCGTGGTTGAGAGCAAGTCTCGAACAGCATCAGCGGCGCCAGGTGGCGATGTTTCCAGCGAGGTGGCCAGACATGCGTTGCCGTGGGCGCGGGAAACGCCTCGCTGGGCCTCAGCCCGACGGGAAGGCGCGACGAGGAGATCAAACACTTACCGAAATGATGGCAATGAAAGACAGCAGTGCTGGCCCGGGAGCGAAGGGTGCAGAGGAAGTTGCAGAGGACGCCGCAGAGGAAGTTTGCCAGACGGGGACGGGCGAAAGCGAGGGACGGAGTCGAGGGCGCGGCAAGGCGACGGTCGCACCTGGTGTCAATCGGGCCTCGAGGTGTGCAGCGACAATTACGGAGGGGTTACGGCGACGACGACAACGACAACGACAACGAGGTGCACTGGCTCGCGGGGCCTCTGCTGTATTGCGCAGCAGCTCTCGCGCGAATGGGCGTGGTCGGGAAGGTGAGGATGTAGAGGCGCGAGAGGAGAGCGAACAATGCAGCAGAGGGTGAGCGAGGGCCCTCTGCTGCTTGGATTGGCTACCGACGCTCGTCCCCCGACATGTCGATGGAGGCTAACCGTCTTCGCAGCCAACCCGGGGCGCATGGTCTGAACACCACTACGCCCGCGACGCTGCTCTGCGACGGCGACGCTGAATCCAAGCCACTGCCCCATCGTGCCTCTCTTCTGTGTCCTGGCCGCTGGATGCGGCGAGGGCGGCGCTGCCTCGCTGCCTCGCTGCCCGTGTGCCGGCGCCCTCAGCTCACGGATTGCCTGTGAAACTATCGCCTGCACTCTGCGCACTTGGGAACCCCGGCTGCGCACTGCTTCTCCCGAGCACCTCTGCTCTCCGCACAGACTGCCTATCCCAAACGAACCATCGTGCCGGGCCGCAACCCAAGTCGCTGCTTTGGCGTCCGCGGAGCCCATTGATCTCCAGCCTTGAGTCAGGCCACATTTATCTCTCCTCTCTCCGCAGATCGCGAGGGAGCGCGTTGAACACCGCACAGAATCCAGCGCGGTGCCGCTCAAAATGCAGCAGCGTCAGCCACCGTGAACTCTCGCCGTGGGGTTGCATCAGCGCCAGCCCCTATGCAGACCTGGACGTGATCGACATGCTGTTTTGGGGACAGTTGCCAGACCCGCCCAACAGCCGCGCGCGCCGTTCGATTTGTGCATCGTGACCAGCGGACTTCGAGAGAGCTTCTGCTGGGGAGCTTGTAAACTGGCCTAGCTTGGCATGCACAAGTCCATTCATAATGTTGCAGGATAGCGTCGCCCGGGTGGCCCAAAGTGCCTGAATGCTAGCCGACCACGCCGACGTATCGAAATATTCTACATACGGTTCGTTGCACAGTTGGGCGATTATAATGCCCAGCGCTACTAGTGCATACCCTCCATTTGTGCACATCAAGGCGAGTCCGTTACAGCCTCCCCTTCAAGAGGACTTCTGTGTCCTGCGGGTGATCTTGCGCCGCCTGTCGCCGTCAGCAGCCTGGCACGGTGCATGCTGCAGTTGTTTATCCGGTCTCTCGATTACTGCCAGTGGCCAGTGATTACTGTGCTCTGAGCGCCCCTCGGGCCATCTCAGCGTTTCCAGGGGCACAGAGGCGTCGATTTATTCTCGGCGTCTCGCGTCTCGGCGTCGCAGCAGCTGGCGCAGTCACCAGCGCAGAGTCTTCTTGCGATGCAGCACCGCGGAGCATGTGGCAGAAAGAGCATCTTGCAGGGTGCAGCGCCCATCACAGGATTCAGGATGCGGGAACTCAAGCTCAGGGCAGGCAATCCGGTTGCCAGAGTGGCTAGTTCCCGAGACGCTGCGCCGGCACAGCAGAGGCCAAGGTCCTGTGGTCCCAAGAGTCCGAGGATGGATGGCGGGCTCGGCGTGAGCGCTTGGTGGCCCGCCACACGCACAATCGGAGAGGAAACTTCAGCGGTCGCAAACTGTGGAAACCAAGCCAAGCAAGCCAATGTGCGATCACGCGTAATTCTGCAAGGCGGGCGCTCGCAGCAGACCAATGATGCGCATGACCGCACCACCCTCCTGCGGCGCCCCGACCAGCCGACTTTCTGGAACCCAATAGCCATCTTGCACCCCTGTCCCGGATGCAGCGACCGCGTTCGAGGGTGTGCCGACATGGTCCACTGACACGGGCCGAGTCTCGGTATCCCGGGGAATCCCTGCTAACCGCCGTTGTCGACAGGATCGGTGTGTTCGTTCATCGCATCGCCGGCCGCGTCCCCGTGATCTGCACCACTACGTATGTATCGCCAGACGAGTCGCCATGGTGCGATCCCCGATTGACAGACTCGTTATTATGGGTTGTCTGAGCGACGCAACCTTATGTTAGCGCGGCATTTCTTCCCGAAGGAGGCTTATTGGCGGCGCATCCAGGCGGCAAAACAACACCCGCCGTGGATATAGTTGCGGGCCTGCGCTGCTGTCGTGTCGCCTCCGCATGAAGGATGAACCTGAAAAATTGAGACTCTCCAGGTCGTGGTGCCTGGCGGAAGCTCTCCCCGACACCGCCATGCCATCGAAGGCCTCCCACGTGTAGAGCGATCCCCAGGAGTATCAGAAACTCTGCGAGGACATCGATAATGTTCGCCTTCGAACCATGGCACACCGCTGCGATGGCTGCAATCAAATTGCCCGGACCAGGAGCTTCCTAGTTTCCCCAGACTCCCCAGCTTCTTGTGACATCCGGATGCCAATCATCTCCTGCATTTTCCCGACTTCGAGAAGCATTTACCCGGCTACCATGCAACGAATATGCTGTCAGGGATTGCCAGCAACCCATTACACTCCCAGTAAATGCCGTGTGCTGTCGGCCAGCTGTCATAAGAGCGTCGCGGTGGGTGAGCGATTCCGTCAAGAGAGTCACGGTTTTCTGAGTTTCCTGCCAGGATCCACCAATGCGTCTAGGAGCCGTCAACCTGTAACCCTAAGCCACGGCAGCCATCACTCACCAGCCCGGCATCATTCACGGCACATGCAGTGCGTTTTCAACATGGGAACAGGCTCTTCACAGCTTTGAGGGATGTAGTATGTACTGGGCAGGACAAACGGTGATCAAGAAGTGTCCTCCTGACGCCCTTCAAGATGAAGATCATGTCGCCGCACACGCAAGTACACACTACAAACAGAACTTTGAGAAGACGGACGGACTTTTTCCGATGAAACGACAAGAGGGTCAACTTGTGGCTATTTTCCCGCAATGGGCTCACCCTCCTTTGAACGTGCCGTGCGCCTACACACCCGAAACGAGCCCGCTTCCTCATAAACGCCACAATTCAGACGGATACCCCTCACAACACAGACCAAAAGATTATCTCCACGGCAATCTATCTGAGACAATAGGCTTCAAATGTGCATTCCGCACATGCCAGACACATCCCTAGTCATCTCCCACCCCATCTAGACGCCTTAAAACAAGGTTAACCCTCCTCTCCCAGAGAAACAGCGAGCAGATCTCGGGGCCATCCCACGTGCTGTCAGCACGCGAATGGCTTAACTCTCCTCCGACGGACCGTGGGTACGCTGTGACACCAACGCCGCCGCCCCTGGCCTTGCGCTGCTGCCGCGCGCAGGGTAGCTTTGTGTGTCCATAACAGCCGCTTGTTATGGTCCGCTGCATATGCTTGTCCGGCCTGTGAGATTCTTGCTGTGCGCGGCGGGGACGGGGAGCCGGCGCTGTGAGTAAGACGAGGAGAGGTATTGTGGCGTGGTGGGTTGTAGCGGTGGGTCATAGATGAACTGATATTCGGTGGGTTTGGGTAAGTCACAATCCTTTTACTACACTCGACGTCAAGATCACAGGCAAAGACAACAATCAAACCTTTGACGACTGCCGCTGTACCCCGCTGTCCCTGCACAAAAGGCACGAAAAGATAAATTTGCGCGGAAGGGCACGCAGGTACCATGCGTAGGAAGCCGCATGTCGAGCGTTCCTACTTTAGGCTCGTGGTCTGAACGTAAGTCGATTCCGACTAGTCATCGAATCTAGATCAAAAACACGCTCGCTGTTATTGGGCGCTCATACACTACCTGAGCATCCGGGGAGCATGCAACACCTGTCTGGTGTAATGCACGCTACTGCTCCTACAGCTTCTGAACGCGGCCAGGGGCGCTTCCGCATATTTGAGGAAACCAAGACGCTGTTGCTATTACTTTTCTTAGAATGAGATAGCTGATTTGACACCTTTATGGTACTGCACATGAAGAAAAAGTCTACCAAGCTAGGATCAAGGCCGCCGATTCGGGGTATTTGCTACAAAGGTAGCTACTTACTGTTTTGACGAATACAATAGTTCACCAAGTCACCTCAGGCGGTGTTGAACTGCCATTTTATGTTCAATGAAGCCTCATTGTGCAGAACAGGTCATCGAAGTGAGCGTCAAAGCTTGAAGCTGTGCCGGAAAGATGCTTTGATGGAAAGGGAGCTTTTTTACATAGTCACTATCTTTTCTAGATATGTGAAATACTGCATGCTTCTACCATAGCCTACTATAATATTTATCTGTTCACCACAGAGCTAGCAAATACCCTGAATCGACGGCCTTGATCCTAGCTTGGTAGACTTTTTCTTCATATGCAGTGCCATGAAGCTGTCAAATCAGCTAACGTGCTTCCCTGGGTCCAGAGACGCACGGTGTCACGAGACGAATTTCATCCAATTTTATCTCACGCTCTGCATCTTCAGTTTGCCATTCCATGTGTGATATCCTATGATTCTCCGACCCTTTATCCACACGACCCTCACCACAGCGAGTGAAAACTAAAGGCGTTCATTGTCGTCGCCGTCACTTTGCTCATCGCACAATCTGATGCTCGAGATTCCGCCCTCTGCTACATCGTCGATATTGCTAGTTATTCGAGTTTCGGAGGCCTAATGGTGAAGCGCAGTATCAGATGAGAACTGCACTAGCAATTTGAAGAAATCACGGGACATGCAGCAAGCCACGAGCATGTGGCTTTGCACGTGTCCTCCCAGCGAATGCGAATGCCCTCCGTGCTGAAATAAATCAATTTACAGAGTACATAAGGTCTCGTAACTGCCCCGTCCCATCGACCAACACCTATCTCGCTGCTTGTCAGCTTCGAACCGACCTCGCAAGATCTCCATTGTGGCATCTCAACAATGATGAACAGCCCATCCCAGGATACAGAGTGCAGTGCGTGATGCTTTCGATTTACTTGTGTTTGCCTTCGCCATGCAGTGGCCGGCCAGCCTGCGCCACGATGCAGCCTCGATGGCAGTGCCTGCGACCACCACTACATAATCTTCTCACGAACAGTTCTACGACGTATGATTCCATTCTGTCGACCTTTGGCTCGCAGTCCTTGCACCGATATGCCGAACGAGTCGCACGAGTCGCACTTGACATGAGATAGCTCGCGAACCTCCACCTATGGCTGTCATACGCCTCTTGCAGCGCGAAGCCGACGACAAGATCGTCTTTCGCGAACCCACGACCAGCGATGTCCCTGCCTACGCAATACTCTCTCACACCTGGGGAAAGGAGGAGGTCACCTTTCAGGACATGGAAGCCGGCGCGGACTTGAGCAAGACTTTGAGCAAGGCTGGGTGGAGGAAGATAGAGTTTTGCGCGAAGCAGGCTGCAGCCGATGGACTGCGATACTTCTGGGCAGACACCTGCTGTATCGATAAGAGGAATGCGGTCGAGCTCGGCGCGGCGATTAATTCCATGTTTCGGTGGTATCAGAACGCTGCGCGCTGCTACGTCTATCTTTCGGATGTCTCCAAACCCGACACCGGAGCGGATGACCAGAGGGCATGGGAAGAAGCCTTTAGAAAGAGTCGATGGTTCACTCGAGGCTGGACGCTTCAAGAACTCATCGCGCCGAGGCTGGCTGACTTCTTCAGCTTTGAGGGTGAGCGACTTGGGAGCAAATTGTCGCTTGAGTCCAAGATACACGAGATCACCGGCATCGCGAAGAATGCTCTCCGAGGCGATGCATTGTCGAATTTCAGCATCAAAGAGCGGAGGTCCTGGGCAGAGCGCCGCAATACTACAATTGAAGTGGATGAAGTGTACTGCTTAATTGGGATCTTCGATGTCTCCCTAGTCCCAAACTATGGGGAGAGAAGGGACCAGGCATTCCGGCGGCTGGAGGAAGAGATCCACAGGTTGTACAAGGGTAAGTTGTTTGCGTAGATGTGCTGACTGAAGCAACGAAACTGACCACCCCAGGTGTTGATTTCGAACGATTTGCCGTCGGCCTCAACCTCGCGTCATTTCCCGAAGCTGCACAGTTTGTTGCCAGAGAGAAGGAGCTGTCGAAGATGCACGAGCTGCTTCATGGTCACAGCAGTCGATCCTGTGTCGTCCTACATGGTCTTGGAGGGATGGGAAAGACTCAGCTGGCGATCACATATGCCAGACGACACAAGGAGAAGTATACGGCAACATTCTGGTTGAACGCAAACGACGAGGACTCTCTCAGGCTTAGCTTTCGCAGCATTGCTCAGCAGATCCTGAGGCGTCATCCGTCCACTACTCTGCTTGCCAGCGTGAATCTGGACGAAAATCTGGACGAAGTTGTTGATGTAGTCAAGGGCTGGCTCGACTTGCCGAAGAATGGGCGATGGTTGATGATCTACGACAACTACGACAATCCAAAAATTCCTGGCAACCTGGACAGCTCAGCAGTTAATATTCGTCAATTTCTCCCCGGATCTGACCACGGCTCAATCATCATCACGACACGATCGTCCCAAGTCAGCCAAGGTCGTCGTATCCGTATTCAGAAGTTGCCAAAGATTGGGGAAAGTCTTGAGATTCTGTCGAACACATGTGGACGGGGTAATATTCAGAATGGTGGGTCCTCCGCTATGTGCCCATGCAGCTTCGAAGACACTGACAGGACAGACCCCGATGCAATAGCGCTTGTCAGGGAACTGGACGGCCTGCCTCTTGCTCTTTCTACTGCTGGCGCATATCTTGAGCACGTGACGAAGAGCTTCTCGGACTATCTTCGGCTCTATAAGACGTGGTGGTTGAAGCTGCAGACCACCAGCCCGCTACTCGCATCCTACGAAGACCGCTCACTATACACGACATGGCAAATTACCTTCGATCGGATCGAGCAACAGAATGCAGCTTCAGCCAAATTGCTTAAGCTATGGGCTTATTTTGATAGACAGGATATGTGGTTTGAACTCCTCCAACATGCAAACTCGGCAGACGATGAATGGATACGGAAGCTTACTGAGGACGAATTGAAATTTAATGAAGCTGTTACGCTACTGTGTAGCTTTGGGCTGGTTGATCCAGATCTCCTTCAGCAGCAGTTCGGTTCTGCAGGGTATAGCGTGCATAGCTGTGTGCACACATGGTCGGTCTCTGTACTAAACAGAGAGTGGGACGACGGCCTAGCGAAGCTAGCCTTAACTTGTATCGCTTTAGACATTCCCCTAAGAGATGAAAGAAACTCGTGGGTGTTACAACGGCGGCTGCTTCAACATGCTACCAGACAGGAGCAACTGATTAAAGATGGGAAGGTAGACATTAAGGGAATGGAATGGGCTTTGCATAAGCTAGGTATTCTCTACGCCGACCAAGGCAAGCTGGATGAGGCAGAGGCGATGTACGAACGGGCGCTGCAAGGCAAAGAGGAGGCACTTGGACCGAAGCACACATCGACACTC